GGATAGCCGTCGCCCCAAACTCTCCTATCCACATTCCCTTATGCTGAAGGAGAATACTGTGTCATTCACAGTTGCATTCTGTATATGGGACATGGTATGACAGGATCACGCACAATTACGTGACCATCACGTCACAGTGTCGCTGAATTGCTGAATGTATTTCTGCACATATTTTCTTCACTTGTTTCTTCGATGCGCAGGATATGGCTAGGATGTGGTGTTCAAATTACATTTGGAGCGGCATTCTTGGCTAGGTTTGAAGGCCCGCCGCATCTGTTCACATCAGGTTGACAGAAGTTTCGGATTCGACAGCGCCGTGACGGAGGCGCAGCGAGCTCTGAGGGCCGCCAAGGTGGAGGCCACAAGCGCAAGGAGGGGCGTCGGCCTCGTGAAGCTGATGGGGAAATGCAACGGGTTTGTGGCCATGGAGGCTTCAATGGCGTCGGGTGCGAGAATGTAATCGTGGCCAATTATTGGCACTTTACAATGTTGCCGTTCACCAGCACTAGGGAAAAAAGGGCCAAATAACACGCGCTCAAACGTGTACAAATTTTACGGGTTTGGGTTATTTTCGTATTTTTAGCATGCAGAACATTTATGAAATGCATATGTGTGTGTGTGGTGTGTGTCGCAAAATGTGCTATTTGGTACTTTTTCTCTAGTGTTGTCTGCAAGGGACTAGTCCACGTTCCGTGTTTTAGAAACCGTCGAAAGTGGGTAAAATGTTATGATCCGCATTTCCATGTTTCTATTCCTGCTCTGTGTTCTCTAAATTGCCACCAAATATTCTCAAATTGAAATACCCATTGACGGAATGAGGAGCAGCACTGCAGGTGGTATCCATGCATCAGCGCTTACCAGCGTTGGCGTTTGTTCACGTATAGCTTAAATGTTGATACACCTGGTGCGGCGTTGTTCGGCGCTGCAACACAATGAATGAACGGCGATGGCGCATCAATGAATGAACGGCGATGGCGCATCGACTTTTGACCAAATTGAAGATGGGTGTCTTCAATGCAGCGAGTTCTTGCCGCGCGCTGCGAGCTAGGGATACGTAGATTTGAGCAAGTGCTCATCGCCGCACCTTTTATTGGACACTGAAGCCAAGTTTCCTTGGTGTTGTGAACGCCGCTAAGTACTGGAGAATGGACAAGCGGAATTTCTCCCTTCACACGCGCAACTCCAGAGCGTATGAATTGGGGCATATTGAATTGCAAGCACCACACAACAGTGTTTGTTTACCTAAAACATTATCCGTAGGCCTACGGATAATATTTACGTAGATAAACACTGTTGGTTGGCATTACTCCTAGGATTTCATAAGACCTTGGCACGTCAAGTGGAGCTGATACAGCCCGGTTTGAAAAATTTCCGAGATTGCTCGACGTAATGTCTCGAACGAGCCTTACAAATTACCTGGCGCTTCTACAGTGTTTCCATCCTGCATCATTGGGGAGACTCTGACACTAATGCTCTACAGCAACAGGTCTCGTGGATATTTGCCTGATTCCCGAGGCACCCTTCTCGTTGGAGCGCGTGTGTGATCGCGTGAGCACCGTGTTGGGAGAGAAGGGCCACTGCGTCATTTGCGTGGCGGAGGGGGCAGGGAACCACTTATTGCAGACGCTCGAGAATCCCGAAGAGGACGACATGGGCCAGCTGCTTAAAAACACTCTTGTTCGTTTCTTCGAGGTGGGCGTCGGCCCTAATGGCGCGCTTTACCAAGCTGCAATGTTACAATCAGTTGCAATGGAGACTCCAGAATGAGCATTGACATGGCGGTGCAAGGTCAAAGTTCCTTTGGAATTTATGAGCGCACTTCGGAAGAGATCGTGAAGGTCCCGGAGCACTTCTTGTCACTTGATATCGCTCCGCACAGATGGCCACATGTCCTCATATATGATGGTGAACCATCCCGCTTGGCTGGCGTAATATGCCCATTAACATGATGTGGACATTATACCTGCAAGGTGGGATGATTCACCACCATCACCAATCAAAGTTGGATTGTGTAGAAATCTATAGGAGGCACTCTAAATACAGTTGCAACTGTATTGAGAGTGCAGCCCTGCAAGCAGCACCTCTGAAAGATCGTCCTACCTGTCGCAATTTTGTCTAAATATTTACGGAGCTGCAAACTCGCTCCAAGGGACCGCAAGGTTTTACTTCTTTTTCGAAACTGCGGTCCAGAAAAATGCGCCTCACTGCATTTTAAAATCACCGTTCTTGTCATTTTCCTTTAAACGAGGAATCAGCACGATCGATGTAAGTAATCCATCTTGCAGCCTTCAATTCCCTTCAGGGCGAAAATTAGACAAAACGTAATTAATTGGATCTCGAAATTGATAGAGAGTTTCTGGCGGCTACTGAATGCATACTGAAATCATAAGGCAGCCATGCAGCATTGCCATTCATCAGTTGTCCACGAAAATGCAAGGAAGCAACTTGCGCAGAAAACAGCGTTGCCCATTAAGCCCTACAGGCGTCGCCTCAATCCCAAATTTTCCAACAGAATCACGTGCTGCCGGTTGTCGCAACGTGTGGCCACCCGCCAATTGGCCCCCATCGCCTTTACGTCGCGAGGGCAGTGCACTGAGGAGTGCTCGATAACTATCATTTCCGGACACGAAAATCATGAAAGATATTAGGGACATAAATTCTTACAAACTTAAAGCCCTAAAAAACGAACACACATGAAAGACCCCTAAAAACCCAAAACGACCTACTTGACGGGTGCAAATTCATGACTACATGAACGGCATGACCATCGCCACCCCTTCATCACCTTTACGAATTCGTACCTGGCAGTAAAATTGGGTCAACCCGACATCCATGAATGTGCTGACAGAATTTTGCCCAAATTCGGTCCAAGAGACACCCCTTGGTGCGCAGGGTGACGTCGACGTCAAGTACATCGACCCCACCTACATGATCCGCGCGGGTCCGCCGTCCACGGTCGACAGCATCTACTGCAAGGTGCTGGGGCAGGCCGCGGTGCATGGGGCCTTCGCCGGGTACACGGGCGTCACCATCGGCATGGTAAACACGCACTACGTGCTGCTGCCCACGGACGAGGTCATGAGGGAGTGCAACGAGGTCAACGTAAAAGGCCGCAGGTGGAGCAGGTGAGCTGTCGCTGATGCGAGCTTGAGGAGCACTCACTCGATTTATTCGGGGCTTGGTCAAAAAACCACTGTTCTGTTGAAGGGCCGTTAGAGTGACCGATTTCGCGTGCGTGCGTCTGCTAAGCTTGGAGTGCAAATGTGATTAAGGCCGCATAGGTGGATTTCCATCATTCACAGCCTGCTGTGGGACGGACGCCTGCGGGTGCCAAGAATTTTATCCTAGCTGGGTGGCTGCGACTTGTCGATCTGCGGCAATATCAGCGCAATGAGCTCTGCGTGCATTCCTATTTTAACACATTGTGTTTTGAGGCATTGCGATCTAGCAGCGCTCTGCCCACGAAGCATGATTGGGACAAGCGTGCCATATTGCAACGGGGGGGAAATGACTTGTGCTCAGCGCATAGCCAGCGGTGTCTTCCATGCGCTCTCAGAAATACACTTGTCCTAGCTGCTGCAAGGCAAGGTCCTTGATCCATGCCCGCGAGTTTACATCGCAAAATATCATGATTCTCCAGCAGGATCATGATATGTTGCAATGCAAACTCGCAGGCAATGAGCTCTTCAAACAAAACACGCCTTTCGGCAAGCAGGTACCTCAGTCGGCACCTTATGGCACACTGTTGTACTTTGCATTTTGGCGAATGGTGTGCCGCAAATGTTAGCACGGACATTGGGATCGTCCCCAAAGAGACCCAAACACCTGAGAGCCACATCCCACCACCATCCCCACCGCCAACAGATCTGTATCTTTAGTGTTGTATTGGGATGGCCGATTGTTGTCAACCATGCCAGTATTGCTGTCCGCAGGCTGACGCAGGCTCTTCGGCAACCAGACCTCGGCGCCGGCAACGTGAGAGACGCGGAGGTCACAGGAAACGGTGCGGGGGCCCTGAAGAGGGGAAAAGAACACGCTTGAATGGGAAGCTTGGTCGAAAGGCTAGAAGATGGACGCAGGCATCGCAGTGCGGAAATTGCAGGTTTGACAGGGGTCTGCTCGGGTCACCGTAGTTCACTATCTGTTGAGGGCACTTGCGATTAAGACAGAAGACCAGCTGGTGCGGAGAGGTCAGGTAGGCACCTGAGCCCCTCCCAGCCAACCCTACCTGTCTGGACCGATTATTCCAAGGCAAGCAGGGAGGGGGTTGGAGTCTTTTGCCGTGAGAGAGCAGGCAATTAGGAGCTGCTCGCCTGATGCCCTTGTGTTCCAGAGTGGAAGCAAGGGAAGGGTCGGTGTGCATTTTTTGGTTACATTTGCTACCTGAACAAGGCTGAAAAATCGTCTTGGTTCGCAAGGTAGACGCGAAACACCCAAAAAGTTGTCAGCGAGTTTGCCTCATTGTGGCTTCAAGTTGTCGTGAGGCAAACTCGTAAAAGAATTCAGCGCCTAACAATTTGGAACCCATTAATCAACGAGGCCGTCTGCCCTAATCTCCATGAGCGTGCGAGACCTGGGTTGCTTAGAGACAGGTCCTCCGTGGAAACAATTGTTAAATGAGGATTCAAGGCCAGGCACCGGCTCCGGTACCAACCTGTTGGCGCACATCCTTTGACGCCCATCATGCGCAGACAATCGCCACGCCCAGCTAAAAGCAGGAGGCGAAAGGTAAATCTTAGAGGAGGCGTGAATAGCACCAGGATGGCCAATTGCCTGGGGCTTGTTGCGTGGGTCTTCCTGAGACCGCCCTGTAAGGCCCCGAAATTTCAACAGTTTCATCTGTTCGATGGGCAGTGTGAGCGGCAGCCCACGCCAGAAGTCCCGCCAGCAGAACAGCCATCCAAGGCGAAGTTCTCGTAAACAGAACAATCCTTATATCAAGCTGCAGAACATTGAGCCTGGCAAAGCAGCGACTCACAAGGGGCACATGGCAATTGGCGTTACAGTTCGGCTTGTGGATCTTGAGGCTTCCTCTTTGTGAGGTAGCGCCGTAGTTCCTTCTCGTAGTCCTGCACATGTTCGCCTAACTCGACCTTCAGAGGTTGCAAATATTTCTCGTACTTCCTCCATTTCCCCATCGATGTAGTGTATATGTCTTGCCGCACCTGCGCACTTCACAACTCTTAATCGCTCGCCCAAGCGCTCCAACTCGTCCGCTGCGCACTTGACAAAACGAGGCGGCCCCACTTTTTCCAAGGTCCAACAACCTTGGGGTACAAGTTGGGTGCAGCAATCAGCACTTAATAACATTCTGTTGATATTCAGCCAATGTTCAACGCTCTTTCCATCCGTTCGCAATTCTCCAAACCGATAAGGAGCACAGCTATTGTTATTCTTGTGCAGGTATGGTTTTCAGCAGTCCAGCTTGGTGCCATCCTGGCAATTGAGAATGGGAAGATGCCACACCCACAAGAGCCGCGTTTGTTGTGCATCGCTGTAACTTCGGTGCTAAAGAAGGAACAGCTTTTTGTGTGTCTGAGAGTGATGGGAGATGGCGACTTGAGAACGACACAACAAAAGAATCATCTCACTTTACGAAAACGCAGTCATTCCAAATTACGAAAAATTAGGGGAACGTCAGCCCTGCTATTGAACGGGAAAAATTAGTCGGGGAGCTGATGCCTGTGATCGGTGCCTGACGTCATCCAGTAGCCGACAGTGAATCGGTACGTCCTCGAAATTGTCATCACGGAGAAATTGCACATCACATGCGGGGTCCAATCGGACGACACTGGACACCATTCAGGGGAGTTCATGCGATAATGCGGACCCATTCGGCAGTATGCTGGTCTGATACGAAGGCATAGCTTTCTGGTGCAGATTCCATGCAGTGCGTCCGACAACCAGCATCACCTGTGCGAGGCTCGCTGTTTGGACCGCCCTGTCCGCTTCGTAAAACCGCAAAACACGGTCCTCCCATTGCAGGCCGCAGTGTTCCAGTATCCTCCTGGCCTCACCTTCTACATTCTGCACCAGAGCCTCATAACGCACCTTCAGGATCTTGTGGGGCAGGACCTTGGACCAGTGGCGCATCAGATTTTCCAGCAGTCTCTGCTGGTGACCAATCTCTGCAACGGGACAGCACGTAATGAGCAGAGACCAAACGTGGGGTTCTGCAAGTCGGCACAGTTTCACACAATTAAAAAGAATCTACATTATACGGGTCGCATTTTTTGAACAGACTCTCTGAACGGATGTAAACATGTGGCACAGCACCCCCGAATTAGAAGCAACCTTGGAAACATGGCACCCATATTGTGATCCCGTATCGTGGACGCAACAGTTTTCTCAAAATGACTCAGAAATATGGGCATTATGGGGGCCACATTTTGAAGAGCGGCCCCTTGACCCTCGGCGCAATCTTCCCACAGTCTGTGACAGTAGCGGTGGTACAACTACTGTGCGTACTTTAGGAAGGCCGCAAGCATCCCACCTGTCAGGTTCCATGCCCACGGGGTGCCTCGTCCTTCAAACGGCTGGGCGTAGCAGCTCAGACCGGCGTCCATGGGGTGCCTTGCCGCATGGATGATGCAGGAATCCGGGAGCATCAAGTGAATGTAGCCCAAATTCCAGACGTTCCGCAGCATCTTGTCCACTGTGCGTGCTACACCGCCGTTCCCGCCAGCTACTGCCATTTCGTGCACCTTCGCCACGTATGTCGCCCCGTAGTCGCGAAAGACCTGCAGGAGGAGCGGATGCAGGCCATGCATTGAACAAAATACGAATGGCCACCCTCTGAGGCCTTTATCCCATGCGTGTCATGAACATCGCACTCTGCTACCCCCTGTTGCTGAAGGCCGTTGCTGCACTCTGTGCAAGTTGAAGTTAATGCGTCAAAGCAACTGAAGAACGCCAAACGTCTTGCGCATCGAAGAGAGAGAGAGATAATTTGATGTTTGTGTCAAGCAGTTCTTCAGTATTCTCGCTCTTTGCTGTCCTGTGCGAGGAAATAGCTCTCATTGCACCACTGCCAGGGGCAGTCTGCCACCACTCCTTGCAGTGAACTACCAAGTCGTAGTGTTTTGAAGTCATTCTGCATTCATGGTTTGCAGCACAAGCTAGGTAACAATAGTTAGGTACTTTCTTTCCCATCCCTGGTGACTTGTGAGGATGCAGAATGAACAGAGCGAAAATATCATGTGACAGTGCCCGCAATCTGCAGTCCATTTTATATATTACATAATAGATTTGATCTACATTCACACATCCAGCCCATGATGCTAACCAGCCAACAAACCACATGATTGTGCCCATGAGTTTACAATTTGCCTGAATATGCAGATGCCTTCTGGTATGGCAGATTTCCAAGTAACTGATGTTCTAAAAGGCGACATGGCGACTTTTGCTGACATCTGGCGAAGGCCACCGTCCATGTTAGATAGAATCACTTTCAAAAACCACTTAATCAATGGCATCATGATTGTGCAGACAACACACGCATCTAGCTGCATGGCAGGTCTTTACTGCACCGCTCAGCCCTCTACCACATGGTAATTGGTTCTTGGAGAGCATTGTTCGCAACATGGGATGGATTGTGAGGCGGCAAGACATATCTGGCCCACACTGCCATCGGCCGCAGTGGGAGAGGCACAAGTACTGCATCATTCCTGCCCTGGGCAACAATTCCCTCCAGTGATCGAACAAAGAACTGTAAAAATGAAGGTGCAAGAATCCGCAGTGTTGTACCGTTTCTTACATGAGGCTGGCCATCCTTTCCCATATGTGCCATCAGCTCGCCAACGAGGGGGGCCAGGGGGGTGTCTTCCCCAAGCGCATGAACTTTGGAGTGCGACGCCAGCAGCTGCTCAATCAGGGTGCTTCCAGATCGAGGCATCCCCACAACGAAGATTGGCGTGCTGTCATGAAAACCCCAGGTTGGATGGAAAGTTGAGGCTGTGAACATTTGCGTCATCACCTGAACAGTGCCATGCTCGATTACCTCAGGATGTGGCTCTTCAATGATTGGTGGCATGTTGCACGCCTCCTGCATTCGAAGGCTTACACAATGCTAGAGAATCCTACATTTTCCAGTACAGAAAAGGGATTGGCAGTTAGGAGGGTGCTAGGCGGAAGGTCTTCAACACTCTGTATTCTACGAATCTGAGATCCCCTCTTGAACTTTGTGACTTTTATATAACAGCTGCAGTTGGTGATCATAAACGGTCTTATGGGGATGCCAGCTGCAAAAGGTTGCACAGCAGGCATGATGTCAGGCAGGCTCAGGGTTGAGCACTTTGCCATGAATAACAAGCGCCTGAACATCACCAGTGTGACGCCTCAATGTAGTGCGTCCACTACTTCATCTTCAAAGAATTGGGTGCAATGTTCCTCGAAAGCATGAGCACTGCAGTCACCTGAAAGCCCATTTGCTCCACTTTTGGATCATAGTTAATGCCCTCACGTTGCAGTCGGTTCCCCTCCTCCAGGTACTGCCATGCGATGTCAAGCTGGCTAAAATACAGAACACTATCACAACCTACATCGTGTACTGCAGGCTCTTCTCAGCGAAACAGGGCTTTCGCCCAAAGCCACTGTTCCACTTGCAATCTGATATATGATTAAGTGAAAACAATGCTGAGATGGGCTGTGTGCTCATCGCAGATTGGCATGCAATGCAGTACCGGCAAGTAATATTGACACACCAGGTTTGCTTTGGCATATGATAACAAGGCATCACAGTATTCTTGAGCCAATCCTGTCATGCAGACAACGCCAAACACACCTTGGCGTCAGCAATCACAGCACAATGCCAACATCCATCCCATATGGTGCATGTGTAACAAGCCTTCCTGCAAATTATCCGGCCAACGACTGGCCTCCTGTTGACAAAGAACGTGGATTATGCCTGTGAACATCTGGCAAAAGTGGCTGCACTTGCATCTGCTAGTTACTGCTGGAGCCATCACTAAACTGGCAGTCCAAAATCAAATAGAATTCCACATGCACAAATGTGGAGTCGAGTCACATGTCGCACTCAGGCTATCGATATATTAATCACAGCCAAATGGCATACAGGCACTTCTGCATCATCAGCTTTTGTTAGGCCCATATGCTGTCCGCCACAGACTGCAGCGCGAAATCCATGGGAATGGACAAAATGCAGATGAGCAATGGTCACTACAGGTTTTCGTGGCTCCATCTCAGGAACGAAGATACGCAATGTAGACGGCCAATTCCACAATATCAAAACAGCTGCAGCATTTGTAGAATTGAAAATCAAACACTCATGATTGCATTTCTGATGTCTCCAGGGTTACCATTACACACTGCATAAAGGGGCGCAATGCCGGAGGCTATGAACATCCAACGTTGGAAGTTGCTCACTTGGTCAACTACCTCACATGACAAGCTGTGCTTGACAGCAGCTGCATGCCTATGGAAAAACACAGTGGTTTTCTTCGATGGGTATCACACCTGTCCTGCAATGCTTTGTAGAGGGCGAAATACAACCAGGAGCGGTCAGCATCCTCCATGGCATCCAACCATTGCCATTCTTCTTTTGCACTGCATTTGCGCTTGCCCTCTGTTGAATACCCCATCAAAGCCCAGAACCAAGTGAGCAATCCACTCTGGATCCATGTGCTGTTGGGCCCTTCAGAGCCTGTGGCATTCTCTGCACCATCAAGAACATACGGATTGTGGGGAGCAGAGATTTCGTTGGCATTTGCTAAGCTGGCATTGCTTGCATACAACGATGAAGACGCACATCTTCCAACCAATGCGTTGCTTGCCATATGCAAATCTCTGAACACATGCCACTGTTGTAAAGGCACGCATCCATTCCATGGCAAGGCTATAACTACCAACTGCATATTTACCAATAACAATCAGGAGCGAAGTTTACAATCACTATCGGCAAGATGAAGGGTACCATCGATAAAATGAGGCCCTCTTCACATGCTAGCTTGATGCAAGAAAACATCGCAAGTGTCATTTGAAAAATAATATGTTGTTAAGTTGAAAAGGCACTTGTGAATTAAAGTTTCAAAGAGCATATTCAGTCATGGTAATATGGAAGAAAATAGTTGTGCAAATCAAGTCAATAGAATCAGGGGCTGCGAATCTGAAAAGTTTCTTGTCAAGTAATGGATTTCCAGGCACCCGAATCTGCAGATCCCCAACAGCAAGTGCAAATTCCTTGGAGGAGACCAACAATGGCTTCAGTGTGCCCCAACGGGAGGCCCTCACCACCAAGGCCTCTTCTTAAATAGTCTGCAGCACACTGTAGTTCCCACAATTGTTGAGGTGGAAGTCTTTGCATCGCCGCAGCTGCCTTTGCATACACCGCTGTGTCGAATCCACGAGCAGCATCCAAGGTCTGCGCGAAGGTTGACTCAGATGCCTCCAGCTGACCTATCATCGACAATGCCTTGCCCTTATTGAATATGAGGCCTGCGACCTGTTGCATGAACACAGTTTTAACCCTGGACACAGAGTACTGCACAAAAGCAGGCATACGTGTATGTGGCAGGCAGCAAACACAACTCTGTTATGACACCATCGGTGAATGTTGTACTGCCCTCCATCGCATTTGTTGTGAGTACACCCAGACACTGCACTTGCATTGGGACACATATTCCTGATTCATAACAGGCAACTTAACAGGGTACAGGGTATTCATAACCAGCAGCTTAACAGGCAATTTAACAGGGTACTGTCTGCGCCACCACTGGTGTCACTCTGATATGGTACAAAAGGTGCGTTCACACAAGAGTGCTTCCACATGTCTTTTGACATGCAGTAATGTACTACGTAAAGAACTTGAAACCATGCACCTCTTTGGAGTACTGAGACTAATTTGGGCAACAGTGCCTCGGGGGAACTTAAAGTAATGTCTGAGAACCCAGCAAGCTGTGTTTTCCAGCCTGATGCATAAGACAAAACTCCACCTGGTGTGTTCGTACGATTCAGCATTTCGGAATATGCAGAAGCAATGTCTGCCAATGAGAGCCCAAATTCCATGTCAAATGGAGTCTTTGCCAGAGGCTCCTAACAAACATTCAACATGTTTATTGGCTTATGAATAGCCCGCAGACTGACTTGGTGCCCTGATGCTACAGGCGTCTTTGTGCTCAGTACATGGTACCTACTGAAGAAAGGTCCTTGCGTTCGCTGGTTGGGTTTGCTTGCAGCGAGACTCTGACAGCCTCATCAATGCACTTAATGGCCTCTTCGATTCTGCCACTGGACATGAGCAGAGCTCCCAAATTGCCAAGTATGATTGTTTTGGCCACGGCTGGCAATGTGAACTCCAAAGCCTTCCTGCACAATAGCATCAGGATTTAGCATTCCAAAGACCAACAGAGATGCAAAGCCACAGGCAAGTTTCCTGTGTTCTGCAAACTTGTTACTAGTGTGTCATGGTTACAGTCCTGCTGACCTCTTTTGCTTGTCTCTCCGAGACTGTCAGTACAACCCCCTTTCCACTTGTGGAAGCAAATAGGTGCAAGGGACTGTCTTGTCTGGTTTGATCAATGCAGTCAATACACATTTGCACGGCCATCTACATCTGTACCAGATGCAGAAGAAGTCCAAATGGGCGTTCATGGCATTAAACTCTCTTTCGCTGATGTGTCCCCAAGCATATGCAAGGCAGATAATGCAAACAGCAGCCCTGAAGAGCAGGGAGAAAGCTGCACAAGGACACCTGGCTTCTCTTCATGCGGTCTATTTCTGTTGCATCGCTTCACGCAATGGGTTCTGCATGGCATGACTGGCAACACTCGCTTCCACACCTTTAATGTGGCTGCATGGTCTGCTGTGCATTCCACACACATATCTCCTCCACAACCACACAGTGGACAAACCATTTTGCATCTGCACGTGCACTAACTTGCACCTTCCCACCATATGCATTCACAACTAATTCTTGCAGAATGCATGTTGTTCACACCAACTTGTATTTGCACGTGGTGGCAGCAACACAGGTCGTATGAGCCTCAGAGTCGGGTCCATGCTTTGCTGCCCAGAGTATCTCCACTGTCTGCATATCCATCAGGCTCTGTTTCAACTGTCTCATCCAAGGCTTGCAATTTGATGGCAATACCAGAATCTGGAATGCAGGCCAGCGTCCTTGTTGCTGTGTTGTTCCTTATGCATTTGGAGACTTCGGCTGGTTTCTCATCACCAAGGCAATGGGCCAAGGGGTTGTCTGTTGTATGATGTGTTGTTCTTTCTTTAGGAATCATCCGTGCACACATGAAACTAAATGAAGGGTACACATCGCTGCTCCTAAAACACATACTCTGGCAGCTACATTTTTATCGAATGTGCATGGTCCACAATGCTTGGGCCACAAATGGGACCAATTGAAACGAGATGATGAGCAAGAATCGATGTGTGATCTTGCCGCTCTGTTGTGTTACTACCTTCCAGCTCTAAGTGCCCTGCTCTGTCCTGGGCAGGCAAATATTTTGGAGCAATTCATTGACACTGCTACTGCTCCATGTAGCGCATTAGGCAATCAAACCATTGCAGCATGACAATCTCACTTGTATGCCTTCTCAGCCTCTGGTATATTGCGTCCTCCATCAGGTCTGAGTTGGTTGACTTCCTGCAGGGCCATTCCCAATTCGATGTACGCTTGCACCTCATCAGGACTGGCCTTTAGTCTCTGCCTCAGCCTTGCCACATCATTGTTCAGCTCCTGCAGACGCATTTGTTCCTGCGGAACAGGGATCTACAGGTGTTTGAAATTCAATAGACCATGCAGGCTTCTGTAAACAAAGAAATGGTGACACAATTTCTCATATTCCACTTGAACAACCTTGGAATGCATAGTTGCCGCTTTCATACTTGCCCTTGCATCAGTTCCATTGCTGTCGTCTTCTCCTTCTTGTCAATGCCTTTCTGTTTTTCGACGGCTGTCTTCATGTTTTGCAGATAATTGGCAGAGGATAGCAGATGAGGGATGCAAAAGTGTCCGTTTCACAAACAAGTCTCTCATCGCCTGCAAGGTGCAAGGCACCCACTTTGTCCTTCAGATGCAACTTTGACCAAAGGAACTTAGCCATCATATTTGCTCCTCTTGTGCTGCGATTTGCAGAAAGGTACATTGTATTCATCCTGGGAGGGGAAGCTGCAGTGCCCAACAAGCTGTCCTATCAAGGAGTGAATGTCAGCACATACACTGAATATGAATCGTGTGTGTATAATTATATCATAAAATATAGACATCAATATGTGGGCCCCCAATAAACCACATAACTATGTTAAGCAAGGTAAAATGCCTCTTTGCAACGGGACATTGTTGTCTGTGGCGCCCACAAGGCTGAGAGAGCAGCTGTGGTGGGCAGACATTCCTTTGTCAAGCCGATGAAGTGTGAAAAAAGAAAGAAAATGTGATCGAGTTGTCTAACGGGTAGAGCAGCCCTTACAAGAGCGCCACAGGGACAAATAACCAGGCCAGAAGGGACCATGCGAATGAATGCATGAATGCATCCATCACATACAAATTGAGGCCTTGGCCATGGCGCGTGTCTTAGTGAGGTCACATCAGCGGACAACAGCAGCTTTTCTGGCTCGTTGTACAGGGCAAGGCACCCGAACTCTGAGGTGCACCGCATTCAGATCGGCCCTTTCACTGTTGTGAGAAAGGCATGCGGTTCTGATCGTTGCCGTTGAACGTTAGGGCTGGCCCACCAGCCACGCGTACGGTGCAGATCAGTGCAGGATCGGTGCAATTCATAGGCACTGCAACCGGGGTTCCATTGCATGGAACCACAAGTCTTTCGGCAGCCTTTCACCCTGATTGCGACAGACTTGCGCCCGGAGGCAAAGTTGGCATGCCCAGCGCACAAGAAAATTGTCGCCGAAGGCTTCCTTCAGTTTCAACATGACCGGGTTTGCCCAAAGGGCAGCGCAGATTGAAACACACGGGGGAACTGAAGGTAGACGCGACGGAATATCGGCGGGCGAAGCTTTGACGGGGAGGGTACCGGAGTGGCTGCCGGCGCAAATCCGGCGAAGAACGTCGCCACAATCCAGACGACAGCTGTACGCCTCATGGGAGGCGACGACACGACGCTCGACATCTGCCTCCTGCCTCCTGCAGACACCCGGCGCTGAGACCACGCCTTGCTTTGTCCCCGGGCGTCAGCAAAGCGCGGGACGGCAATCGTCGCCCCCATTTCACCCAGCCCATCCAGCCCACCAAAGGGTGAAAAAAGCTGTTCGCTGTTACGCAGACCGTGATCATCGTGGTTGGCTGGTGCTCTTCGCGACCCAAACCCGCGCTACACTGCGCCAGCGAGACCTCCCCGCTGCGCCAACAGAGCGTAGGCTCCCCGGGCGGCCCCAGGGGCCCTAGACCGGGACCTGCGTCAGGACTGCTGTGGGGAGCGCCCGCGCAGCGCCCGCGCGCAAGCGGAGATGGCTGGGGCGCTGTTCGGTGCGATCGTCCTGTCGCGGGAGCTGAAGCGGATCGCGCTGGTCAAGCCGCAGGGCTGCCCGGTGTGGTGCTTCCCCATCGGCGAGGTGGAGGGCCAGGACGGCACGGTGGCTGCGATCTCGGTGGTCGACAAGCAGACGGGCGTGAATATAAGGGGAAAGATCAGCGAAGATTTTGTAGAGGTTCGAGTCTCACGAAAGGGCCATCCCATTGGGCGCTGACTCGCTCTCGAGCGCCGTCTGCTCGCGAATTCGCTCGCTTTATCGCTCTGGAGGCGTAACGCGCGTTTTTGTTCCCCTTCTCTTTGTTTTCCTGAAGTCGCTCGAGGCCTGATCTCTTGGCTTAGCACGCCGTTGTGTTCCTACCTGCAGTCGGTGACCGCACCTTATGTTGGGCACCACGGGCTCCTTGACACGCGTGCTGCGTCACCTTTGTTTTCTTTGTTTTCCAGCTGTTTCTTGGCCCTGATCTTGTGTCCTTGTTCGCCATTGCTCGCCGTTGGACGGCAAGGAAAAGTGCTCCAATTGCTCTGCTGAGGAGGCGGAATTCAATGCATGCAACCTCCATTGTTGGAAGCGGCACTGTTTGACCTTTTTTGGGATGCCCCTCTGTCCCAACAGGCAGAGTTTCCAGCAGGAAGTGGCACACAGTGCCGGTTGTACATGGCCTACGATGTGCCAGACGGTACCATGCAGCCAGCGCCAGAGTCGGCGATCGAGCAGGCCTCCTGGCATCCAGTGGAGGAAATAGTCAATTTGCCACCAGACACGTCAGCAGAAGAGCAGCCAGTGATGCCGTTTGTGCAGGGCCTGAAGCAGTGGATCGCACGGTAGGACAGTTGCGAAACCCTCAGTGACTGGATTCATGCTCAGCACCTCCCCATCCGCACCCCACCCATTAACCCCAGCTGGAAAGGTCAACAGGGTTGCAGCGAGGCATGCACAGCTGATTTAGCAGCCTGCTGGGATTGTGCAAGTTCACTGTCATGCGTCGTTTCCATGGTGTCGCAATGGTCCTAGTGTAAGGTAGATTGTGGATCCTGTGCTGTATCTGTCTGACCCTGGAAACGGTGAACCGTACAAGTGGATTGAAGGTGCTCAGAAACTTGTATGAGCACAGGTCAGGTCATGGCCCAGGGCACAGCCATGTAGAATACTCATGCAGTGCCCTTTCGGAGTGAGATTCCAAGGTGTGTACAGATTAGAGGTAAAGCACTACCAGAAATGCAGAAAGTGTGTGGGGACCGTGAAACCAGATGCCCTGTGATTTCAGTTTTTGCGATTGACTGATCATGCCCAGGCACCTACAAAACCATGAACGGCAGTGTGTGCATGAAGATTGTTCTGTCACCAAGTGCTCATACAAAATAGTTGTCATAGCAGATGTACCATTTAGAAGAGTCCAAAATTGAATCTCTTGTCAAAGTGGCATTGTAACCAAGCTGGGGATGGACTTTGGGTGAGGGAGCTGGTGCTGTTTGGTGGGCAGGAACCATGAGCTGCGTGTGAAAGGCGACGAGAAATTTGGATGGAATTTGATTTATGCCAAAGACCGGTGGATAGGGATCAAGCCACAGATGGTGCTGAGGAACCACCTACAAGGAAACCAGGTTATGACACTTGATGTTGCCTGGTGCTTCCCTGATGAAGTGCAGTGCAGTGTGGCCGTTGATTGTGTCGTCTAAAATGCGAAGCACTGCAATATTGCTAAACACTATATGACCGCAACACAAAAATGCTGGGGTGATGCAAACCGAAAGGATTTGGTGGCATTCTGGGATCTTTGGATGGCAATCTGACGAGGCAGGGTGTTTTGGTTGATCAGTTCCTCCATGCATTTTGCGAAACTGTTGTACTGTGTTGGATGTTGTGGACTCCTGGTGTTTGCATATTGTGAGCAGCATGGTTTTTTGGTATGTCATTTTGTCGATGCAGCCATTGACATCTGTTTATGTATTGCGGCACCTGTTGGATGCTGCCAAATGACATGCTGACCTTGGCCAGGGGGTTAGGTGATGCATGAATCAGTTTAGTGGCAGCCCCTGCTGCTTCCTATGTAGGCCCTGTAGCAGTGAAGTGGGTGACCCATGTCCAATGTCAACAAGTGGAGCACGCTGACAGAGTCCAGCATATTACTCATTTGAGCTGTTGAGGACGAGTTACCACAAAAGGAGGTACTGTATTGCTCTTAACCAACATCCTCGGCAGGCTTGTGAGCCAAATGATCACAACATGAAAAATTGAGCTTGGCTCAGAAAACACATCGTGGCCATCGCCCTGTTGGAGCCATGTGCTGCATTGCATGTTGGTAAATGCACTGCATGCGCACATGTAGATTCGAACATGTGGTAATGACTCCGAATGATCCAAGATGGGCAGGTGGTCAGTGGCATTTCGTGCTTCCCTGCAAGTGCAACCACATTGGGGCCTTGCACACAGAGCAGCAAGCTGTGGTCCCTGAGCACTGAATTGTGGAAATTTGATCTTGAACGGTGGGGTGTTCCAGCGCATGTTTCAGGAATGCGGTTTGCACAGCACATTCGAGGACACACAGCCAGTGGCATTGACTGCTGTTGCTCACCTGATTCCTTCTTTCTGTTTCCTTGCAGTGTCCTCTGCCTCACTATGAAACCTTTGAGCCTCAGTCTGTCCCCAATCCAAACTCGTCAGCCGGCCCGGGCTCTAAGGTGTACTGTGCAACCTGTACGCTTCCACACCTTGGTGTACAGATCACGCCAGGTGAGGTGCACCTGCCGGGGCTGGGTCAATCATTGGTCAACCATTGGGCGTTGGCCAATGGGTGTGACTCTGGCCCATTCCGGGGTGCTGCGCTGTACACCAAGGGCGTGGATGTTTATGGGGTGCAGAGGCCGGATCGGAACCTGCCGGCATGACGTCATCTCCTGATGCTTCTGATCTGTCGGATCGAAAATCTTGGCACTCAACAGCTCCACCAGTGGCCACGTCTCTGCTTTCCAGGGTTTCCGTGGCATGAATCTGGTGGTCACTGAAACTCTGGAAAACGCTCTGAAAAGTGCCACAGACATTTCCCAGTGGATCTGTCAAACACCGACTTGACGTTCCGTGCGGCTGAAGTATGTAATGTATGTCGATGTTTGTTGAGGAGGGCGCACATGATAGACGGGCTCTCTTTTCAAAATTGAAGTGCAACTGGTTCAGCTTTATGTGCATCTGGACTGGGTGATACTTATTCTGAGCCGCCTTGCGGACTGCTCTCTTCGAGGATTTTCTCCAAACATGTACATTGCTGATATTGGCAGAGTTTTCCTACATCGACCAAGAGAGTGCCATAGAGAATGCTGCACTGGCGGCGTTCGTGTACCTGGAAGGGGGATGTGACGTTCAATCCACATTTGTGAACATCACTTGCGTGGGCGAGCCTCCTCACGTCAACAACCCTTGGAATGAGCAGGTGAGGACACCTGTGGGCGTTGAACTCCATGAATGGGCTGCCCACTGCGCATGTTGTTGTTAATGCAGTGCTTTCGTAAAGGTGAGCATTTCACCTGTTTTGAGACAGTGCTGTGGACATCTGTGATGGTGTTGCTGCACTTTTGTTTTTGGAGCAACTGCTATGTGCAGTGTACCACGCACCCCACCCACGTCAACCCAAAACCCCACCTCTCCCTTTTCCACCCAGCTATCCACACCCTTCTGTATATGCGAACGTGATTTCGTCCATCGACTACTTCAAATAAGATCAAAGAAATCAAATAAAATTGACTATATCGAATAGGATCAAAGGGATATCAAATATCCTTTGCCTTCACGTTAGCAACTGCTAAACTCACCCTTCTTGAGCAGCTGGAAATGTTTGAACCCCTTTAGGTACATCACCTCGTTTTAGCATAAAACCAAATAGTTGTAAGTACTTGCATCATCCCACTGAACAGGCAACTTCACAACGGCGCCAGGTATTTGATGTGTTCATGCATTTGTGAATGCACACCTGCAGCAGCCCTTGCTTTGTTACGGGTTCATAGCGGATTTGATAGAGCATGACGGACTTGTACGTTGATGTGTCAATGTGTGTGCGCACCTACATTTGGTGCCCCACGGGCCACAGCTCTTGGTTCATTCTCTGATACAAATTCGGAGCAGATGTGATACAGAGCTATGGACTGGACCTGCTCTTGAGCTGAATTGTTCTGTTTGGTGCACTGCCCGGTCGAAAATGCTGAGTAGCTTGATTTCTGTTTTCTCTGTGCGGTGTGTAAAGAATGCCACTTCAAACGAACAGCAGGTCTGTCGGTTTGGCGACCTTGCTGGCTTCGACTCGACAGCTATGACTTGCTGGCCCTAGTCCCTTAATGGCGACGTGTATTCCTTCTGACTGGATATTATGCTATTGCCCAGGCTGAAAGAAAGGCAGCTGCAGAACGAGAATTGAAACAGGCCGCAGATTCGTTAGTGGGAGACTATCCAACTACACTGCAGCTCACAAACCAAGGCACAGATGGCGCCGCCAACGCTGTTCGCCAGATTGGGAACCCTGTCAGGCGCCAGAAGGCGAAGAACCCTGGGCCTGTGGGGAAAAATGCTATACAGGTGTGGGGTCCTGCTGGTTGGCACATGGAATATCAGTGCAAAAAACGTGTGGAGGACTGGGTGTATCAGCACAATGGGGCTGTGCATTGGGGCTGTTGTCGCCACACGAGTTGTTGCATGCTCGAAGGCCTTGCCACACACTGTGCGCTACCAAACTTGACCACAAGCAAGTGCGCCTGGTGGATGCTCAAGAATTACATTTGATAGAATTCCACCACGAGTCATCCTGACCCACATGGGCTGATACGCTTCTAGGCTATACAGTTTCGACCAAAGCAGGGTGGGTCTGTCTTCGTTCCCACGCTCCCACAATCTGGCGCCAATAGTGACGTAACTCTTGCCGTGGTCCAGAGCTGATATGCATTTGGACACGGACATTTATATGGGCGGACAGCGCATCGCTTGCATTTGTGTCTTCGTTGCATTCTATAACTGATATGACATACGTTCATTATGAGCCTGCAGGGGGCACTCTAGGTGTTGAGCAAAAACATGGCCAGTGGTCCAGTCCAGCGGCATTATTTGTCCCCTAGTTGTGAAGTTGCTATATGATGCTTTCCAAATACACGGGTCTCATTGAGAGCAATGAAACAGCATATCAGTGCCTGCCGCAGGAGTTGAAAGAGCTGTGCGACCGCAAGAAATGGATCCAGCCACGGTACGACTACTCCGTGGAAAACGGCCTCTTCGTGTGCACTGTCGCTCTGGTGGGCGCTGGCATCGAAGGCCTGTCCACAACCGGACACACAAACCAAAAGCAGTCCAAACTGGAAGCCGCCCAGCTGGTGATTGCGGAGCTGACCAGGCAGAATCTGTACATCTCTCCATTCCAGACGGGCGCCAACGCCACCCTGCCGCACCAGTAGTGGCACGGGGCGCAAGCAGAGGCTGGTTATCATGCACGAATAGGCAGTACTTTGACAACTGTGCTCAATGAGGACGCATGCAAAGGGCTGACCACGAGAGGCTCCTGTGCGTGAGGGATGCAGTCTGTGGGATGGCTGGAAATGGCATTGACGCCGCCCTGGTCTGTGATGACATGAGGACAGGGGCGTTGGTCTGGGGCCAGGCGACCAGCGATTGCGACGGCTGCTGCGTGGTTTGGATTTGCTGTTTTGAACGAGGCCATATCGGCAAGGTGGACAAGACTCAAGCTGTGAATGTGCACATGGATACGGGTAAAATGACGTTGAGACTGTTGACGACGGCCCAGTCAGGTGGCAGCACCGCAGGCTGTTCTATGCCACTGTCTTCTGCCTTTCGTGTGCACGCGCGTGTTTGTGTGCACAATGACAACGCCAGAGGGTGACGTCAGATATCGGTTCAAACCTGAGATTCTAATAGAAGTCCGCATTTAGAAGTGCACATGGGCGGCATGGAGCACTGTACGCCTTCATGTACCCCAGGACACACGGCGCGAGTCAAACCATGTCCAGCACGTTTTTGCGGTGCTTCTGCATGGTGACCCGTTGGCCGTCTTCCACAGACATGGGCAGCAGTCCCAAGCCCTTTTTTCGCCGCAAACTCGGCAGCATCCAGAGGATCCACCAGTAGCGGCCGTCCACATCAAAGGTGGCCTGGAACGCGCAATGCACAGAACGTCCGTCATTGCCTGGAAGGTGCAAGGGGATGTACTTGCCAGCTGCGAGCAAACGCAGTCAAAGAACTGTGCAGCTGAGAGTTTAAAGTGGCGACACAGGCTACCACAAACCTGTGGCGCTTTCGCCTGCACAGCAGCGACAAACATGCTGGAGCGGCAGGTCGTAGTTGATATGACAAACCGACCACGCAGCTGATGGTTTGGGAATATGAGATTCATGGTATGGCTGCCGTCGCCGTCACGGTAGTGAGCACTACCAGGGAAGACCGAACCAGCTATTGCAGCGAGCACCACTAATTCCCCAGCAACAACTGTGGTAGTCAACAAGCGTGGCAGTTTGTCCCCAACGCTGCGTAGGCCATGAGGTACGCCTCCCGTTCATGGCGTTTGCCCAAACCGTATACAACGGGGGCACGCGAATCGAAACAGGGCACACCTTCCAGTTTCTCACGGGGCCCATGTTGTACGGATTGCTGTATTCCTTTCCTTGTCTTCTGGCGGCAATAAAGCTCTCGCAGTTATCATAGAAGTCGATGGTACCCTGGCCAGACAGTACCAAGAAGCAATGCCAGGCGAAGAGACCACCCACTGCAATGCAGGCGGCGGCGGCAAGGACCATGGTGAACATTCGGAACCACAACAGTCTGTGGTGGTGATTAAGGAAGGTGTCCGTATTTAGCGCCATTAGGATGGCCTGCAAGCATCACAACAAAGGATCAAGTGTGCAAAATGGCACAATACGGTCCTTCGGTTGCACCACCAGATGCTTGACATGACAATGTTCCGGTATCTGCACGTCGAGGGCAGGTCACCGCCCAGTGCCGTGTTCGTGCGGAGCTCATGCAAGATTTCCGTCGTATGTTTCTTCAGCAACTAGTTCATGACAACGGTTCCTCTGTGACAACGATGAACTTCACAACCGCCCGTGATGTGTGTGCCCCTGCTTCCTATTACGCACTCCACCAACTGCACGCCAAGAGCATGATTGAATCGTATGAGCAGTCTGGAGCCTTGCCAACAGCGAAGTTACCAGGCAGAAAATGAAATGCGCAGAATCACGGACGCCGGAAGCCACTCGTTGCACCAAATACCATATATTCAGCAATTGCAAGTAGTGGCAAGATAGACCAGCACTCGAGCCACTGTGGCACAGGTGCAAATGACTTTGATATGCACATGGGCTCACACACCCCCGTGCACCCCAAGAGGTCCTATTTCCATTTTCGAACAGCCGAGGTGGAGGACACTGGCCCCCAATGGGGGCATGGGTTTCGACCCGGAACTTTCGAGGCTGTTAGCTATTTGGAGATGCGCGACCATGTGACAGAAATGCAGCAGTTTGTGCAAGCCATGGGGATGCAAGGGACACGAACACTCAAACGCGAACAGACGGACCGACTGCCGGAGGTCACGCTGGGTTAGAGGACCATGTGCACGTTAGGTGCACAGGTGTTCGCACTTGCAACACTAAGCTATGTTCGTGCTCCATCTAAGGCGACTGACGGCAGCAACAACAACACCCTGTCATGCAGGGTGGGTGTCAATCCTCACCGCATAGGCACACCCGAAAACAAGGTACATCAGAAACAGGAAAAAATAGCGGTAGTTCCTGAATCCCACGCAATTGCCCACCCACGGGCAATGGTGGTCCATCTTAAGAACACACCTGCGGGAGCAGAAACGAACGCATGAAAACCGAAAAGTGCGCTGGCCATCACCAGGGCGTGCATGAACTGTGAACACCAGGCGTTCGGGTGCCAATGCCCCAAGTTTTGGGGAAATCTAACCCATGGAAGGAAAGAACCATGTCTGCTCAGTTGGAACCATGACAGAACTAGGACTCTGACATGCCACCCAAGTACTCGATAAGCAGCAACCAACAACCAGAAATAAAACGCAAAGACACCTGTGCAATTGCAGTAACATTGTCAAGAATGCACAAAGAATGACCTGCTGCCCAGGACAAGGGTGATTCTCAACTTACAAACGGGACACTAACAGAATGTCAAATAAATACTGCAACAGATTCTGTGTCCATTAGTCCAGTAAGATCCCAAACCACCAGAGGGAATGTCCTCAAGTATGCAGCGAAGAATGCAGGCAAGGCGACACCATGCAGACAAGAAGAGTCACACTCTTTGACTTGCAGCCCAAGGACAGTGTTGCAAGAATGGCACTGTGGAGGACGCTGTTGGACTGGCAAGACACTATGCTGCAACACCATTCAGCATTTACTGAGGACCTACTTTCTGCAGATGCTGCAGTGGTGCGCAAGGTCAGGCTTGGGTCGATTGCACTTTTTGCAAAAGCGCCAGCTTGCCTGCATCTTGGAATGCAATACCTGCGTGCCACACACCTTGGAACTGAGTGCAAACCCTGTACTCTGATGAAGCAGCTTCAAAACATTAGGTGAATCTGAAAAAGGCAAGCACTGCTTCAGACACTTTGCCTTTCATCATCTTGCACCTGCCTGGACTACTTGACTGCTTGCTTGTTTGTCCTGAGCTCATAAAATCAAACAGGCCATCTCGGCAGAGAGTATAAACTCCATATCGTCTTGCATGTTGGCACCATCTACAACTGAAGCACGACGTCATGGCTCAACTTGAGCAGCCACGGACTGGGCCATTTCAAGCTGAGTGGAGACATACACCTTGGGTATTACCCTGGCCCTTTATTCCACCAGTGGTGTTGGACACACCCTTTCAAGGTCATTCACTCAACTCTGGCCATCGTTTGCTGTAGTTCAGCATATTGCTGGTCGGCTGCCAAGACCCAGCTTGTGCACTGCTGGCATCCTTGCCTGCCACTTGTCCTGACCTTGTTACACTCTTCAAGCTGTTGGCTAACTGGTAGGTGTGGAGGATCAAGAACAACAATGGACTCGCAGTAACATTGTGGACTGTGTTGCACATGTCATGCAAGTACTGTTTTCTTGCACCAATATTTTGCCCAGGGCACTTTGGTGATGCTGATTCATGGAGACAGCAAGAGTCATGGCGACATATGGCAATAAGCAGAAGAAATCGCAGAATGCTCGTAGCACAGAAATCCTGGAGTGACAGAAAAGCTGCAGTATAGTTGTGCCACAGTGGCCAAGTGCAGGGTGGTTATGCGCATGAACATTACAATCCCAATTATGCGAAAACTCTCTGCAGCACTGCACCCAACATCCACTGCAACTGCTGTTTTGTCAGTTTATCAATCAAGTGTCCAAGGGACACACCTCAAGGTCCATCTCGGTTGTTGTCCCTGGCGATGTGAAAACGCAGGCGAAGTAGTTGAATATTACATTGAACAAGATACACACACCCACACAGGTGTGGAACAGCTCAGTATTGCCTCCATGCTTAGAGCCTATCTGACAAGAAGGCAGGGACACAAACCAATGGTCAGGGGGATCGCTAGTTGTGCCCATTATTCCCAGCATCGCTGCGAAGGTACATGTAGGCAAGTATCTGCAACATGTTGTCAAACAGAATGTTTCCTTGCAAGGAACAGGACCAAGGACTCGATGCCCATACCAAGCAGCCCAGCACTGGATCGGCCTCTCTGGCAGCCTCCAGGGCATGTGATAAGCCCAGAAACAACATAAAGAGACCACAATGAACAAGTAAGAAATGCCATAACCATGGTAGGCATTTCGCTGTGCCCCCTTGGAGCAGGGAGCCAAAAAATTGGAACAGAAAAAACAATTAAGTGGTGAGCAGGGCCAATTTCAGTGGTGAAAGCCTTTAACGCAGCTGTGTTCGCCACTCCCAGCACATGCACTCCAAGCGATTATACGAGTCTGCAGCCATCAACGTCTCAAATCGACCACTTTCCTTGGCCCCCTCTTTGCTATTTTATAAGTGACTGGATCGCCAAATGATAGAAACAAACGGCTATGACATGGATATTAGAAATTGCTGATCGCACTGGTGTGTGTTGCAGTCAGTTTCAAGGCAACGTCTTTCCACCAAACAGACTCAGCAGTTCGTTTGCTCACCTCAGGCAGCAGGACTAAGAAATAGGCACAGGCCACGGCAAATATGAGTCCAACTGCGATGAGGACATAAACTGGCGCCATGCAAGACATGGAGCTCTCCAGCACGACCTCCAGGATGTTGAACATCACGCTCAAGTTGCACCTGAAAGAAGCGACGCATGTAACCCAATTTTACAGCCTACACTGGATTCGGTGTTTCCTCCAAGCGAACCACATCTTGATCAGGCACAAACGCGTGGGATCAAAGTTTTCTGCGCAGATTCCCCAAATCTTGCAGCCTCTGCTGGATTCGCTCGTCCCACAAAAGTGCTGCATCGTCATCAAGCATGGCGTACGCGGCGATTTTCAATATTTTACACATCAACAAGATGATGCCGGCGTAAGGGTTCTCCAAGCCAACGCAGTGGGGAAGCTGCCCCGTTCCACTGCCATTCGGCAGCCGTGGAGTGCAGTGGACCCGACAACCTAACGAGCGTTCCAACAGGTAATCATCGCTATCCAAGGCAGCTCCGGCTGTCGATTCCCCGTGGTAACGGCTGCGGCATAAGGTACAGCAGTGGCGGACAACATTGGTGCCGCACGGGCAAAGTATTGACAGCGCGATATTGTCAGATCTCGTCTTCACGTACAAGCGTCGACATGGCGCGCAGAATCCGATGGGCATGAAGACCCGCTCCACTGGGCGCCCCCGGCTTCGACCGGTCAGGGTCGACGTCCTCGCGCACAGAGTGCCAGACGCGCCAGGGCCTGGTCCGCGCCTGTCACAGGAGCGAAAAGTGAACCCGCGGGAAAAAAAAATGGCAGTAAAACTGCCAATAAAAAATGCCTCAATCCGGTCGTTGTATGTTGTGGTGATCCGCTGCTGAGGAGCCCGGCAGCGTGTGTCGCCAACGGCGCTGGCGTCGGGGCCCAAAACCCTGTGTAGCTGGTGTGACCAACCGGCCTTCGCTTCCCTGCGCCACACACACGTATGGATGCACTGCAGGCCGCATATGAGGTTCGAAGGCAGGATTGTCCGCTTCCGTGCTGCGACCATGAGTGTTGGTGACGTTTCTGGCGCACCTGTCGCCGTCGCCGTGTGACTTGGACGTTACCCAGGACCGCCCCGAGCCATGGTGTTTGTTGTCGGTGCACAGAACGTCCTTAAAGCTGCGTTCGAGGCCGGAAGGGCGAGGATTGACGCCAAGAAGAGGTGACCGTCCGCCGCGAGCATTCGCGGCGGAGGGTTGACGGCCGCATCTGACTTTGCTCACGCGGTGTTGTAGTGGCCATCTGTTCTCATTCACGGCCCACTGCCAGGTACGCCTTGAATCACCAAGAGGTGGAAGCTGCCAGGCAGCAGTTCCACGACGCCTGCGACGACCTCCTGCAGGACCTGGTAGGGGGAAAGTGCAAGAATGTCTGAAAGGCAATTTAAAGTCCCCAGGAGAGCTACGCCCACCGTGGATCGCCAGCGAAAACCACAAAGAGCTCTGATTGGCGTGGGCGTCACATTTTCCTTGTCAGCTTGGCAGGTGCATCTAAGGCAGCACATGCACTTGCGCAGAAAACGACCTATCGTGCAGTACTTTACATTTCAGTATGTCCTGGATTGTTAAGGTGATGGGAATGCATCTGCCTCTTCTTGTGTTCCTTGTTGTCAGCTCCTGAGTACTGTCTGCTCAAACAAGCCCGAGCAGCGCCCACCATTTCCAACGTGAGGAAGGCTTGTAGGTCAACATAGCCTCCCCACCATCACACCTCACGGGTAAAGTGGCCTTGGGAATTGTTTGGCAATTTTCTTGGTTCATGGCTTGAGCTTTTGTTTGGTTAGGCCATCCTTGTGACTGTATCCCCTCACTGTGTTGGGTACTTCAGCCAGCAACCCTGGACGTTTGCTTTCCACACAGCACACCTGGCCTCCATGAAGACATTGCCACAGAAGACTGCGCTTTCGCCAATCCAAACCACAGGAAAATTTTGAACATGTCCTCATCCCGACAGAGACTTGGAAGAAAATCTCATGGATGCAGATGTCCACAGGCCATCTGTGAGGCTTATTTCTTTTACTCCATCCACCCCACCCCGCACTGACGCACGTGCTTTGTACAAACACTTCAGCCAATGTGCCATCGTGCTGCACACAGATAGAGGCAGAGCAGCAGCTATCCGCCCAACAATCCATGCCAGGTCAAGGCCTCAATGGACTGCCAGGTGTGCACCCTCAATATTCAGCAAATGTTTTTAGTGATGCTGCCAACAGGGGGCAGGGTGTGCCTGTGCTTGCAGTGACTGGTGCCATGGTTGTGCGTCATGAACCCCTCTACAAATGAGTGCACTTATGGTGGCCACAGCACCTCGGCCACCAGCCGGTGCAACAGTTGTACAAATGTCATTGAATATTGTACCTACACAGAAAAATAGTGCCCCATTTGGACTGGGGAATGCACAGGGGATGTGCAAACTGGTAAATAGTTTATTTGGTGACTGGGGCATTGAGAGGGGAGTCTGGCAGTGTCTGTTTCAGGCTGTGCTGTGTACTACTCAGAATTCATTTTGCAGTAGCATCTTTGGCTGCAAGCACTGTGCGCCTGGGAAGCACCAGTGTCTGTACATTTGTGTTAACATAAGGCTGGAGATCAGAATGCCACCCCAATTTGCTGGGGTGTGACGTATGCTTATTAGTTGCAGGTTTGTTCACCAAGAAAAGAGTGGTCACAAGGACACTGGCAGTATCTGACATGGCACTGCGCGGTTTTGTGGGGTGCACTTGCTGACAACATTTTGGACTTCCTGTTCACTGCAGCTAGAGAGCACAGCAACGAAATGGACATGGCTGATGTGGAGTTGTAACTCTTGTCAAAAAATGTCAGCATACCTTTCAACATAAAACAGTTCGCTACCCTTGCACCAATGAAGCGAGGTCAAAACAGCTTCATGGCTGCAAAGAAAGCTCTCTGATTGCTGTCACATTGCCCTGAACTAAAGCTCAGGGCAGAACTTTGGCAGCAGAGAAATGCCATGGTTTCCTTGCCTACATCTTCTTGCTGTTCAGGAATTTTCTGGCAAGTGGGTGCAGAGGCACCAAATTATTGTGGGAAATCCATCCTAGAACACCCGGGGTGGGGTGAGTCACGTGACAAGCATCTCGCGTTGGCAAACCGCATGTATTCTTTGTTTATGATGATGCGATTGGCCCGAAGGCTGTAAATGCCGCACTCGAGGGAAATTTGAGTGTCTGCGGACAGGGCTGTGGCCATATGTACGATCTTGCACTAGCATTGTCAAGCGTGGCATGTGCACTAATGCATCTCTTGTGCCAGATACACAAAATTTCAATATGTTGGTAGTGTTCAGGTTGTATATCCCACTGTTTGCACTCTCTTTTGCTAGACAGAAAGATGGACACATACCAAGTGTGCTGATGTCTCTATACGAGCTGTTTCTGCCAGATGAAGATGTCATTAATGGCATGGAGGGCATGATGGCTGAGGTTGCGCAGCTTGCCACACAGCTGAAACGTCGAAGACAGGGTTGAAGAAATGCTAGTGGACGAAATTGAGGCGCATGTTTGCTATGCTTTTAATACCCAGGACGATATTTGCACATGGATTTCCTTGAAAATCGCCTGTTCCAATTCGGCTCTTCCCTGAGCTCTGCCCTGAGCCCAGTGGCCCCATTGCAAGACGAGGTCCTTTCTTCCAGAAGCCTTTGCCTTTCGGTTCATTAGGATGCAGTGAACACTGTTGGTGTGGCCCAACTGTTCGCATATTCCATAATGACATGTTTCCTGCTTTACAGGATTCTCTTCCTTCCTGGCTCACACGGCGACTAAAGAATCTTCGCTCGTTCATCTTTGCTGTCCATCACCATCTGCGGCAAGACGTAGCCCAGTGCTGTTGCATAGTTAGCCCTTGTTTTGCGACTTAAACCGAAGCAGTAACCCCTGGTACTTTTCACTTCAACTCCCCGTCCCCCAACCCTTTCCAAGTGAAAGAAAAAGGGACAAAAAATTAACACTGTACATCACGATAACATCGGACTCACTCTATTGTGGGATAGGCTGATGTAAAGAAAATGTAGGCGGAGGTAGGTGGCCCCTCCTCCAGTAGGGAAGCGTCCTGCAGACTTGGCAATGACTGCCAAGAGCTACCCATTTCAAGCCAAGTCTTGGCTCTCCTTGGATGTGCGTCCGGAATGCCCAGATTCCTTAGCCGAACTTCAAACACAGTGCATGGAGAACGGGTGCAAAACTGCCAGAGGACGGGCTGCCAGGAACAACTTTTGCCGTTGCAACCCCACATGTATGTGGGATCTGTGACAAGGATTCTGGAATGCACACTTATCGAGCACACACCCATGTCTCGTCCATCAGAAACCTGTGAACTGGCTCACTTCTGGCTGCGAGGCTCCCATGGCACATCAAAGGCCCGAATTTCGCATCAAAGCTCGTGCGGCAGTGACTGCCCTATTGGCTTGCCACCCCGACACGGGACTTGGCTGTTGCCAATCAATTGTGTCATGTCATCTTGTCCAAACAACACATCGAGCCGTCCCGTATGTGCTGGGGCAATGGCAGTTTGGACCGGCTGATGGCTGAGTTGTCGTCCAGAGTTTTCTTTTCGCTTACCTCAGATCTCCTTCAGTTTCCCAAAGCTCTTCAATATTCTTCAGTCTTGTATTGTCTCCGTCGCTTCAGTGAAAGCGTAACTGCAAAGGACGGCGCTCCATTCTGGCCGCCATCCCCAGAGATAGCGCAGTCTAATCACCCCTCAACGAGTAGCTGAGCCACGTCGACAGCCTCAGCACCACGTCAGGTGCACACAACGAACAAGCTTTGCCCCTCACGCGAACCGGCTCTTCACAAAGAACTGCTTGTCGCGGCGATGACAACGAGCAAAATTAGCAGCGACGGGAAGGGAAGCTTCAGACGAACGGCAAACATCCAACTGAACGTCAAGCGTGGAACCTCTCACAACTGCCCCCCAGAGAGCCACAACCGGGCGCAGCCACTCCCAAAAGTTCAGTGAGGTTAGGGCACAGGTCAGCCCCACGGGCCGGGGCAGCCTTGTCCACAGCGTAGCGACACAATACACGAAAGATGCTTCTTTCCGCCTCAACGAAGCTGTGCAGCGACGAAGGGTGGTCACTTTTGGCCAGCAACACGACCGCGCTGGAAGTGCTGGTCTTGAACGGCAAGGAAAGCGGCTCAGAAAAGGCAGACTGGCCGCGACCCTCGAAAAGGTTGAGCGCTATTGCGCTCAGGCCGTGGCCAACGTTGCGCACACGGCCAGGGGAGTGAGGCAGCCAGGCTGAGTGCCTAGACCGCCGCGAGAGGCACACTCAAACGCCGCGCCACCGTTCTTACAGCTGCCAGGCCCAGTGCAACGATACAGAGCTCCCTCAGCGTTCGCCACGCCCCCAGTACTTATCACCCTCCAAGCTCTGGCGAATACCCCTCATTCCTAAGAGATGCTCTTTCGATACCCGGAATCTTTCTGCCACACCCGGTGTTTCACTGCAACTCAACCCGGTACGCCCCACTGCCCTCAATCGGCCACCACGTATTGCCCCAAGGGCCACATTCCCATCAAACAGCCACACTTCCCGCGGTCAGCAACCACGTAACGCCCCACGGGACATATTCCCATCAAACCACCACGTGGCGCCTCCACGTGCCCCTCCTGGCTCCGTCTCGCCGCGGTCCACGGCAGACTGCCAGGCGGGCAGCTCCTAAGCAAACGCACGCATCCAATGGCAGCCTGGGTGTTCCTCAGTACTCCAAGGCGTTTCAGGGCGTGTCTGACACATGTGTCTCCGTGTAATGCGCTGCCACGTATTGTCATTGTGCTGAGCATCTTTACAGTATCCTAGTGCACTCTTTTTCTCACTGCCTTGTTCTGTAAAAAATAATGATGATGGCGAGGACTCTTTGGGCGTATGATGAAGTTGCCATAATTTATCTTTGTCATCAAAGTCATCTCCCTGCATTCTGAGTGCCTTGAGCTTGCAATTTGATGATGATCAGTGTGGCGAAGGTGCGTAGACATCCCTTCTGCACCATATCAAGCCCCCACGGGTCGCCAGCTGAGTGATATCATTAATGCACTAACTTTTTGATGAGTCCCATTAATTGGCGACCCGAACAGTAACCCTGAGCTCTATCCATTTGATGCGTTGAACCGGATCTGGCTCACACCTGCTGATGACGTAATCCAACCACATCATCGTCATTTACAGTACAAATCCTGGGGCCCTCACAGGTATCGGGGTGGAAGCACCGGACACAAAGCGTGGTAGACATTCCTTCTGCGGTGGGCCCTCCGTCCCGCTGGCAGGCCCCACGCCGCCAGCCCCCACCATCCAATCGCCTTAGTAACGACACGCACCCCCTGCCCAACCGCCTGCGCACAAAAACCCGGACCTTTTGCCGCTTTTCGCGCACACCGCATTGCCCCCGCCTCCTCACCCGCCTCCGCCCCGCCCGTCCCCGCACGCGCCGGCCGCAGCCAGCCCCGCAAGCATGGCCACCATCCACGGCACCACCGGCCAGCTGAAGGCCATGCTGGACCCCGCGGTGGCCACCCAGTTCAAGGACCTGGACCAGGGCGGCAAGGTGATGGCCGAGTACGTGTGGATCGGCGGCACGGGCGCCGACCTGCGCTGCAAGACCAAGACCCTGAACGGTGTTCCCAAGAGCGTGGACGACCTGCCGGTGTGGAACTACGACGGCTCCTCCACCGACCAGGCGCCCGGCGACGACTCGGAGGTCTACCTGAACCCCGTGGCCATGTTCAAGGACCCCTTCCGCGGCGGGGACAACATCCTGGTGATGTGCGAGGCCTACGAGCCGCCGAAGGTCACAGACTCGGGCGCCGTGTCCCAGCCCAAGCCCATCCCGACCAACTCGCGCTGCGCCTGCAACGAGATCATGGAGAAGGTCAAGGAGCACGAGCCGTGGTTCGGCATCGAGCAGGAGTACACGCTGCTGGACTCCACGACCAACTGGCCGTTGGGCTGGCCGGCGAACGGCTATCCGGGCCCACAGGGACCGTACTACTGCTCCGCGGGCGCGGGCTATGCCATCGGGCGCGACATCGTGGAGGCGCACTACAAGGCGTGCCTCTACGCGGGGATCAAGATCGCGGGCTGCAACGCAGAGGTCATGCCCGCTCAGTGGGAGTTCCAGGTGAGGTGGCCCCTCGAGGCGCTTGGCGGGAGCGGCGCGGGGCGAGTGGGGTGCCGCTTGGGGTGGAGATCCTTTCGGACGCGATGTCGGGCCTTGTACGGCAATAAGGTCTGCCTTCCGGAACGGTGTGGCGGTCGCGGTCCGCACGCGTGTCGCTGGAGCTGTTGGTTTTGGCGTGGCGGCCGCGCGGCAAGGGGCGCGACGACGGGTGGCGAGCCGTTGCATGTTTCGGGAAGCGCCGCCGTGATGCCCCCGAGCGCTGTTGGGGACCATTCCAAGCAAATGGGCCTTCCAATCCGGACCCTTCCAATCCCGTACTCCAATGCCCTCGAATCCACCGTGCTGTTTGGCTTTGTCTGGCCCCGTTCGCGCCTCTAGCGCTTCCCCTCACCTCTGGCCCGATGTTTTTTGTGCCTGCACCCCTCCCGGCAGCCGTGTCAGTAATGGTGTCGCTTATTTCGTATCAGTCGGCACCCCCTCACGTTTCGATTCCTGAGGCTTCGATTCACGTTTGTCAGGTCGGCCCCTGCGTGGGCATCGAGATGGGCGACCACCTGTGGATGTCGCGCTACCTGCTGCTCAGGATCGGCGAGATGTTCAACGTAGCCATCACCTTCGACCCCAAGCCCGTGCCGGGCGACTGGAACGGCGCCGGCGGCCACACCAACTACTCCAACAAGGAGTCCCGAAAGGAGGGCACCGGCTGGGACGCCATCAAGACCCAGATCGAGAAGCTGGAGAAGCGCCACGCGGTGCACATCGCGGGCTACGGTGAGGGCAACGAGCGGCGGCTGACGGGCAAGCACGAGACGTCCTCCATGAACGACTTCACCTGGGGCATCGCCAACCGCGGGGCCTCCATCCGGGTGGGCCGCATGGTGCCCGTGAACAAATGCGGGTACTACGAGGACCGGCGGCCGGCCTCCAACCTGGACCCCTACGTCGTGACCAAGCTCATCGCAGAGACCACCCTGCTCATGTGAAGGGTCCTGCCAGGAGTGCTGCAGAGCCCAAGGACACCGCGGGTGGATGTGGTGCAATGTGCGCGCAAGTGGGGGTTGCGAGGGGTGACGCTGCGAATTGTGGAGTGTGGGTGTTTGTGACAGCATTTTTCAGGAGATGCTGCCGCTGGCGTTCGTGCAGCGAGCTTCTACAGAGAGGACGCTGGGCGGACTTTGTTGTAAAATGAACTGTGAAAGAGTTTTTACCCAGGCAGCATGTTTGTGTGTGGACCAGAGGTGTTGCTGAATTGCACTGCTTTGGGCATTCCCGTCGTGGAGGGTCTGCTTTCGGCTTCTTCTTCTCCAGAGCGGCCATGCAAAGATTTGTTGTCTTTGCTTGTTACTGTACTTGCAGTATGTTGAACGACTTAAACTGCTGCTTGCAGCTTGCACATTTGTGCCATGTCTTGTGGCCACCCAGTGACGATTAATGGATTTACGTGCCAGTCTGCCACCAGGATAAGATACCATTTAGACTTTTGGCAGACAAGGGTTTCGATTACAACAGACAATGTTAATTTCAAGATAATCACTGCAGTTATCATAAGCGCCCCTGTCCACTTCCGCTGGGCGCTCAGCTCCCCAAGGTGTTGCGTTTACCTGGACTCAAGTATGTTGGAGCATATAACATGCAACATCTGGAACCAGGTTGTACCCATGCCCTCCCAGTCTCTGGAGCACCTTGTGGTGGACAGCATATTGCACTGCCATGTTCTTTGATGAGTATCAGCGTAACCATTGCATATTTGTTGTGGACTGTGTGAACCATTTCTTGCACTGTCACTGTCCTACCAGCACAATCCTGAGTTTCATTTCCAGAAAAGTCTGAAGGAGCCAAAATCATTGATGTTCAGATCGCGAGATGTGGCTGGCTCAATTATCAGATTGATCCATGTTAAATCCGCCAACCCCTAGCCTGCTTCACGCTTTTGCACTGCTTCAACTGCCTCTTGGCTTCGACCAAGACAAACTGTCGATGCCCCAAGCACCTTCATTGGCACACCTTGACGCCTGCGGCGGTCTTGCAGTCTCACCTGCTCGAGTTCGGGAAAGCAACTTCCGGCTTCGAGCATCATCAGGCCAAGCAACGTTGGTGGGTGCAACCCATTGCTATGTAGGAAGGGTGCGAGTCGAAAGTTGGACTTGAAAGGGCTGAAGAAGCTCTGACCGCATCGGCAGCGGGGTCCGATCTGTCGTGTGCGCGGTGAACGCTGCGTGCTTCAGGCACTGCCTTCCCATGCTGTTTTCCATTTGGCACCCTCCACAGTGACTTTCACCTTGTCAGGGACACTGGCTCTGGGGTATCGCAATTCTGTCAGCCATCCCCCTTGAGTTGAGTCAATTGGCCTCTGACTCGACCTGGCGAACATGTCCAGCGGGGACAACAAACCACAGCGGGGCGCAATTTCGCCCAGCCGCACAGATTCAGGATTTCTGCGGAATTGGCCCCCGCCTGTTGCTCCCAGGGTTTCCCTGCCATGCACAGCAGCCAAGCTCGGCCAGGCGCCCCCCACCCGCCCCCCAACCTCCCGCGGTCAGGCCGCGCACTCCAAAACGGCGCGGCGCGCCGCCCCTGCCACTGCGCCCCCCGGCCATCCCCTGCCACCCGCTCCCCGCCCAAGCCCCCAAATCCCTCCGCCTCCCAATGCCCCGACGATGCCAATCAGGCCCCCGAGCGCCGAGCGCTGGATGACGCGGAGGTGGTGGTGATTGGATCGGGCATGGGTGGGCTGGCATGCGCCGCCCTCCTGGCCTGGTACGGCCACGACGTGCTGGTCTGCGAGGGCCGCCCCACGCCCGGCGGGGCTGCCCACGTCTGGCGCCGCGCCGGCTACCGCTTCGACTGCGGCACCTCGCTCTTCTTCGGCCTGGACTGGCAGGGCGGGCCATCCCAATCGGAGAACCCTCTGGCGTCGATCCTGCAACTCATAGACGAGCGCGTGGACGTCGTGCCCGTGCCCGATGCCGCGACATGTCTGGTGTGGCCCGAAGAGTCTTTTCGGACGCACATTGGATCGGACAAATTCGGGGCCGTGGTGAGGAGACTGTGGGGGCAGAGGGCTGAGGCGGAGTGGAAAGCATTCCAGAAACGGGCGGAGGAGTGCGCGCCAGCGGCGTCGGCCATCAAGCCCATGGCGGTCAGGTTCGACGACCTGGTGGCGGTGACCACGGTGGGGCGGTCGCCCGGGGCGTTCCTGAAGTACCTGCGGGGCGAGGCGCGGAGCATGGTGTTCTCGGGCCTGATGGAGGGGACGGTGGGCGATCCGGGGCTTAGGGACTTCATAGACCTGCTGGTGCGGGGGACGTGTGGCCTGCCGTCCGACGAGATCGTGGCGTCGTACATGATACAGGCCTTCGCGCAGCTGTACCAGCCCACGTCGGCGCTGGAGTATCCCGTGGGAGGACCCCAGGCGAGTCCGGTTGGATAAGGTGAACGGGCTTCAATTACCTGCCTTGGTGGTTTTGTGTCGGGAGCGTAGTGCACACCAACCAGCAAAAACCAAAGTGGACAGAAAGAGTAAATGTTCTCTCAAGGAGAAACCTATCCACCTCCGGGTCAGGGGAAACTGGTGGGCTTACGGTGTCCTTTTCCTGCTCCCGTGATGGTCGGCTGGGTTGGAATCTGTACGCCATTGGACACGGCATTGGGAGGGCGTTTTGGCGACGCACCCAAGAAAGCTGCGTTCCTCATTGCGTTTGTTCTGGGCCGAAACTTCGGGGTACGTTCAATCGAGCCCGCCGCGATGGCGGTCCGTGCTTTAACTCTGTCAAGCGCGCCTGTCTCTCGAGACACCCTTGTGCAAAAGCCTACGGACGACCGCGAGGTCCTTGTTGTGAGGTAGGCGTTCCCCTCCGCCACCGTGCGGAAAGGGCTGACGCCGTGCTTGCTTTTCCATTCCGCTTTTGGTCGGTCAACTTGTTGTGTGCCAGCCGCTTGATCAACACACCAATGGATCTGTCGGTTGCTCGAGAGTCGTCAAGACCGTCACCTGCCTCTCACCCCCCCAGGCTTCCCGCCCGAATCGCAGCGCTCTGACGGCGGCCGCCCACAGGCGATCGTGAACGCTCTGGTGCGCGGCCTGCGAAAGCACGGCGGCCGCCTGGCCCTCAACGCCCACGTGGACGAGGTGGTGGTGGGCCCGCGGGGCCAGGCCGCCGGCGTGCGCCTCCGCGACGGCCGCACCATCGGTGCCTCCAAGGCCGTCGTCTCGAACGCCTCCGCCTGGGACACGCTGCGGATGCTGCCCCGGCAGGCCGTGTCCGCAAAATACAGGGATCGGGTGGCGGAGATGATTCCCAACAACAGCTTCATGCACGTGCACCTGGGCTTTGACGGGAGCGGGCTGGACCCCCTGCCGTTGCACTATTACATGTTCGATCCGGAGCTGGTGACGGATGCCGGGTGGCCCACGATCTGCGTGCCCTCCGCCGTGGAGCCCACCGCAGCGCCGCCGGGGAAGCACGTGATGCACGCGTACATCTCGGAGCCGTACGCGCCGTGGCGGGGGCTGGAGCGGCGGGGGGAGGAGTATGGGAGGCTCAAGGAGGAGAGGTGTCAGGTGGCCGGCAAGGGGGATGTGTCCGGGTGTCGTCGCGCGCCACGCTGCTATGTTTTCAGTGTCGGACCCGGCTTAGCCAACGCTGTTGTCTTTCCGCTGAATCTGTAGTGTGTTTTCGTGGGTTGGGTGCACCAACTGCTGACGAGATCGCGAATTGAAGGAGAAGACCACGGCGGTATTTGCGCCGCCCGAGATGTCTCTTTGAGTCCGGGTGTTGAAACGGAAACGGGGAAGATCTGTTCGTGGACGAAAGGCGGGCCACGATGTTGTAGGTGGGATTCTTGGTACTGGCTGTGCAAGGCCGAATAAAGCGCACCGATTGGGATGCCGGATTGGTGCCACCGACCTGGAATGTATCCTCAACGAGGCGCGCTCACCTGAAACATGGAATGAAGAATCTATCTGAATGCACTGTGACAGTACCGTGCGGTGCAGATTTGCTACCGAACTCTGCTTTAAAACATTGTGAAACAATAGGAAGCGAAATTGTGTACATGCTAGAGGGTATAGCATGTTTCATGTGCATGGACTGTGTCCATTGTTGGGTTGCACCACCTCCAGGCGCGCGCCACTCGTGTCACCACCAGTATTCGTGACGTTCACTGTTTCCCTCTGCTTCCCAGGCGATTTTGCGTGAGAGCAAATTGGGAGGGGTGCCACGTCGCTCGTAATGTCTCTTTGGCGCTGGCCTGACTTGAGAGGTTCATGGTGCTTGCAGGTGGTGTGGAACATGATTGAGAGGGTCATCCCAGACATACGCGACAGGGTGGAGGTGGAGATGGTGGGCACGCCGCTGACCCACTCGCACTTCCTAAACAGATTCCAGGGCACGTGAGTACAGCATGGAGCTGAAATTGCTGCCACCTTCGTGTTCACTGAGGTTAAGAATCAAATCTATTGACAATGCAGAACGGACTTGCACAAAGTCGGTTCACATTCCCTTCCCAATCACCAGTTCGCCATATGTAGCTCGCGCACAGTTTTGCTGGCTCCGCTCACGCTGCCCTGTGCATCTTTCTTCTCTGTTCAAAGATAGCAAGAGACCAAGGAGACAAAAATGTGTGTATATACAAATACAAGCGTGTCGTTTCAAGACGAAATGTCGCAATCAACGTGCCTCGCTTGAATTTTCAGAACGTGCAAATGCAGTTGCTGAAATGGGCCTGCTGGCAAAAAGCTGGATAAATGAACCGCCTGTGGTGCCCCAGGTACGGTCCAAAGAATCTGTTGAAGATGGGCACGTTGCCCGAGGCGGTGTGTCCTCTGCCAGGCCTGTACTGCTGCGGTGATTCGACCTTCCCCGGCGCTGGGACACCCGCGGCGGCGTCCTCAGGCATGTGGGTGGCCAATTCCCTGGTCCCCATTTGGGAGCATTGGGGGGCCCTGAATGCGCTGGGATTGTGACACCACGCCGCAAGCTATTTGACTGCGGTCCCCAAATTAAAAACAGCTGCCCTTGCATGTGCAAGGGGGGACATCGCGGTGTTGGTTGCACGATGTATATATAGTGCGACTTCTCAAGCCCACCGCACCACGTCACCACTGCAGAGGATGACGATCTCATCGAAGTTACAGAATGTTAGAATTTAATGTTGGATGTGAGTGCGAAATCGAGTAAGAGACCGGAGCGAAATCGAAGGGAAATCGGATGCGACCGCATTCGCTCCTTTTGTTCCCTTCCTGTTCTGGCGCCCTGACCCGAAAACCTTGCAAATAACGCCATCGGCCTGGTGGCATACTAAAGCATGAACACGCACAAATTGGACATGCCCTGTGACATGTACATATGCGCAATATGAAACCTCAACGCGTACGATTCCAGTCCTGTGAGGACCCAAGCCACACGGTCACATCCGCATTTCGCAGTCGTTCATCGGGAACCATTGCCCAGTTCGAGAGATAGGGGTTCTGCTTCTCAAGGGGCTGGAATCTCAACAAGTGGGGAGATGCACCGCATCGAAGAGAAGGGTTTCGCAAACATGATGTATATTCTTATTGAAGCCCTATCAGCATTTGCAGGATTTCTGGTCAACAATAACATGTTGAATGAACCAACTGTGTGCCCAATTAAATGCAGATGGATATTCTTATTGAAGCCATATCAGCATTTGCAGGATTTCTGGTCAGCAATAACATGTTGAAGGAACCAATTTTGTGCCCAATTAAATGCAGGTGATTAAATCTGAATGCTGTTCAAAACTGTCACGGCCCTTGAAACTGGTCGCAATGGGTGCAAGCGTAAACGGTGGCCTCCTCAGCTGTAGGGACACCTCTGCCAACTGATACACTGCCTAACGCATTGTGTTCGTCGTGGCCCGTCTCCCTTGGCTTGCGACACAAAGAACTCGCCCTAGTCGCTGGAGCTGTTGTAGTCGCCAAGGAGTCCTCCCAAGGCATTGATATCCTTGGCAGGCTGGCCATCTCCACCAGTCATGGTTATCGACTCTTCCACTTGAACACGAGGCCGCTTCGTGGCTTGCTCATCATTCTTGGATTGGTCTGGCTGTTCCTTGGGTTTGATAACGCGCTTCACAGGAAGCCCCGGCAAGCCCTTTCGTTTAGTTTGGCTCCGCTCCTGAAAGAGCACCGAAGCAGGGGCAAAAAATGTTACCGATTGTGCACAGTTGCTTTGATTGATAACAACTCGATGAAAAGTTGAGGAAGCACGAGCAGGAGCAACTTTAAGAAGCTATGCCAGAATACCAAGGCCTTGGAATGAACTCAGAATTGTGGAACATGAAACTGAGTACTGAAAATTGACAGTGTTTCAGACCACAGCAAAGGTGGATAGACAGCGAGTACCTGGCTAGTGCTATTTAACAGCGATTTGTCATCTCATCAGATGACTAGCAGATGGCGCGAATCACTGCGCTGCATTCAAGCCACAAGATTGCCATGTTTCGGTGCTTGGGTGTTGTTTATGCGCATCACTGCCTGCACGGTGCACAAAGGCTGTGTGTTTGTCGTGTGAGACAAATGTTATCATTGTCTTTCACACGTGTCTTGTAATAGCATTCAATGAATGTCTGGACAGACCATGCAAGTGATGATGCAGAACTGGCATCTCCATCGTCCCCCGAGGCTTGACATGCCCGAGAGAGAGTTGGGCTGTCCCTGGCACACTCAAACACTCCATACACACAATATTCTACGACATGATCGATGACTAATTTCCCAATCTATTCCTGCCAGCTCCAAAGCCACAGAACCAAGCGCCATTGCATGGGTGAGCTGCGAGACAGGCACTCTTCGTAACTGATTAGCTTTTACCATAGAAACCAAGTGATACAACAAGCCTGGTGATGCAGAGAAGATACTGACCAATTATCAAAATGTGCACCTCTCGGCAATATAACAACAAGCATTGTCTCGTACTCACTGGTTTGTGTATGGACACCCGCGTTAGCGGGTCCTGCTGTTTTTCTTCTGTTCCATCAACTTGGGCGCTCCTTGAGGCCTTGACAGCCTGTACCATGCACTGCCTGTGTCATGAACCATGTTGCATGCAATTGCGCTCTGAAGCTCGTGGTGCTACAGAAACTATTAATCCAAACACTTAGAAGAGAGACTGCAGAAAGAAAACAATGCACTCGTCCAAACGGCCTGCCATGTGGCTTGATGTAGACGCACATGCTGCGGTTAGCACTGTTGTGAAATCCTACCACTGATGGTCAGGGTGACATATCTGCATTGCCGCCAACCTCAGCGCACTTGCAAAAGAAATGGGTTCTATTGCATACCAGGCAGCAGATAATTTTGCAGTGATCCGATTCCAGCAGCAACTCCGACTTGCTGGGGAAAGCACAGCAAAATTGCTGTGCCATGCTGTTCACGGGTGCAGGGAAGTACATGAAATTTGGGCATCTTGCTTCTTGCTCGATGCATCATTCAAAAATATGTGGCACATTTTCCTCAATGCAGCAGCTCATCTGCGCTTGCAACTTCTGCATGGGATAGAGGGAAAACAGCAGGCATGTGTCTCATTCACCTCCTACATGTGTCCATATGCTGCACAGCCTGACTTTCTGGAAGGACTAGCACAAGTCTACAATCATCAATGAACACAATGGGGCTGCCGGTGCCCAGACAATGCAATGCATAATCCTGTGTAAAATGCTCAGCAGGGCTTCTGCCATGAGGATATTTGGCTGCTCGTGTTTCTGCCCCCAGACCTCCTCACCTCCCTGAACAAAGAGAGGTCTTCTTCCTTGTCTTTCTCCCATTGTTTCGTGTGCTGGTCCTCTTTCTCATACAGAGCCTTAACAAAGGTGTACTCGTCTGCATCAAGGGGGCGGTTCTTTCCTACAAGCTCAATTGGAAGGTCAATATGTCAATGTTGTGCTCAATATCATTGCACTGCCTCTGGACTGCAGCAACGATGCTAATCAACTGACGCAACAATGGAGTTGCACTGGAACCGTTTTTCTAGATTCTTCACTTAAGGACCTCAATCGTGTAGTTTCAAGTCGTAACCAGCGCTGCATGGCAATAAAGCCAACGACCAGGATGTCTGTTGTCGAAACCCTTGTTCGTGCAGTGCGGTCTCGTGCGCAGATTAAAGATAACACAGCCTGAGAGGCCATGCACACAAGGACATGTTGCTCACAGTTCCTGAGTTGCAGCGCCTCACAACAACACCGGCTTTCAACAGACAGCCCACCCACTGATTTTCAGTATATGGCTGCATTGGCCCAAATAACTCACCATCAATACCAGCAACTTTGCAAATAAGGCCATTCGTGCCAACAAAACATGAAAAATACAGTTTCCCCAAGTCTGCACAATCTACTTTGGTGGTGTACAGTTTCCAGCTTGCTGCACATGTGAAGTGGTTTAGGGGGCCATTCACACAGGTACCTTGCTTCATTCTTCGCCATTTGTCCTGGAATTCCTCCTCCTTCTTTTCCTTCTGCTCCCTAAGTATTTCAGACAGAGGTTTGTCTGGTGCCAGCGTCCCGACCTCTGGCCTATCCGCCCCCCCACTTTTCCTGAGATCTTCAAGCTGAGCCACAGTCACATTCAAATTGGGACCCAGGGTCACACAAGGACACAACCCAAACAGCTGACAGCTGTGACAAAAGTGCATCGTAGCAGAGCGCTGTAGATCGACACCGGCCAGCGGACTGGCCTCAACAATGCTGGCTCCAATCCCAGGGCCTGACGTACTGACACAATGAATGACACGACAAATATAGTGCAGGGCATGAGCAAGAGAATAAGATTAAGATGTCAATGCTCCACTCCGCAGCTATACCCTTCTTTTTCCAGCTGGTAACAGTTGAAAACACGCTGTGCAGGAACTACAACAACACTGAGCAAGACAACCTCTCGCTGTTTGGACACCTCTGGGACATGTGTACGTTTTGTAAATTCTTCATTGGTGAATTTCTTGATTATGTAGTCAGAATAGCAGTCACAAACATAAACACTTGCACACTGCACAATACGATGGCTGTAGACACGTCCAAGTTATGTTGAAATTCCCAGAACGCTGTTTTGCACATTATCACGTTGCACCACAAGGAAAAGGCCAGGGGAAAGCCCAAGGAAGCTTTCAACTAAGCTGGCCACAAAACTAAGGTCAAGAAACTATGGAAAAGAAATGGAAACAATATTCCATCCTTTGGGCTCCCTCAACCTGTGTGTTGTCTTATTTGGTGACCAGGATGGGCTGGGCAACGTCTCACACACTTTGAAATTCATTTCATTACAGGGCCTACGGCTACCTGTTGCAGGCGCCTGGGGAAACAGCGAAATGGCTGCATTGGTGATGGCAAGACACACACTACCAATTAGATACGATGGCAACAAATTTCTCTGATGGGAAGAAAACGCAACAACATCAACATTGACGTGCTCCAAAACCAGGTGTTTTTGTGCCATTGCCTGGATAGCCCCTGAACAAATGCTCTTTTGTTGTTCAAGAGCTCATTGCAGCTGCCAACGCGGTTTTCCAGATGCAACAGGAGCCATGTGTGGCGCTGTTACTAAAATTTTTGTGCACCAACCACAGAGCACTACACATCAGTCTCACTTCGGTTTCTGATATGAATCGTGAAGCCCCCACAGCCTCCTTGAGGGCTTCCACCTCCTCCTTCTCCTTTTCCTTTGCTTCAGTTGGGAAAACGGAAGAAGTGTCACGGCCCAGCACTTGTTCTCTGTCATAGTGTTCCTCCTCCCTAGAAAGTTTGGACATGGGACACTGTAAGACACGTGCTGGCACAACCATATGTAGAAGGGACAATATGAGATAACTCAGGTTAGCTCAACACACAGTGGGGATCGATAGCAATACTCCACAGGTCTGTTGGTCAAATTTAAGCACATGGACACCGAAGATCGCAACACTTCCAGTCAGACAACATCCTGTGGGCAATGGTTGCACAGCAAGCCGTTGCTGGCAGTCCCATGACCACACAGCAATGTTCCTACAGATAGTAGTATTGCTACCAGGCTGCAAAGACGTGCGTCACAACATTGCTGGCAGCATTTCACAATGGGGCGCAAGAAAATCAACGCCAGGGCAAAGGTGCCAGAATATCTACACTTGTGCTGCTTTGCCTGCAGTGGGTGGACACAACAACTCCCTGAATATGTCCCCGCCCTGATGCCAGTGCTGACGGGCACAACAGGGGCGTTTGGCCCTTCTTGATACCAACAAGACGCTACGTTCCATTCCCACATTCCAGCCTGCAGGGATGGTGTACCGCACCTTTCTATTCGCACCATCTCCACCGGGTGGCGCGCCATATTGACTGCCGTCGCCCAGTGGCACCCACCCCGTTGTTCCTCCCCTTTGTGCACGAGTCCCAAGCGGCTGCCAAGCGCCCGGTCCCACCAGCGTCCCTGCGCAAGCACTCACGTGGGCGCTCTCTCGCGGAAAGCCCAACACTATTTTTAGGTTGTGTTTAGGGCTAGTGTTGGGTGGTGGCCCCAAAAAGCGGTGCAGTTTTTTGCCCGTTGAGAGAACGGACAAATGGACGAGGAGCTGGTGACAAGGTAGTTGTCGCGGCGACGGGGACAAGCTGAAAGCGGGGAAGCAGCGGACGCACAGACACCTCTCAATTCCATGTTTTGCCGCAACGCAGTGCTTTTCGGAAGGCGGTCGCGTCGCACGAGTGCAGGGGCAGACTGGATGGTGGAGGGGAAGCTTCGGAGCAGCAGCCAGAGTGCGTCATGGAAAAATGCACTCCAGCACTTTGCTTGTTGCTGCAAATTCAACAGTGGGGCCTCGGATATAGAGTAACACGGTCGATAGCCTTGCCCAAATGTTGTGTTCATTTTGACAGAATCAGTTGCAGTAGCCCGGCATAATAATGCACCGGGATGCTGTGTCTAGAGCAGGTTGTTTGCTGCCATTGTTTTTCTGGGCTCGAGTTTTTTGAGGCCAATTGTCTGTTGTGTACTGGCAGCTATTGGAAGGGGGAAGGTGGGGTTGGAATTGGTGCTTGTACCAAACCACATCGTAATATCCAGTGCTGTTGATGCCTAATCTGCTTTTTGGAGGGAAGAACCGAAGCTTGCAACAGTCAAGGAACCTGCAAACTGTCACTTCTATTGCAGTGGTTGAGTGTCGCTGCGGAATGAGAAATAAAATGAATGTCAGGCTGCCTGATAGCAAATGTTACGATCCAAATGCCTCTGCAGTGTGGGTGGGAAGTTAGTTCACAGTGAACTGCGTCCCACAGCAATCGCCCCTGCTTGGACGACGCTTGCTGACAACCAGTTGCTGAGGGGTTGTCTAACTGTGCTCTTGCATACTTAACTGGCAGGTCCTCTGGTGCAGAGGAGACTTGCAAGATCGAAAATGACCCAGTGCTAGAGGCAGGGAGAGACACAGATAGGAGTGGTGATGGAAATGTGCCAGGTTGGGTGAGCATGGACCATTTGGCTTTGTATATGCTCCTTGGCACCAAGTACCAGCTTCAGCACTACCATTTAATGTGCAGCATCAATGTGGACATTTCCTTGGTCAGGATTTTGTTGTTCTTCACTTTTGCTGAGGACTGTTCATCGCTGTGTGGTAATGCTTGTTGCATTGGGAGCTCCCTACATAATTTTGCAGTTCTGAAAAGATTCTCGTGCACTGTACTTGGGTCAGGGCAATTCATTACCTGCTGCATTTCCCTGGACCAATGGTTGGTGTGCCCATGTTTGTGTGCAAAGTATGTCAGGAAATCTGCCACTGCCACATTAGAGAGCAAACACCCACACTGTGATACTCTGGATGGTAATGGATTTCTTCAGAATTGGTAGACTTGCAGCTCAACAGGACAAGACTGGTGAACTCAAGTACCCACAAAGTTTGTAAATCTCTGGTGCCTCAATCTGGTAGCCTTGCTCATCCGCCTTCAACATGCAAGCAGGAGCCTTGGTTCCTGATTTTTCTCATTGCAAGACTCTGCTATTGCGCATTGTTTTGATTCTGATTCAAATTCTGTGAATCTGCCATGCGATCAGGCCAGACTTCCCCACTGTGCACTCCATGCACTTCCCAGCCACAACAAGCTGACACGCAAGTACCGCCACCACCACCTCCACCAGGAACATTTCTGCCCCCGGTACCTCCATTTCCCATGCCCCCACCCCCACCTCCACCATTACTATCATACAGCGAGGGAACAGCGGCACACCTTGTGCAGTATCCAGTCTCACAGGAATACCATTGGCCATGGGCCATGGCACACTCTGCCACAGCTGTCAAGGGGATACCCAGTACACCCTTCCCCATGCCACCCCCTCCTCCACCAAGGCCTCCTCCCTTCCTTGCCCCACCCCCTCCACCACCTCTGTTTCCATATGGTCACGCGATGCCCACAGCAGCAAGGCCCCATGAAGGTTTGAGCCACGCAGCCGCAAGCACACCAGGGAGCAACTCCACTGCTGGGCGGCTCGGCAGGACGTCAGATCATGGTCGATCTTCAAGTAGGCGCTGTTGAGATACCTTCCGAAGCTGGTCACACAAAAGAAACAGTGCCTGAAGAAACCTGCTGTGGGCTACCTGGCTCTGCTCACCTTTTGGGCCTGGGTGTTGTTGTCATTGTTGGGAGGTGCAGAAAAGGGAATTCGATGCTGAATCTTTCTATTTGGCCGCACCAGTCCCATGTTTATGCAACATGATGGCAGTGGCTGGGAAGTCCCGTCCGTGTTTCAGTAGATAACCTATACTGCTTCTGCATGAAGAGTCTTGGGCTGCTGTGGCACAGAAAGTCGCTGATGGGGAAGGTAGTTGCCCCTGGTACTTGACCAGGCCTGTACCAAGAGGATGTGCTTGTTTTTGTGATAAAAGAAGGGTGCGCCTCTATGTTTGACATGTACCAGGCTGGTTGATCTGTGAGGACATAGATGAATTCTTGCCTCCTTTGTTTTGCAACGTGGTTGGTGTCCAGAAATAGCTGTGCAGCTCCAATGCGCTGGCCCATCCCGTGTTGACATTCGTCTGTCTTATGTGTGCAGCACCACAGGCCAATGGGTTCCCCATCCACACTTCCTCAGGAGAGCACTTGGTTGGCAGCCACACAGACGATGGCCACCTGCATGGCCTTCTGTTGGCTTGGTACTGGGCAGGTTACCAAGCTGGCATATACTCAGCACACCGCCTACCCAGACCGCCAAGTGGCTGATTGTACACTACCACCGTGCAAGCTTTTGGAAACATGTACCCCAAGAGATCTGCGTGCCACTGATCCTCGTTCATCAGTGGTGTTAGCTGTCTCATATCATGCAGTCATGTCTTTCTTGGACTTGGAGTCTGAATGCTGTCCAAATACGAGTACATTGTTGAACGGGCTGTTGTGCGTGATATTGGTACTTGGGCCCGTGCTTGCCTGACCCCATGTGTCACAAATGGTGAAGAGCTGGGCTGTGCGTGTACAGAGGTGCACCAGGTGGACTCTCATCAAATCACATGAACAATATGTTGGAAACAACTGCCTTGTCACCTTGCAAATAGTTTGTGCAAATTCTGCGTCTTCGTGACTGGACTGAGTAGAGATCAACTGCATTGCAATGGGCATTAGTGCAGTTAGACTGAGAAGGAGGTATGTCGATATGGCTGTGTTTTGGCTGGCGAGGACTTGGGAGGGCTGCCTGATGATTTTCTGTCAGTTTTCTGCCATGTGCACATGGACATGGCAAAGAGGGTGTCCACCTCAAGATTGATCAAACGTATGTTCATGTGGTTCCCCACTCAAAACGTGACGATGGAATTAAGAATCCAGTCAGGCGGTTACCACTTGTCAAAAAGTAACATAAGACAGTTTGTTCGAGGCGCTCCATTGGTTCCATGTACTCTACTCAAATGGCCCAACCACAGAATTGAAACGGGGTACGCAAAATTCGACATTCGTAATACCAACACTCGGGCAAATCTGGCAAAGACGATACAATAGACACATTGGCGACATGGTGGAGGGCTCTCTGGGCTTGGCGTCCATGCTGCTGTTAGCTTCCAACAACGACCTGAGTGTAACTTAGCAAGCGACCATTTACCTTAGTCGCTGTCCTCATGGTGTCGCTGTTGGATTCGCTGCTTCGGCCCAACGCCGATCTCTCAGCACGCCGCTGCTCGCAGGCGTCAGGCCGCTCGCCAGTTAAAGTCGTCAATCCACTGCAGGGCCTCAGTGGCTTGCCACAACAAACCCCACAACCGATAGTGGCCATGGCCGTGGGTGGCAGGGAGGGTCCTCGACTACTGGCCCGTACATTGTGCTCGTTAATACCATCAATGTGCTGACGGTAAATGCGAGGGGGTGCATAGGGGGTGTTCCCGGAGGTTGCGAGTGGGCAGGCAGTACACGCGCTGGGCGCGGCAGGCTGCACACGCGACAGGACCTCACCATAGCAGTCCTTGCCGTGCTTCGCTCGTGCTTGGGTGTTGGGTCCCCTGCAGGAGCGGGAGAGCAGCGGGCCTGGGTGCCCTTTCACATACTTTGAATTTTGACCCCTTCCGCATGGTAACGCAACACTTGGCGTTTCTTTCTGTGGAGAAAAAATGAAATAAACAGCGGTATTTTGACTAAATTTTGGGGAACAACGGAAAGACAATAAAAACAACGCTGTGAAAAACAAAATGCAAAGCAAAAAGCGCAACGGTAAAATTTTCTTATGCGGAAAGGTTTTAAAACCCACGATACGGGCAGAGTGCGGCCCTTGACGCATGATATGACTTGATTGTGGCAAGAATGTCGGCAAGTGCAGTGTCACTCCTAACCACAGGTTTGGGTCCTAAGACGCCCTCATGGTGCCGCTTGATTGGGACAAGAATACCGCCAAGTTGGTTGGGCGTTCGCCACTACCATAAGTGCTGGTACAATAGGGTTCCCTATATACCGCCCCCAAATAGCGCCCCGGCCCCCAATAGCGCCCCCTTCTGAGCTTGTCACCATTTCTGCAGTACTTTATGCAACTTCGTTACGCAGTTGGACCTCAAAATAGTGCAGGGTGGGCCCGGCGGCCAGGATACCCCGTATACCGGCAGCCAGGGTGCCCCCAACACTGGCAGCAAAGGCACCCAGTATACAGGCACCCTGGGTACCCCTTACACAAGCGGCAAGGGTACCCCCTACACTGGCGACCGTGGTACCCACTATACCGGCAGCTATGGTAGCCCCTACACCGGTGGCGTAGGGTACTCCCTACATTGGCGGCCAGGGTACCCTTTACATCGGCCACTTAGGGTACACCACCCTCAACACAACAGCGCCCCCGCCCCCAGTAGCGCCCTCCTTTTGTCCATGTCACAGGTGGGCGCTATATAGGGACTCCTACTGTACCCCGCATGAGTGCTGGTCCTAGGACGGCTGCAAGCAGTGGCGAGCCACTACCAACACGCCATCGGGCCACGGAGTGCCGTCAGCCGCGGCAGTCCCCTCTGTGTCCTTGTGCCGCGTTCGCGAGCGACATCCTTCTCGGATCATTTGGAGGCGGACGAGCGCCCGTCGTGGCCACCGCACAGCATTCGACTCGGCTCGAGCGGGAAGCCGCGGACCGAAGGCGACCGCGGAAAGCCCGCCAGCCGCCGCCCCCGGCCCACCTGACCGCCCTCGGGCAGGGATGGAGCACGATGGGGAGGAGCCGCCGCGCCTGGACAAGCTGCAGCGGCAGAAGCTCGAGCGCATGGGCGGAACGTGCTCAGCGATTTGCTGCCTCGTTCCGATGGGCAGCGTGGGCGGAGTCAGGCTGAAGCTGAGCGGTGAGCGATCGGCACAGTCGATCGAGATCTTCGGCCGTTGGACGGCGGACACCGGCAGGAGTTGCGCCAGTGTCGCTGTTGAGCGCGCTCGGCAGTTTCGGGGCGCGTCCTGCCGCCGTTGACAGGGAGTCGTTGATGGTTCTTGGGAGAGGGTGCCTGTCATCGTGGGCCTGGCGATGGGGGTGTTGATTGGCGCGCAGGCGGCGTGCGCCAATGCCGCAGAGCCCTGGCAGAGAGTGTTTTTGGTCGCCGCGACAGGGCGAACTGGGCTGCCAACTTGCGACATCGTTGCCGGGGCATCGTTCGTTTTGCGACCGTTACCGGCTCCGAGGCCTTGCGCGGTCCACATCAGAAGTGCGCGTGCCCCTGATCCGTTGGAGCGGCCCATGACAACCCGAGTTGCGGGAAACATCGAACTGAGTTACGACAGAAGAAGGCCCGCGTAGTGAAGGTGGACAATGGGGGAAGTGGTTGATGTCTGATGCTCCCGGCCATGTCCTGGAAGACCAACCGTCGCGGGCGCGCTTTTGAGCGCCTGTCTGGCGCCCCTTGGCTTCTCCCTGGATCGCCGTCTGAAAATGCGACGTTGTACCGTGACTCGGACGAGAAGCCGCATATTGTAGTTCAAGACGAACCTGGAACCGTACTCCTGGCTGCGTGGTGTGTGACGATTCTCCAAACCGAAATGCCAACCTTGTCACTCTGTGTGCAGTGGCATACCCCATCTTCTGGGCTCTTTTCGGTTACTTCGTTGGGTACTTGAAGGATGGTGCACCGACCGCAGTGCTGTTCACCATTGTCTTCGGCCCTGTGTTGCTCGTCACTATCCTGATCCATGAGCTCGGGCACGCCTTCGTCGCAAAGAGACTTGGGGCAGACGTTACGGACGTGCTCATTTGGCCTCTTGGGGGAGCCACTCTGATGGACCACAATCTGGGGCCAAAAGGTGCGTGCCTTGCGAAGCCAATCTAGTCACACATGAAACACTTCAAAAAATTCCATCAATGCTGGCATGGTGGCAGTCAACAGAACCATGGAAGTGCAGAAGAATCTGTGCAGTCCAAGCAAAGAAACCTGCGCTGTCACCGTGAGCACACGCAGGCCATCTGGGGCGTGGGCAACCAGCAGATGCTCCTACCCAACGCCAATCGCAATCCCAGGGTGTTGTGCACACCCGGTGCCGTTGTTGCCATGATCTGTGTGCGTTTGTAGCAATACATATGGCGCGATGCCCCAGTGGGCGTGGCTGCTGGCGTTCGGTGTCCAGGCCCAGAAACTGTGTCGTGCAGCCCTGTAGCCTACTGGCAGCTCTTGCTGTCGCCACGTGCATGCACCACCCAACAACATAAGACAACATGACCACTCTGTGCTGGTTGTTGCCTTGCCCACCTATGGTGCTGCATTGCCTTCTGTCATCTGCTGTTGCTGAACATGTCGCTTCCTTCTATCAGAGCATGTTACATTTGCGAGGGGGCCTGGCAGGCAATACTCCCCGTTTTGTGTCATAATTATCCAAACAAATAGAAGGGACAGCCCTGGGTGGACCTTTCAGAGGCATAGGCACCTACACTGAACAAGGGAGTCTGAGATTCTGCTCTGTACTGCGTTCTTCATATCTTCTGCATGTATAGACAGTTGCCTCTTTTTGCTGTTTTGCAGCGGACTTCTGGATCGTGGTGGCAGGCCCACTGACACACATACCTCAGTTGTGCTTCTGGCTGGCCCAGGCACCGATTGCATACCATATGGGTGATTGTGGGCCTGCGCCGCACTTCGTTTTAAGTGACTGTGAAGGCAGTCATTGGGAACGGCTGTGGTATGGCATCACTCTGTTTGGCATGATGGTAAGTGTATTATAGTGAGTGAATGATAGGTGTCAACTGAAATCCCCTCAAAGACTATTGTCAACGCAGGTGTGGATGTCTGCACATGACAAAGTTCACAGGTTGCGCAACCAGCTGATAGACAGCAACGGCTTTACCTGATTTTGCTGAGCACATGGAGTGCTGTACGTGCTACAAGTGCGCTGAGTGATCCATCTGCACGATCCTTGCTTGAAAAACAGAACTGAATGTGACCAAATTCGTGAATAGAATCGAATGTTGGAAAGTGCTGAAGCCATATGTACCTTGAAAGAAAGATTGTGTAGTATATATTTCAATTACGCCTGCTGTTGCTTTGGGTGGGAACTGCCCATGCAGTTAGGCACATATTTGATGCATTGCTACTGTGGTGTTAACTTTGCTGCCACAACTGGCATGAGCGAGTGTGGGCGTTTTTTCGACTTCCTGAAAGATACACAACGCAATTCCTGTCAATTTGCCACTGCAACTCAGCAGCAGTCTATCACAATCGGCAGAGGGTGGAAAAGTATATTTGTTGCATTGGTGGCGCTTTTATAAAGCACCGCGTGAGGGCCACGTTACACTTTTGAGCTCTTGCACTTTGTTGGTTGCACAGAAACCCTGTGTTTATTGTGTACAAGAATATTTCCTCCAAAACCTGGTGAGGGCACAGCTGCCCTTGGAGGCCCTGATGTTGAAATGCCAAGGGCTTGTCGCTGCTGTGTCTTAGTGGCATTGGTGCAAACGAAGGTTTCCTTGAGAATGCTTCTTCCGCTGCTGTAGTTCAACATCTTGCTTTTCCTCCTCAACCTCTTCCCTGCCTTTCCATTGGACGGCGGCCGTGCGCTCCTGGATGTGTACCTTGCATGCGGCATGACACCAAGGAGGGCTGCCAGCCTGTGCGTCGCCTTGTCAGTGCCCCTTACGATGACAGCTGGAATTCTGTTTGTCATCTTCTGGGGCGACTGGCTGTCTTTTGTGGTGAGTAGAGACGGCAATTGCTCTTAATGAACAACATGTATGGTAGAATATGCAGTCGCTCCTGACCACAATGGCTTGGGGCTTTTATCACGGCAAGCACAGCTGGAGGAACACTGAACTTTTGCACCTTGAAGCCAGACATTGCCTTGCACATCGTGTTGGTTTGGCAGACTCGATGTTTGACAGCGATCCGCAGGGTATATCAAGTAAATGTGTACTCCATACTGTTGTAGGATATCTTTTGGAAATGCCAAAACATGAGCCATCGGTCTTGGCAGTTTTGTGCAGGCTGCCTTGTAGTCCTGTAGCATTGTTCTATGCTCCTAGCAAAATTTCTGGTTTGAGCAGTTAGTGCCACTGGAGCAGCTGATAGCAAGGAACAAGGCCGTGTGTCTATTGCTCTTGCCTCCAGCATACTGCCGCATCATGCTTTCGCAGTGTGTACCACACCATTGTGGCCTGCTGCAGCAGCGGCACTATGTATCCTTGCAGCTGGACATTGTGTACTTTGTGCCATTGCCCTCAACACGAAAGCTGCTTCCTGCCAGGTGTTAACGATGAGCCCCTTGGTCAACTGTTATCTTGAGTTGCAAAGGGCCAGCAGTGGTCTGCGGCAAGTCTTCTGCTCTTGCTGCGAAAAGCAATACTATGCGGCTGAGCGCGCCTTACTGACAGCCACACACACTTCCCCAGGTGTTCTTCCTGCTGCTCCTTCCCAATGGTGCTATGATCTACTTGATCTGGACAGACAGACTCGAGGAACACCCTTCGTTCCGAAACCTGCACATCACTCGGGATGACCTGGATCGCAGCTTGCTAGAAAACTCTGAGGGATCGGCGACGAGCGCCAGCGAGATACAGCTTTAGTTCCCCTTCATGCATTGCACGTGACGGACGTTTCGTGTCGGAGGATGTTGGGGAATCGATTTGACGTTCCTCACAGCGATGAGGGAGCACCCAAGAGTCAAGATGCGCTCTGTATTCTTTCAACTCGCAATTTTTTGTTAAACAGACTAATGCTGGCCTGTTTGGCATCAATTAAGGGGACAGGGGAATTCGATTGTTGGGCTGGATGTGGCTGGGCTGCTGTCTGGGTGTGTGCGTGGACGGAGGCTGTTGTGATAGAATTGTGCATTTGCGAACCAGGCATGATCCCAGGTGGATGGTATGCATCGCAATGGTGCTTTAGTGGGTGCTTTGTTGTCCGCAGTCTGGTGTGTATTTGGTACCAGCAGAATACGCCCCCTGGGGAAGCCCCTGACTCAGGGGTTCCCAGCAGCCTTTCGCCCTGGAGCTGTAGCTAGGAACACAACTACCAGAATTGATAGTGTGTAGAGAACTATGTAGAAACAGCTGCAAGTTTTGATTTATCCCAGGGAGATGGGGAATCCGTCCAGGCACAGGTCACTGGGTATGGTGCATTGCCTGTGCTGGCCCAGTGAAGTGGTGATGCGTAACTGCAGTGGAAATGTCGTCAAGCTGCAAGCTCTGCCAAGGGCTGAAATGAGGATCCACCCTCAACTCCCTCATCCCCACCCCAGAAGGGGAAAACGAAAGGAAAAAACTTCTGCTTGACAGGGAAGGGATGGCCCCGAGGCATCCGAAACCGCCACAAGAAAGCCCAGGCACAGCAACATCATCAAGGATTCTGTGAATGCCTGTGGAGAATTCTAAGAATGCCCTTATCCCCAACCACCCCCCGTAACACCGCCGTCGTCCCGTGAACGCCGCCGAAAACGAAGGCCCTTCATGTTAGACAAACCTCAACGTACCCCACCATACGGTAAAACTCACGGCCGCGTTTGCCACCCCACTCAGAGTTCGACAAGCGCACCGCGTCATCGACCCGCCGAGCATTCGCCCACACGCGGCTCCGCCCGGCCCTCCGCGGCTGCCCGCAACGCCGCCTCCGAAGAAAGCTCGACCGCGCCTTCCGCGGCACCGCGCCGCCATCCGCATCAGCCCGCGGCGCGATGGAGTCCGCGGACGCCATCGAGCAGCCGGGGGATCCCCCGGTCGCGCCGTTGTACATGCGGGAGTCCGCCCAGGTGGCCGCCGTGTCCTTCGTCATGTTCACCGCCACGTTCCTGGTGACCCAGACGGCGCCCATAGGCAGGCCGATCGGGGGCTGGTTCGAGCGCCAGCTGGGGAGATCCCTGGACAAGAGGGCGCTGGACCGCACCGTCTCGGGCTTCGCCCTGCGCCTGGCGACGTTCCTGCACAACCTGATCGTTATCCCCCTCGCCCTGTGGGCGCTGCGGGACCCGGCGCTGTGGGAGGACGACCTGGCAGGCGTGACGCGCCTGTCGGAGGTGACGCTGGGCGTCGCGACGGGGTTTTTCATCTTCGACGCCGCGGCCTGCGGGATGCGGCTGAAGGAGGAGGGGTTTCAGTTCCTGATGCACGGCGCCCTGTGCGCGCTGTTCTTCACCCTGACCGTGCTCACCGGGGGGTTCCACTTCTACGGCTGCGCCTACCTACTGTGGGAGCTCTCCACGGCGTTCGTGCACCTGAGGTGGCTGCTGTACAAGATCGGCAAGGCGGACACCACGGCGTACGTGGTTAACGGCCTGACCATGATGGCGTCGTTCTTCGGGTGCCGAATCGTCTGGGGCACCTACGTCTCGTACAAATTCTTTGTGCTCAGCGCACTTTACCTTGGTGACCCTGCGCAGAGCCACATGCACCTGACGTTCTGGGTGCTGAGGGGCGTGTGCGTGGGCCTCAGCGGCCTCAACCTGTATTGGTTCGGCAAGATGGTGGAGAAGGCCTTCGAGCTGCTGGCGCCCAAGAAGCCGCCCAAGGCCGTGCCCGTGAAGAAAGAGGAGTGAGCTCATGCGGTCTGAGCACTTGAGACAAGGCCTCGAAATTTGTTCCCAGCCCGTGGCTGGAGAGGGGAGCCCGCCTAGGAGCGGAGGTTTTGGAGTGCTGCAGACGCGAGGTCGGGGATGCAGCCCAGCTGGGCCCAAGGGCGCAGCTGGGAGGTGAATTGGACTGAATGGCAGGTAGGGAGAGGCACCGATGCGCCAGGCACGGGGCAGCTTTGTATTTGGGAAGAGGAACCTGCGCTTCGTTGCGCCTAATTTGGTAGAGGAAATCGGATTGTGACTTCTCCAGTTTATGGTATATTGGGAAGCGAAGGGGGAAGACAGCCCAGCAAGCTGGGCAGCAAATTCTGTGCGGATGAAGGAGCCGAATGGCCCCCCAAGTGCCATGGGGTCGCTCGCTTCAATTAACTGACTAGTGGATGCGGGACATGACATTTGTAAGCACAGTAGGAGTTCGTTGTGGGGACATCGTCATTGGGAATGTTGTACGTGCTTTAGGGTGATGTGTGTTTGTTGAGTTTGCAGCCCTGAAGGGGAATTCATAGTGTAGTGCTGTTGGAGTTGCTTCTCCTTTGTTCCGATCGTTCAGGCATTGCTGGCATGGTGGCACGTGGTATTGAGTACAGAGAACAGCTGTGGGAAGTCAGGAAATTGGGGCTTTGAGTATTATTAACTTGGTTTTGGTGAAGCCTCCAATGCGTTTCAGGTGTTTTCATTGGTTTCCTGCCCTCCATTCTAAAATAGCTTGTTCATGCCACAACAGTATTGTGCTGGTACTGGCATGAGGATACACGGACTTGTGTTTCGAATCGCACAGCAAGCGACAGTGCAGCAGGCAACAGAACAGTCAGCACTGGAGCCAAAGTTGATACGATCATCGCACAACGATCTGGCCTCAAGACTGCTGGGTGAATGACCTCAGACATGAAAAGGAGCACACTAAGTTGTGAACTCCTGTTAACACATACATCCTATGCCAAGAGCGGTTGTGTGTGGAAAAATTTTGAATGTTGGGCAGAGCAGGAGTCTGGTCTGTTGCATTACACAGCTGGTACTCAGGCATGAGCCCATGCTTGTCGTGCTTGTGATACCATAGCCTGTAGTTCATAAATGTAGACAATCAGGAGCACACGGAGCTGCCTATTCCTCGAAACGGAATTGCAGCTCCATTTCTTGTGCGTCATCTCTATCTACAGAGATCGTTCAGCTGTCTCTCAAGATATGTAGAACAGCAAGAAGGGACAGCGAGAATTCCCAGCCCATGTAGTGGGGGTTTAGTCAAATTGTCGCCTGTTGTGCCTCGCCACCCCACTCAATTGGCAAGCTGGCGCTGGAAAAGCGTGACCATTGCAATTGTTTCTGCACTAGTTTGATTAGATGGATGACACAGGTTCACACCAATGAGAGTTACATGAAAGCAACTGACTGGGTCAGCCAAAGAGGACAAGCCCTGATTCACTACCTGCTGGCAGCAATGCACTTGTTCTATTGAGATATTCTGGGAGGGGGCCGCAGGCTCATGTGGCTTCGTATCGTGCCAAAATGCTGTTGTGGGCGTCACGGGGGTGAGTATGAGTCACTCCTGCTGACGTGCTTGCTTGGATGGCCATGTGTACTTTAAACCAGACACAATTGCATGAAAATGGCAGCAAATCAGTTGATTTAGTGGCTTGGTCCAAGATCACTGGTGTATGCAAACTGCTCAGCCAACTGGTGTATTGTTGGGTGGTGCATTGTGCATATGAAGGCGCATTGGCACGCCAATGTTTCATTGCAGTACACCTGGCGATGTTATGTACCACCACACCACAAGATTGTCCTTTGCAACATCCCAATAGCTTCTCACTAGAACGAAGAAACCGACACGATTTGCTGCGACTTTGAATCCCCCTTTACAAAATTAGGCTTCTTGAAACCGACCATTCGCTGAGCCACAAGAAACCTTTCGAGGCTCTCTTGCACCCCCTTTCACCTTCTCAGGCGACACAAGGCCTCCGTATCTTCTATTAGACGGGGTTGGCGCCCGGACTCGGTGGCGTGACGCAATACTTTGGAAAACAAAAAAAACAAGAGCTTGTGCCAAAAGAAAGAAGACCCAGAACAGCCAGCGTCACCGCAGGTGACGCTCGAACTTCCGTCACGATCGGACCCCGCTGTCCTTGACTGGAACCCCCAGCCCTCTCCGTCTGCGTCCATCGCCATGCGCCCCCACGCCACAACGGGAAGCGCGACAGCGAGCCCGACGGCTTCCTCGGGCCCCGCCATCCATCCTCCACCCCGCCATCCGCAACCCGGCCAGTGCATCTGCCGATCGGCATCCGATGGTCCCCGGCTGCGTGCGCCTGGCCGCCTCCCAGTGCCGGGCATTGGATGTGCCCGCACTGCGCGGCAAGGGGGTGGAGGCACTGGGGGAGCGCTGGGCGTCGATGTGGCCTCATCTGGGATCTCGCGTCCCTCGAGGCGGGAAGGAAGGCGATGGGGAGGGGCCGGATCAGCAGGCGTCCGGCAAAGAGGGCGTTTCAAGGGGCGCCGACGAGTGGAGGTCCATTTACTCTTCGAAATTGCATCGTGAGGTGCGGGCCCCAGGGCCAAATGCATCGCAGTCATGGAATTTGGGTTTCAGAGGTTGGGCGGTGGGCTGGCATGCCCTTTGATGCCAGATCTTTGTGTTGGATCCGGGAGGCGCCCGTCAGGGTTCATGCAATTCTTTTGAGTGCTTTTGTATTGTTGGGTCACAATGCGGCTCCGCCTTTGAAACTGGAGTTACTGATTTGGATTTAGACGGCTTTCAACAATGGGAAGGAATTCAGGGCAACTTGTGTTTTGTCGCATACAGGGGTCCCAGAATGCAATTGGCCAACATCGATGCCATGCCTCGGTTGGTGGCGGCCTGAATGGGGACATCGCTGCTGCGGCAATCAACAAGCAAGTGGTGAAATTCATGAAAGGGGTCGTTTGGATCGTTAGAGACGGGGAAGGGCCGCTGGAGAGTAGGAGAGCTCGCAAAGAGGCTGTAAATAGATTGGACGGCGCCCTGGCAAAGGTAAATGAACTCACCAAGTCAAGGGCAGACAGATTAGATCATATCAACGTGGCAACAATGATACACCAGATGGGGGCAATAGCAAAACTGACAAGTACAGAGTGGCACATCGTGCACAATCATTCTGCGCTGCTGTCGACCTTGATGGGCATTGCCCTGGAGAAAGCGGACCAGTTTCGACCACATCACCTCTCTCAGATCGTGTGGGCATGCAGCAGGCTGGGCCACAGTGTGTTGAGCATCCCAGCAGGGGATGGGACCACTGCAGCACTAATTAAACTACTTGTGAGGAGGGCTTCTGAGACCAGTGCCGACTTTACACCGATGAGCATATCCCAACTGTTGTATGGTCTTGCCAGGCTGGAGTATCCTGGTCCTCTTGCATTGCTGACCCCAATTGTGAATATGGTTGGGCCACAGGTGGGGGGTTTCTCAGCGCAGGGGCTGTCAAACACACTGTGGTCTCTAGCAAAACTGAATTACAGAAACCATTCTGGAGTCGTCCAGTCCATTTGCAACAGGTTGCACAGTCAAATAGATGAATTTGGACCCCAGGCTTTGGCCAACATGGCCTGGGCACTTGCGGTCTTGAGGCACGGGGTCTCTGCTAGCACCCTGCAATCGATAGAGGAGGCGGCTGCTGCAAAGTCTTCCCAGTTTCGCATTATGGAGATGGGCATGCTGCTGTGGGCTTTTAGGCAGCTGCATTATCGCCCTGACAAGGAGTTTTTGGAGAACGCAGCAACGCTGGCGATGCGGCGCATGTTCACCAGTTTCAAGCCAGCAGATGCCTCGTTGTACTTGATGTCATGTGCTGACTGGAATTTTCAGGCGCCAGGCCTGATCTCCGCCCTCAAGGTTCGGGTGCTGTTGCAAGATGATCTCGAACTGAGACACTGCTGCAATGTGGCGTGGTGCCTTGCTATTCTAGGGGACCACGATGTCGAGGCGCTGTCCAGGGTCGTGGCACATATACTGAAGTATGACTCTCGCCACTTATCGGAAACCCAAAAGAGACAGCTATTTCAGACGTTTCTGTCGTTCAGATTGTTTCAACCCAAGTGTGACATCAATGCCATCGTGCCAAAGATGCTGGAGACGGCATGCAAGGAGTGTTGGATAGAATGCCAACAAAAGAGCTCCCTCCCCCCGCCAGTCGTTGAGATCATGAGCGTGTTAAGACAGATCGGCTTTTCCTGCAATTGCCCACATCACTTGGGAGGTGGCTTGCTCGTGGCTGGAACAGCATTGAACAGAGCAGGGATTAGGTTTGCAGTGGAGATGATAACCCCCATGCGGTGCTTCAACAACAGCCCGTCCAGCCTTTTGGGGACGTACCTGTGGCGGGAGAGGGTGCTGGAGGCGCTGGGTTGGCAGGTCCTCAGGATCTGGCACGACGACTGGATGGGTCTGTCCACCCTCCAGATGAAAAGAGCGTTCTTGATGCAAGAAGTGGGTCGTCTCATAACGGCTTCCTGACGCTGTGGTCCATGCACTGGATGGTTCAGGTGGAGGACAGCTAGTGAGAAATGCCAGCTGGATGGATGTGTTGGTGCGTGCGGAAGGGAAAACGGGGAGGTGCACTGGCGACACTGTGAAACATCACCTGTGGCTCAAACGAGATCTAATATGTGGATCATTATCGATGCTTGCAGCTGTGCGGAGGGACTGTGCAAGATGCCGAGACGGCATCTGACTGTCCGTTAGACCTTGCCTGCATGATATTCCGCCAATGGTTGGTATTGTCCGCTTTGTTTCTGAACTCCCACTGCTGTACGCATTTTGGGCCCTGGCAATCGCTGGCGCTACTATGCGCTATGGAGTCATCTGTGCAGACAAGCGTTGTCCCCTCCACCCACCATATGATGCGCATGTCAATATGCCTCAAGCTTCAAAGCTGCAGGTTTGCACCAACATGCACCGCAGTCAAAGCATGAATTCAATCGCCACAGCCTTCACGAACGCCCAGCGGTCGCCACGTCTCACGTCACTCGACAACGCCAACTGAATGACCCACAGATACGCCACAAAAGTAATTCTCCACCTGCAGCGGCGACGCAGCACGATTGCCGTAGGGATTGCCGCCCGGCAATCTCACACGAATCATCGTAGTATAGTCAAACCTTGCGCATCAAACCATTTCACAGGTACGCTTTTTGCCCCGCATTTGTTTGAGAGCCTTACGTTTTACGTACTTTTTTACGTTGCTCCCCAACAATTTATCAAAAGAGCTCAATTTATCATATTGTTTTCTCCGCAAGAAAAGGTCAAGAGTTACGCTACTATGCGGAAGGGTTGAATATAACCACGGTAGTAGACCCAGCCCTGCCGCCCCACTATGCATGGTGTAGGCGGACCGACGCCGTGCCGGACAGGCGCGTCGCTGCAAAACCGACAGGGCGTGAGCTGAGTACAACCGAGTCAGCGCTGTCGTCCAGTCGCCGAGTAAAACACACTCCGAATCGAACCCGTGAATCGATGGCGAAGCAGAATGTGCACGGAACCGAAAACGGAGCGTTGCTTGCCACTGGAGCCGGTTGCTTGCATTTGCAACAAGGTCCTCGCTGAAACACTGACCAAGTCCAGGAGAACCCTGCCTCGCTCCAGGTTCCTTTTGAGTAGTCAACCATGCCTCAAAGTTGATTCCAGTCCCAAAGACGAGCGTACGTCCAGCTCCCAGCTGCCTCGACGCAGGCCAGTCGAATCCTGTGAGGGCGAGCAATCGTGCCGCCAACCGCTTGGATATCGGTGCAACCGCCGAGTCTGCGACAACCAGAACGACGCAGAATCGTGCAATAATCTTGTAGCACACCAAAGATTGTCAAGGGCCCAGGGTACAAATAACCTGCGAGGCGTGGAACCACAGTGGCCGTCCAAGGACTTAGCTGCGCAGACGAAGATCGCGTGCACAAGATGTGCGGCTTTAGGCCAGACTTAATAAGTCGGTCTCAGGAAGCGGCATGGAAATGCCGCTGTTCAGTCGATGTTCGTTGGTCCACCAGCTGGCCCATCAGCCCCCGGCGTTTTCCTCGACGCTCATTGGACAGCACGCCTGGCTACATGATTGGGGAGGTGCCGATTTCCTTTCATGCGCAACAGTTCTTGTCTGGAGCTTGTCAAACGGTGTTTCCACGCAACGCCCTTTCACTCCCCTCCTGTGCTCCTCTGATCATGGTCTCCTATGAGGCTGACGTAATCTATTTCTGGAGATACCTACATCTGATGACAAGCACGCCGTTTCTCCACAACACTGTGAAAGTTCTGGTTGTTGACTGGGTCGCCGCAGCGGTGCTTCTTCGCCCCCAACATACTGCAACCTGCGATGGCATGGTCACTGCACTGATGGGACCCCTGGGGCCTCCGCAATCGCATAAGTACAGAGCCAGCTGTCACATCACCCCGGGGGTAACGGCGCCGGCTTGTCACATTCCTTAATCAGGGTTTGCTACGCGAAATGTGACCGCATCGGGGCGCGATCGCGTGATGCTGTGCGATGGCAGTTCCGCATACTCGAAGGTCTGCCCGGCCTTCTGCCAATCGGGCAGCGAGGCGCTGCCGAACGCCCTCCCTCCCAACAGCAAGATTCACTGACCTCACTGGAGTTGCCCGCTCCGAAACACACCCCTGACTACGCCCATTGGTTTGCCCCTGTGTGACATTATTGCAAAGGGAAATGTGCGCATGAGTTGCATGATCATACTACCTGTGCAGGAGGAGGCATTCACTAGATGACACCATATAGCGTGAGCACTTATCGCCAAAAGACTGCAACCGTCCAACACTATCTGTCTGGGAGATTGTGTAGGAATGCTACGTCAGCACGCTGGTCTATGTTGGTGGGTACTTGGCAAGCCAGCACGCCAACAAATGACATGCCAGTTGCAACATGACTTACGACCAGACGCTGGAGAGGCGAACAGCGAATTAAAACTGACACCATTTGCCTGCATTCAACTTGGAGAATATGTCACAGCAACATGGACAACCAATGACCCACTTCTCCCTAAGTGCTTCACGTTGTTTTCACACATAGGAAGATTTGGTTGGCACGTCGATGCTGCACTTGTTCGTCTTTTGCTGTGGACTTGTCACATTATTCTCAGCTTCTTAGTTTAGGCGAGTGATGATCTACTTGAATTGACTGGCGTCCACAATGGCTACTGTTGAGGCAGTTAAGCACAATTTCAAGACGCTGATGCCTAAGTGACACTGCTGTTTCAAGCAGCCAGATCTGCTGATGCAAATAACATCACACAGCGTCCAGGTACAAAGAATTAAAAATCCATGACGTGCAAGAAAGCATTTACTCATCCGGGGCCATGTGGGCATCACAAACCACCGGAGACCACAACAAACCTGGGGGTAGCCTCCCGACAGTTCCTCTAACTTCTCCCATGAAGCGATGGACCTATCCCAACAATGCTGATTGCAAAAAAAAAAGCAACCGTCACCAGTTGCTTCCTCCTACTTGCCCTCCTGGACGTTCTCGATCAGGCTCGGTTCATAGAAGTCGGGCACTGCAAAACCCAAAAGGTTGATGTAGGTGCCAGTGATGTTGGCCAGCCCCGCCTTGGGCAGGTCCTGCCTGAAGCGCACGCCCTCTGGCAGGCCCTTCCCGCCCACCGCCACTGGCACAGGCGCCAGCGTGTGAGACGTCAGAGGCAGCGGCACGTCCCCGTGGTACAGCGCCTCCCCCGTCTTCTTCCGTTGCACCATGTCATCTGCGTTGCCGTGGTCCGCAGTCACCAGCCACCGGCCATTCACCTCATCGCAGACGTCCAGAAGCTCCTGCACGCACTTGTCCACCAGGGCGCATGCCCGCATGGTGGCCTGCAGGTCGCCAGTGTGCCCCACCATGTCAGGGTTGGCAAAGTTGACCCGCACCATCTGGTACCGGCCAGAGAACATGGCCTCCTTGCCGGCCTCGCAGATCTCCCTGGCCTTCATGTCCGGGGCCTGGTTGAAGGGCACGTTGTCCGACGGGATCTCGACATAAGTCTCCAGCTCCTCGTCAAAGTACCCCGATCGGTTCCCATTCCAGAAGAAAGTAACGTGGCCAAACTTCTGAGTCTCCGAGCAGGCGAAGGTCTTGATCCCATTCTGGACCAGGTACTGCCCGGACACCCTGTTGATCAGCGGCGGCGGCACCAGGTAGTTCGTGGGCAGCTTGAGGTCGCCGTCGTACTGCATCATGCCCACGAAGCGCAGGCCGCTGGGGAAGCGCTCGCGGTCAAACGCCGCGAACTCCTCGTACTCGAATGCCTTGCTGATCTCCACCATCCTGTCTGCCCTAAAGTTGAACAGCACCACAGCATCCCCGTCCTCGATCGTCCCCACCGGACTCCCTTCCTCGTCCACGATCACGAACGGCTCCAGCCACTGGTCGGATTTCGCCGACGCGCCCTCCCCCTTAAGCGTCTTCACCGCCTCCACGGCGTCCTTGAACCGATTGGGCGCCCTGCCCAGCACGTGCGCGTCCCAGCCGCGCTTCACGATGCCCCAATCGGCCTCGTAGCGATCCATCGTGACGTACATCCTCCCCCCGCCCGACGCAATCTTGCCGTCGACGCCGTGGTCGCGCGCCAGCCCCGAAAGCTCGCCCTCCAGCTGCTGCACGAACCCCACCGACGACCCGTCCGGCACGTCCCGCCCGTCCGTCAGAATGTGCATCCGGATCCTCTTGGCGCCGCGCTCCGCCGCGCCGCGCAGCAGCTTGTACACCTGATCGCATCGGGGCCCCTGAGCGCAATGCCCTCTTGCCATTTTGCGCCGCTGGCTCTCTGCGCTCATCATTTCGAGCTGAAAGACTCCGCTTCATCTTTCCACCGCGCGGAAAAAGAGTCTCGCACGCACTTGCCTGGGAGGGGGGTGGTGGGTCGGGGGCTCTTTGTACGACCTGTTTTCCTCTCGGTGTGTATGTTCTCTTGTCTTTTGCACTGCCAGCGTTGTGCGCTCATCACTTCGCGCACTGGGAAGACTCTCCATCATCTTTCCACAGCGCGGAACAGAGTTTCACACGCACTCGTCCAGGAGGGAGCACCCCTGGCATGACCCGTTTTTGCTATCCGTTTTTGTTTACGCGACATATCTCACCTGATCGGCCCGCGAATGGACCCCCCCGTCGGACAGCAGCCCGATCAGGTGCACTGTGCGGTCCTCGAACGCCTGCGCCACCAGGCGCCAGCCATCGCTCTCGAACATCGACCCCGTCTCCAGCGCAATGTCCACCAGCCGCGCGCCCTGGTCCACCACCTGGCCCGATCCCAGGGCGTTGTGCCCCACCTCGCTGTTCCCCATGTCCGCGTTCGTGGGCAGCCCCACCGCCACGCCGTGCGCCTGCACCGTGCGGTAGCGATCCGGCGCCTTCTCCGCCAGGGCGTCCATGCACGGCGTGTCCGCGCTGTGCACAGCATTGAATTCATCCTTGTTCTTGTTCTCGCCCCAGCCGTCCAGGATGCAGACCAGGACGGGGCCGGGGGAGGGCGTGATGGAGTCGTGGGGCGTCAGGACCAGCCTCGGGGGAGGTTCGCTGGAAGAGGCCATGGCGGCGGCGGGGCGGTTTGGGTAGGCGGCGGCCGGGAGGGATTGGGCGCCCAGCGCGACGGGAGTCTGCGCTCGGGCGTTGGGCGATGGTCCATTGAGTTGGTCACCGGGGCAGATTCCGATCAGATATTCTCCCTGGGCCTCAGAAATTCGCGTAAACAACTGGGGAATGTCCGCAGACCTCGTTATTTGACGTCATCGGAGGAAGCAGCAGGAAGCTGGGAAGGCACCCCCGACAGGACAGCTCCAGCCGGGGAATCGTTTGTTGAACTCGCAAAGCGAAGGCGACCCATGCAGCAACAGAATGCGCCATGTTGGTTTCATTCTCTGGGTCAGGGCGTTGCCGGTCGCGCAGCTTCGGTTGCAAAATTGCACATCTGTCATCAGTGACCAAATTTGGAGACGTCCAAAGCTGGCGCGGCTACGAGAGCGGACAGGGCTCTGATTGGTGACACTTTCACCACTTGCCGCCTCCACTTGGTACCCATACAAGCCATCCAGGCAAGTACGGCCTAAACTCCTTTGGCACGTCCGAGCCCACAGCTCGCACCAGCAACATGCAGTGAGCGCCAAGTACCTTTTGATGACGCTGGGCACAATCCCTCCTCCAGCCATCCACCGCGATCCACCAAGGGAATTAGAACTACATTTCTTCGCAAGAAGGCAGTCCCCAGCCGCTGCCGCGAACCCTCCGCCCCAAGCCCACACACACATCAATCTCCGTCACCCCTGCATCAGTTTGTCAATTCTGCCATGCACACCGTCAATCAAGGCCGCGGCCCCCTTCCACCACTCCAGCACCGGTCCCGCCTCGTCCGACACCGCCTGCCCATTCCCCTGCCGGGCACCCGGGCGGCAGAGCACCTGGTGGGACGTGGCCTCCGATCCCTGAGCCACCCACAGCGCATTCCCCTCATCCAGCCGCCTCAGCTTCACGTCCCTAAACTTCGCCACAAAGCCCTCCGCCCCCGGCTCAATGAAATCCACGGCCGTGCCGCCGCCGGCCATCTCAATCGCCACGATGTACGGCGGCCCGTCCCCCCCCTTCCCAACCGTCTCATCCGCCATGAACACCCACTGCGACAGGTGCGCCCTCCCCGCCTCTCTCACGCACCCCACTCTCAGCACAAGGCCGACAAAGTCGAACTCCGTCTTGGGCGGCACCCCCGCCATCTGCACAACCTTCAGCGCCAGGCGGGGCGTCCACAGGGTCGCCATCCCCGGCGGCAGCTCCCCGTGCCTGGCCACAAACGCCCATCGCGTGCAGGCCGTCGTCTGCAGCTCCAGCCTCCGGCCGTCCCCAGGCCCTCTGCTCACCGACAGGGCGGTCACGCGGTACACGTCCCCCTCGCGCACCCCCCCCACCTCCTCGCTCGGCCTCCACACCCTGAGCACCGCCTCCGACCGGTCCGGCTCCCGACCCAGCCTGACCCCGCTCACCAGCAGCCGCATCACCGGCGTGCCCCCGCCCCCCATCAATCCCCTGCTCCTCACCTCCTCCTCGACAGCCAGCCGCTGCCGATCGGCCAGCAGCGCCTGCTGCCGCGCCGCGAACGCCGCCAGCTCGGGGTCCGACCCATCCCAGTGGCCAGACGCCTCCCCTCCGACGACCATGGCCGCATACGCCAGTTCCTTGGGGTCCGCGTGGCCACCCTCCCTTACAGCCGCCCACCTCCGCTCTTCCTCCCGCTGCACGCGAGCCCGAACCTCTGAAGCCACCCTCGCGGCCTCCTCCTCGAGTTTGGACCTCGCCCTGGCGCGAGCGCGCGCCGTGTGGTTCGCCGTCCCGTCTGGGCCCCGCTCCAAAAACAGCGTCGGGTACTTTCTGGCGACCGTTACCACGGTGGCCGCCACGCGCCCGCCGTCGGTGTGCACGATGCCCAGAGGAACGACCGTCTGTGGGAGACAGCAGGCCCCCAGGGGCTCGTCCCACCTGGCGAGGTGGCAGCCGTTGTAGTGCACGGCCAGCACGGCCGCCGCCGCGGCCGCCAGGGGATCCGCGGGCTTGTCCAATCCCGTCAGCTGCGCCCCGACGACCCGGACCTTGTCGCCGACGCGGATCCCGCCAGAGGCGCACAGGCGCGAGAGGGGCGCGTCCAGCGACGCCTTCACCCAGTACCATCCGTCGGTGAGCTCCAGGGCGGGTGCTAGTGACGTCTCGTGGCGATTGGCGTCATGAATCCGCGAGACGCACAGCACCATGGCGCCCCCGGGGGCGCGGTCGAGCTCCAATATCTTCTTCAGGACGGAACGCATTCCCCGGTGCAACTCACTCTCGTACCTGAACTTGAGCTGATTGACGGCCTCGTCGATGGACAGCACCCTGGGTTCGGACGCCACGGGCGTCCGCAGTGCATATGATCCCAGCTTCCACGTCACCCAGTGCAAGTGATTGGCGAGCCAGGCGTCCGACAGCAGATCCGGGTCGCAACCCCCATCCAGCATCCGCCGTTTGACAATCGCCAGCAGCCCATGTGGTGGGCACCTGAGAATGGCGTGCACATCTGGGTGCAGCCAACCACTGCTGGCTCCAGACTCAGGCACCCTGTGCGATTGGTGCCTATAAGAGGAGAAGTACTCGCGAAGACCGATGCGCTCCATGCCTGCGTACAGATCGTGCACAGGGGGCCGTTTCACAGCTGACTTGGGACAGGGTGCTTTCTTGGGCGTGGTCTTCACAACTGCTTTTGGTGTGCTGGTAGGAATGGGCGGCTTCCATGACCGCCTGGAGCGGTGCTTGACCACCGGGGAACAGGTGCGGAACTTCAGCCTCTTGGCTTGGGGGCAACGGTCCGCAGAGGGCCTTGGGGCTGTGAATCCGCGCCGGCTCCTTCGTGTGGACACGCCCGTTGGGGCTGTGCGGTGTGTGAAGGTTGAATGGGACGAATCGCCTGGGGTTTCTGAACACTGAGGACCGCAACCATTCACCGGAGTCTCAAGGTCTGAGTACAACGTCGTCTTACCAGCGCCGTTCTCAACTGTGGCATCCTTCGCTCCAAGGCCGTCTGTGGGACGGGTGTCCCTGCTCCGCAAGCTTCTGAATGGCATATGCATGATGCTCCGCTGCAGTTGACCAACAGGCGTGGCAAAAATGGCACTGGGCTGATCGGTGGCAACTTTGGCCTCAGGGGTGCCTGTTGGCACGTTGCCACTGAATGGCACAGTGTCTGCTAGCTTCGAAGCCTTGTGAAGGGGTGAAATGTGTGGCGTTGCTAGAATTCCTGCATTAGCAGAGTCCTGGACACCATTCTGGCCTGCCGACTGAGTAACCTTGCCTGTTGTGCCACAGCCCCCATCAGCAGACTGTTCCAGTAGGCCCTGTGCTTTTCTCACTCCCAAGGAAAACACCTCTACCCTCCTTCCACATCCTGTTCGGAGAGATGGGCACGTCGTTTTCTTCTCTGCCCCACCCCTGTTTGCTCCTTTCAGTGCATCTTCTTCATCAGGAAAGCATCTTGGGCCTTCCGTCCTAACCCTACTGGTGCTCCCTTCGCCCTGAATTTCCATGTTGACCGTTGGGCCAGTTGTATCAACATTAGAAACATCGCAAAAGGGCATAGCATTTGGCGATCTGTTTTCATCATGGCTCAGAATTGAGCATACCCTCTTAGGCGATTTTGACTCTGTTCCTGATTTGCCACAGTCAGCATTGGCAGCCTCCCCTAGAAGAGCATGAGCTTTCCTCACTCTTGATGAAGACACCTGCACCCTCCTTCCTCCACCTGTTCTCAATGATGGGTACTTTGACTTCTTCACTTTTCCACCTCCACTTGCATCCTCCAGGCAACTTTGGCCACTGGGAGAGCGTGCCAGCCCTCCTGTTCTATCGCTGTTGACGCAGTCCCCATCCTCAACACCTCTTCTTGCCATCAGGGCATCGCCCAGCGACTCACAAAGCAAGATGTTTGCCTGTCTGACCTTGGACGACAACACATGTACCCTTGAGCCACCACCAGTCCTCAGAGAAGGGAGTCTGGGCCCCCTTACATCTTGTGTGGCAGGTGTTCCTGCCTTCTTTGATGCAGAGCCCAACATCGCCACATCATTTGGATCTGCAGATTTTGCACCTATTGTTTTCCTTGCTACAGAGCACCCTGCGCCCAGCGAGGTTGGGGTCCCGGGTACGTGCGTCCAGCCGCTGTTGACCTGTTCTGGTTGTGCGGTGGGCCTTGCACCTACTGCTTCGCAGCCAAGCACGGTAGGGGTTGAAGCCACAGGTTCCACATTATGCTCTGCTTCTCCAGGGTGTTCAATCTTGGCGGAAGAAAAACGTTCTGCATCGTGAGCTGCGTTGCCCTGATGCCCTGGTGCCTGAACAATGGTAGTAGCATCTGCATACACATCAACCCCTTGATGTCCATCGCTATCCTTTGCAGGTTCACCATTGCAACACGAACTTGCCTCTGTCGCTGATATGGGGTCGACTCCCAAAGAACGCTGTGCTGCACAGCCCTCCTGGGCCACAGACACATGGCACTTGTTGACTGTATTCTGTTTCAGGTTCCTCCATTCACGATGTGTTGGCTGCTCTGTTCCAGGCGTTCCCACTGTTGCCATTGAGCTATCTGGTTCCAACACAATTTCGTCATGCCTATCAACCCCACGTTGATTACCAACAGGCAAGGATCTTGATACCAGCTGATCATTTACGGATTCTGGGATGCCTGACTGGGCCCACGTTGTGGTCTGCAAGTCCATCGCACAGCCATCATCAAGGATGGGCTCAAGGAGACGCTGTGCTATTGCTTTTGCCCTGAGAGATGGTTCTGTCACACGTCCACTTGCCATTCTGAAAGGAAACATTGTCACAGAGGAGGTGTTCACGGGATTGTCACCTCCACACAAGCTACGGCAGTTGGCTTCCGGATGGATTCCATCTGTACACGGCTCTGCTAGTCTGCTTTCGAGCTTCATGAATGATTCCACTGACTTGGCCTTTGCGGCCTGGAAATTGCCAGTTGAGGTTTCTCCTTCTTCTACAGGAGTAAACGCATCACATCTGTCGCCTCCAGTGCACTTCCAGACATCACAGCCAGATGAACCACCCCCTGCAACTGAAGCCTGCACTGGAAAATTGCCATGAGCCTCGCATGTAGCCAAGGGCTGCCACTGGTTAATTCTTGCAGACTCTGGCTTGAGAGGCTTCCTATCTACAACAGACATAAGTTGCCTGCCATTCGCGATGGGATCGGCTGCTGGTGTCGCCCCTGGCATCCTGCCCACATTGCCATCGCCACCAACACAGCCCAGCTCTCCATCACTCCAGATGTTTGCCAGAAGGTTGAACGCCTTCTTGGCACCCTCAGCAGTCCAGCCCACTGATTTGCCGCTTGCCAGCTGGATCCCAAATCCACCACAATTTGCCGCCTGGCACTCTGTTGTGTCCTTATGGGCAAATGACTGGAAATCCACTCTGCAGCCTGTGCCCAGCTCATCCATACCCATCCCACCAACGGTGCCGACACCAACTCTCTGTGCTTCTGACAAACTTCTTCCTTGATGATGATCAGGCAAATCGATTCTTTCGGACACAGTGGGTTGAGAAGAGTCAATGAGCGCCTCGCTTGAAGCTGCCATCATTACTTCAGACTTTGGCGCAATTGCACCAGATCCCTGGGCTACCTTACCAACAGAAAGCTCCCTGCCTTTCTGAGGACTGGTGCTCGGCTGGCCTTCCTCGGAGAATGGAAAGTAATCAAATCCAGATGACGCCTGAAAGCGTCTTGCCACAGGTTGTCCGCCACAATTACCCTCTCCCGGAAGGTCAAAATCTTCCAGGCCCCAGCACCCGCCAAAGGGCTGGAAAGGCATACCGTGCTCCTCCGACAGGCGCTCATCTCCCTCTGGCACCACGTCTCCATTGGGCGCTGTGAGCGGCCCCGACCTTCCCGCATTGCTAGCGCCCGTGTCGCCGTTGGTCTGGCCGACGGGTTGCATTGACTGCCGTCCCAGTACACCTTCCTCAGCCGCGCCCTGGCCTCCACGATGCGCCCCCTCCCTACGATCATTTTGGGCGTGCTCGAGCTCGCAATTTTCGCTGGAATTGGGGAACACGGCCCTTCCGCGCCCACCCACGGCGCCCTCCAAATCTCCACCATGCGCGGCGTGATCCGCCTCATTGCCTGTGGATGATCTCCTTCGGCGCCCTGCTCCGGTGCCGAATTGCGGATCCCTCACGGGGCCGCATTGATACCCTGGCGCGACGATTGATGCCTGCCGTTCATCTGAGCCCAGCGCCACTCCCACTCCACCGCCAGGGCTCGCGCTCCTTGCAGCCTCCATGAGCTGCAGGTATTCCCCCAGCTGCGAGTCTGGAAAGCAGCTGCCCGCCAGCGAGGCCTTGAGCGGCATGAAGGCCCCCGCGTCGGGCACGACGGCATCCACGGACGGCAGCCGGCCGCCGGAGCACGGCTCCACGCGCCACTCCGTCGTTTCGCTGTGCCACACGAGCCGATGGGCTCGATCGACGGACGACTCCTCCATCGTTGGAGGCGGGCGGCGCGTCCAATTGTCCTCGCCACTGTGTTTGCGCTTTCCGTGTTCGGTGCGCCCTGCGGCCTGGGGGCCAAGAGTAGGCTGGACTGCCGAACCGCCATTGCCAGTTGAGAAGTTCCGCCTGTTTCTGTCAAATTTGGGTAATGGAATTTGGGTGAGGGAATGGTGCGGGAATGGAAGCGCCAGTGGCGAATTCGGGGCAGGGGAATGTTGGGCGCATGCACCCGCTCGCGTTCATGAATGCTGATCAGTGCTGGGGCGCATTGGAGGCCAGTGAGTGCATTGAGGAACGGAGTGGGGCCGCCGCTGGCCACGGGTCTTGGTACTGCTTGTGGAGGACGCGCACGTGTTAAATTCCTTGGTTCCGCAGTTGTCAAAAGCCATTATGAACAAAGACATTGCGTCTTGCATGCGGTGAAACACCAGCTAGAATTTGTTCCATGTCCAAAGATCTTCCACACATCTGCACGCGGATTTGTGCGTCTTAAATGCTGCTTGCTCGCAGATCAAATTTCAACAGATGGAATATGGTCTCTGTCTTTGCCCACTACAAGGATATTATTCCACAGGAACTTGTGTTCCTCAAAAGGGATTGGTTGTCATTCACTTCTGCGGCACTGCCTGGCTTCTGCATGTTGAGATTTCTTTGTTCTTGAGTGCTCTTGGGTTCATCAGTCATCTTTGCGATAGTCCATTCAATCGCGAAATTGGGCAGCGCGAAATTCAGTGTGTCATTCCACTTCCAGTGGAGTTGCGACTGCATCCATGTTTCTAAGTGCAACATATTCAACAAAGGCTGAACGAATGCCGGCGATTCTGCACCCAACAGTGCAGAGGCAGAATTCTCATGAAGTCAGGATTGATTCATAAAGTCCATTTCCACAGGTTATGCGGTGCAATTCCAAGTCTTGAATTGTTGATGATGCCATGACAAACAAATACCTCATATCTTGCAGGCAATAATGGGCACAGAAAGATACAAGCAGCGACTGTGCAATGGGATACGTAGCAAATAAGTATTCAACGATGCACTGCCTCTGTCACTTGTACTGATTGATGAACATGATATCCACCTACACACAATGCAAAGACTAATTGCACCCCTTCACATTGTTTGTGCTGTTAGAAGACTTACGCGATGGCAACAAACTGCTTAGCAGTTTCATCAGCACAATGCCAGCACAGTTATTGTGCCAGAATTCACCAGGAAATCAAGTGGGCATGACGTGCCTGGTGCCATCAAAATTTCCAGCAAAGAAGTCTGTTCCGCGCGCCCCACCAATGCTAACCCACCATCAGTGCAGCAGTATGCAGTTTTCTGTCTTGGAGTTGCTGATTGTGCGACAGAGACGACAATTCTCAATAGATGGATGGACACCATGTGGCACAGAAGCAAGACAAATGACGTAGAGCAGACATTATGTGCCCATACCAACTATATTCCAATGTACTTCGATTGTCAGAGGGTTACAATAAGCTCGCCTGACACTCAGAGGCGACGAGTTACGCAGCTTATGCTTCTGCTGTCGCCGTCTGGGTTGTACCCAGCTCAAAAATCAGAAATCACCAATTTTTTGATGCGCAACTGATTTTTGTCACTCTTCTCTCTAGGTTACGCAATGCGAAAGTCCGCGGCAAAACAGCTACATGCTCATGTTTGCACTCATTCAATGAAATTCAATGCGAAACACAGATGCCATCATTCTGTCTTGTTTCCAGTGCATGTTGAACTTCCTTGTGCCGCTTCATAATATAGAGTAATGCCCTTGCACTACAGGCAACGACTGGGTTATGCTTGGCTGCATCATTCAAATCATCTGCAGTAAATGGTGACGGCTGGCTGACAACGAAACAAAGCAGAGCTCATATCCAGAGGAAGTCTGTGGGATGAAGACTCCAGGTGTCCATACTTGGTGCTTCAACCTCGCAGAACCCCTCGCATTTCGCCATAACGATTTTCTTCGTTCCTACCGGGCAACGTTGAAGCAGCACTCTGACAATGCGACCGGCGCTTGTATTGAGGCTCATGCAAGGGGCCTCAACGCATCCACAGGTGTGCCCGTCTCGACAGGAGAATGCAGGGAATGACGCCCATCGTGCAGCCAGCCCGTGTTGTCCCCTGCGCTTCAGTCCTCCAGCACGGCTTCCGCTGCATCCTGCACCCCGTATGCGTCCAGGTCCAAGGGGACCGCAGACAGAGAGCGATGTATGCACACAGGGCTGCTTGCAAGACTGCGAGGGTGATTTGCATTTTCGATGAGAAGAACGGCATTAGCTGAATCACGGCTTGCCATCCGATTACAGACCAGCCGCGCTTGGGCTCCGTCCATGGCGGGCCCCTCCCCGCGCGGTGTGCTGGAGGTGGTGCTCAGAGCACCGGTGACATACGTCATGATTCAGTTTGTCGCCGTTTACTTGCTCTACCTGCTGTTTCGCTGGCTGATACACAGGCTGCGCGTATGGTTTGAGCACGTTCCTGCCATCTCTGTGCCTCTGCCGACAGGTGGGGTGAACCAGCAGATTGAGCACGGGGGGCCGACAACGCCACATCGCAAGCACACAGTCGCACTGTTGGGTCCCTTTGATCGAGTTTGTTTATTCTTTCTGCTCTTCCAAGCTATGGATGTTGTCAGGTTGCCAGCTTGGGAGTGCCTGATCTGGCTCACAATGGTGCTTGCCACCATTGTTCAGTGAAACCGAGCCGTTGCTCCGCATCTGGAATTTCGCCATATGGATGGGCCCAAATTCCACACCCCAAACTATTGTGTGACGCATCCCTGCACTGTCCTCAGTAAACACAGGTTTCTTGCCACTTTGGCTTCCCATTTTCTAGCATCTTCTGCTTCATCTGCTCTGTTCGGAACTTTATGAATTGCCTCCTTTCGGTAGGAAAATATTGTCACGTACTTTGCTCTGAGGGGTTGCCTGCTGTGTGGTCGGATTGTACTTCTTCAAGAGAAAGTGTCCCTGTGTTGCCAGCAAGGCCACTGTGCATCCAGTGGACAACTGATGTTGCAAATAGCAGGTTGCACAACACGACAATACTGTAAAAAGTCCACTTGTGTTTGGATGGGGATAACATCCGGACTGTGAATGCGATGTCAAATCCAGATGCACAAGCAGAAGTAGATGTTCACGTTTTTGGGACGTTGGTGTTTCAGAATGCTGGAGGAACCACAAAGCGAGCAAACACTGAATATTAAGCTTACCCAGTGCTTGTGGCTGTGGTGATTGCCAGAGGCCCAAAATGCCGTCAAGGTTGATCCCAAGAGCCATGTGGGGGACAGGACAATACCTTGTTACGACCCAAGCACAATGCGTCTCCTTGGAACAGTGCCGGCAATGAACACTAAAGAAGTGAGTTATCTGGGACTGGTTCGATCTGCAAGTTGGGGTGTGTGCCAAGGCTGGCATAACTTGCACCTGCACTGCTGTCCACATTCCTGGCCGGATATTTAGCAGCAATTCTCTTGCCAACGATCGTTGGCAGGAGATGGCAAGGTTATGTTCTGTCGCGAGGTGATGAACGTCGTGCAGTCAACAATTTGTTGTTAATCGAAATTGTTTTCCAGTCTTGACCAAGCAGGCAGTGACAGGGGCTGCTGTGCACTGAAACTGCAAGTTCTGCAAGAATTCCTGAAAGCCAGGATGCAGATTAATGCGAATGGTTTGTGGTGACCAGGTGAATGCCACTGTTGATGAAGCATGGAAGGCAGCAAAGGTAATGGTTTGCCACACCACAGCTCACAAGCTTGGGAGTGTTGGAGAGCCATGTGCAGTCTGTCAGTGCCTGTCGCGCTGTACCATTGACCTCCACAATGAATGGCATGCTGTCAATACATTGGGCTCTGAGAATAGCACATGATTTTGTGACAGATTTGGAAGAGGTCCACTTTCGATCAAAGGCGGCTTCTTTTGAAGATTCTGCAGAAATTCACAGTTGAACATCAAGAGGACATATGCAGGTGTGAAAGAACACCCGTTTTAAAGTGACTTAAGCATAGCCGGCTCTTGTCTGGAGGAAGAAAGCAACAGGTGAAAGTCCAGTTCAGTGTTTATCCTATTCACTGGCAGCCTTGCCGTGTCAATGAAAATGACGGGGCTGTGTGTCCACACATACAACTTTTGTCCACTCTTTGACATCCCTGTATTCTGAACACACCTATTCCCTGTGCTTAGACTGAGGTGCATTCGAAATTGGAGCAAGACTATGCAGTTCAGTTGTGGCAATCATGAGTTCAAAGACCTGTACTGGCCAACGCAGATCGTGGCTGCATCCCCTGTACCTGCAATGATGTAATTTTGTGCATTAAACACAGGGTGTCTGCTCGGGATTCAGGCAAAGTGGTGGTAGATGCTCTGTTTGGTGAGCTGATGGTTACCTGTGAGAAGTTTGCATGGCTCCGTTCAGAGGGGGAGAAATACTTGAGACCAGAGAAACGGTCTGCAGGAGTCATGGTGAGTGTTGGCTTTACGGATGAGCACATAGTACATGTCAGCTGCAGGGTGTTGGTCACCACGTTGTGAGTGGGTTGTTTGAAGCCCAACGTCATGCAAACGGTGAGGCTGCAGAAGCCTGCAGTGACCAGGTCTCAATTCCTCAGGTGCCAGTTTGTGGGAAGTGCCTATGTGCATTGCCACTTGAACCCATTGGAGGGCAGCTAGTGACACCATGGTTGTGGCAGGAATTGGTAGTATTCTGCTCATTGTTCTATTCAGAGTATTCTGTCTTTGACAGGCAATGCAATATATGTGTGTGCACGAGCGGTAAGAACGGGATGGTTATGGTGATGCTCACAGCTTTGGCCGTTCTTGCTTGTGCTGTGCAAGTAATGAGCGGTCGCTTTGTGGTTGAAGAGATTCTTCACCTGAAGAGATTCTTCAATCTGGCTATTTCTGCACCAATGTGTTCTGATTATGAATGCAGATGTTCTACAAGTCAGCAAGGGTGGAGTATCATCCAGTTGGTGTGGTGAGTTTCTGAGATCTCTATAACAGTTGTCTGTATTGTTCGTCCTTGAAAATGCCTGTTGGTCATTGGGTGGTCTGAAAGTTGACCAGCATTATGTTCCTGCAGGTCGGCGCTATCATTCCATGGAACTATCCTTTCCACAACTTCCTGAACCCTGTCAGTGCGGCAGTATTTGCTGGCAATGCCATTGTTGTCAAGGTGGGTAAAACTGTCTGCGGCAGATGGTGACAGAAATGACAAGTGCACGTTCCAAGGCAAGTGCATTAAGTGCTTGCGAGTCCATGTCAGCTTGTGCATTGGTTGCATACAAAACATGGCGCTGGGGGTATGAAACTATTGGATTCTGCATGTGACCTGGCAGGGCAGTCCCAAAACCCGTGGCTCCTGCAAACTGTTGATTTCCTTGTGGCTGTTGCTTTACATGCTCAAGCATTCTCTTCTTGCTTTGTTGTACTGCTGCTGGCATAGTAACAATATACTTGAGGGTTGTCCGTTTTCCAAGTACACCACAGCAGAGCTCACTGGTGCATGCCTGCAGCAACACTTTTGTTGTCAGAAATGGGCCCACACTGTTATCTTTTGCATTCGGTAAGCAGAAGGATGGCTAATTTTAATAGAATGGGATGTGCTGCCAAGCATACTGCTGTGAAGGAGGGGCAAAGCAGAATGTGTCATTGCAATTTGATTGTCATTGTTGCAACTGTCGCTGGAAGTCCGCATTGGTGTGACAGTATGAAAGGAGTTTGAGCTGTTCCTGCAGGTATCAGAGCAGACCTCGTGGTCCTCCCAATACTATATGGCAGCCGTCAAGGCTGCCCTTGCTGCCGCAGGGGCTCCTCCCAACCTGGTCCAGATCGTGACTGGATATGCGGAGGCTGGTTCTGCCCTCGCATCCGCCAAGCTCGGAAAACTCATATTCGTGGGTTCCACGGCCGTAGGCAAGAAAGTAATGGAGACAGCAGCCAAGCGTCTTACCCCTGTGGTTCTGGAGTTGGGGGGCAAGGACCCTGTCATCATTTTTGATAACATCAATATTGCAAAGGTGAAGTGAAATGACTAGTATGCACCCATGGGAGCTGATCACAACTGTGCATGTGTGTTAACTTCGCATATGTGTTATTTGTCGTCTCCAAAATATTATTGTCAAGTGCTCATTTCATTCACTGTTTTGCCACTGTGAATTACACAATAAATGCCAAGGTGGCATCCATGGCCAATCGACTGTTCCCTGCTGCATTCTCATAGTACATGTTTCTGAATGCAGTCAAAAGCCTCAGAATCTGGTTATGGCTCCAGATGTGTGACTGCTGCAGTCTTGTGCGCTTGGCGGTACCTGCTGTGTTACAGTGCGTCGTAGAAAGGGGCAATTTGTTGTTATATAAGGACCATTGTTCTGTGCCCAGTCCTGCTTAGGCGTCACTGCTGCCCGTGTATTTGCTATGTGATTATTTCATGACAAGGTTGTCAGTTTTAGTGTGCGACTGTGAATGGGCCATAACAGAAAGACCACTATCACAAAATTGGCCTTTCCTAATGTGCAACCACAACAAGGGTATGTCCCGCGATGTGTAGTGTGCAAAGCGCCATGCATAATATCCATGTTGCGTGTCATTTTCGGGGCAGGGTGTGATGGTCTCAATGCCTATGTGCCCTATGTTACTGTGCCAGGCTGTTCCCTTCGCCCTCCGTGCTGCTTTCCAGTCCTGTGGCCAGAACTGTGCTGGTGGGGAGCGCTTCATAGTCCATGCACGCATATATGATAAGTTCTTGCATATGGCAGTGGAGACAGTCAAACGCATGACTTTCGGAGAAGCCCTTGGCAGTGATAGGGTGGACATGGGGGCAATGTGCTTGCCAGGATTGGCTGAAAAGGTAATGATGGTTTGCTGCAATTTTGCTGCAGTTTGTAAGTCAGAAGGCGACTTTGTTGTTCTGTACCAGTGTTCCATAATGTTGAGAGCAACTGCAAATTGTGCTACAGTACCTGTGAAGGTCACAAGAGTTTCAGCATACAGAAACGTTCATTTCGCGCTTGTTGCTGTGTTTTCACTCTTTTGGGGCTTGAGTCCAACAGCACCAAGTATTTCCATTGGCTGTTGTCCAGATACCAATGGAGATTGATCAATCAGATACCAATGGAGATTGATCCATCACCTGCATGTATAGGATGTGTACCAGACGCCAGTGGATCGTGCTTGGCAAGTCCTTGCAACAGTATTGAGACTCTGCAGGTCGTCATTTTGAGTGCCCAAAGAGTATCAGTGTTTCTAAATGGTTATACCCATGACTTGTGTGAATGAGTTTTGGGAGTCATGCAACTGAAAATTGCACTCGAAAACTAGCTCTTTGGCATAGTAGCAAGCATATCTGGGCATTAAATAATGAGGAATTTCGCTGTCATGCGGCAGGTCCACAGTCTCGTTCAGGATGCTGTGTCCAAGGGTGCCAAGCTCCTGATTGGTGGGGAGCTGCCACAACGGGAGGGGCAGTTCTACCCTCCAACCATATTGGCCGATGTCACCAATGATATGAAGATTTGGACAGAGGAAGTGTTTGGACCGGTGAGAGTTAGTGCCATTTGTGCGAGCATGGTGAAGGCGGCTTCCATGGCAGCCCAAATGTCTCCAATGCAATATTGCACTGGAGACACGATGTGTAGTATGACAGCCTGATTGGCCACCATGATGCATCACCGTTGATCATGTCCAGTCATGATTAATTGCGATTAATCGTGATTAAGCATCGTAGAATTTGCAGAACATAGAATACATAGTCAAGCTGAATGGCTGCAAAAGAAACGATCCGTGTATACTGCTAATGGATGACTGCAAATATATGGCCAGGTGTCATACTGAAGCACTGAGAGTCAAAGTTGGTGGTATCATCACAATGACAGGGAAGAACTGGGAATGGATCATTAACAGCATCGGCATGGCCATAAGAGCAAAGGAACCATGCCCTCCAGTGCATGGTGCGATTTCATGATATGTGGTTGATTTCAATTTGAAGGATGCATGCTGTTTTGTGTAGATATGTTTCCTGGGGCTCGTGTACCAAGACTGTTGGTGCCTCCAATGCGTTGGCACTGGGCTTTCCCACGTGCTGCATACTGCAGGCAAGGATATTTAGCACTTACGTATTTTGCAAGCATGGCCTGTCGCATCCACATGTGGTGTGAACAACCCAATATTCAGATCAGAGAGAATAGCACACACACGGCGCCAGAGAGCAAGACAAACGTACAAGTCAATATGTCCTTCCCTTGATGAACACACGCGAATCAGGCCCAGTGCACACACACAACACCTGCAAGGATGTAAGCATAGTTGTTTCCTGCTCCTCGCAGGTGATGGCTGTCGTCCCGTTCGACGAAGAAGAAGAAGCTGTCCACCTGGCCAACGACTGCCCCTTCGGCCTTGGCTCCAACGTCTTTTCCAGCCAATACTCGGTTGCTCGACGCGTCGGGGCCTGTCTGGATGCTGGCATGACCAACATCAACGACTTTGGAACAACGTACATGTGCCAGTCGCTGCCCTTTGGTGGCATAAAGGACAGCGGCTTCGATAGATTCGCGGGCGTGGAGGGCTTAAGGGGCCTGTGTGTGACGAAGTCGGTGTGCGAAGACTGGTGGCCGTTTCTGATGACCACAAACATACCCCCTGCACTGCAGTACCCTGTCAAGCCACATGCAGGGGCATTCGTCCAGGCCCTTGTGAAGATGTTCTATTCCTTAGGTGTGCGCACGATTCGCCCGAGCGTGCACAGCACATTGTGCCGCATCAATTGCTTTTGTCCTGCTGCCTTCATTCGAAACTTCCTTTGTAGTCTCATGGTTGCCGGGGCTCATGGAGCACTGCACAAACGGCAAAATTGTGTTCCGATTCCAAGGGTCTCATTCATGGTTATGGAATGCACAGTGTCTGTTGGCTGCATTCCCATGGTAGTGTTTTCATGGTTTGTGACGACCAGGGCACCAGCCGCGTTGAAAGCACCATTTCCCATGAAAACTGTTCACAGGAGTGCATTGTGTGCAGCTTGTTTTACACAGGGCATGGTGATGTCACAATATGTGATGGATAATAGTGGCGGTACAATACATTCTGGATAATAGTGATGGCACAATTCATCTCCGGAGAGGGTCTGAATTACAGTGGCTGCAGACTTGTGTGTCGCTGTGTCCATTCCTTGTCAAAGTTTAGCCAAGTTATGTGTGAGGACCCTCTTGAGTTCCTTATTGCCGGAGCCCACGTGGCAAATTGCTATCCAGGGGCCTGTCGCAGAACTTGCATTTTTTTGCCACATTCTGTGCAGTGACGCCATGAGATGCCGTGCAGGTTGGAAAGAGCGCTTCCAAGGCCTCATCGAAGTCGCCAAATGTAGTCTCTCCCCATCTTCAGCGGGGTCATCAAAAAAGGAGTGACAACCAGGCATTCACCGCGGGCGTGTTTGGAGTTATTATTGGCGAGCCTGGTTGCCATGCAGCGGCCAATGCGCCCAACGGGCACGGAGGACGATGGCTGTGGTTGCATTGGGTTACAACTGGGGGTGCTGGGGATCGTTCTAAATATGTCGTTGCTTGACGAGTGGGAGAAGAAAATATACCAATATCGGCGAATGTTGTATGTGTTCGAGACATCTCCAGTACAGTCCTTTGAGGGGATTGTGGGTGACTGTATTCCTTGTCCATGTTCGGAACCCTATGGTGGTGGGCTTGGGCGCAGGTGGGAAGTGAGTGGGAGTTGGGGGTAGAGGTGGGTGGGTGGAAGGGGGCAGCCCAAGGTCCTTATTGTGTGGTGAGTCGACCGCTCACAGCTGCGAATCTCACTGTTACCTGCTCATGTCAATCAATTTTACACGCTTCGTTTCTACCACTGTCCCTCTCCTTGACTAGATCATTTGGGCACTGGATCGTTTGTCCGTTCGTTGGATGATTAGGCATGTCGAGGTGGGGGGCTGGCTGTCGGCTCCCTGTTTTGCCTGAAAAGGCGGTGCCTATGGTTTGTGCAATAAAGATCTTAAGCATTTTACGAATGAAAACCAGAATCCACCAGTTTGTTTGTTTGTCTGTTTGTTTGTTTGTTTGTTTGTTTCTTCCTTACATGGATGCATCGACATGATGTCACGGCATCGATCAATGTGGCGTACCAACCAGTGTGCGAGGGGCACGATCCACCATTGTCCCGGCCGAGATTGCTGCTGATGATGCATCGAAGAACCGCCTTTGCAAAGCGGCAAGAGGGGCTGGAAGCTTGAGAGATCTGTCATTGCCATGACCAATGGCACGTGAGCGGCTTCGGCATATGCAGGCAAATGCACAGCAGTGGAAGAGAAAATATATCTCACCTTAGCAATCAGGTTGACAAAGTGGACTGTTGCGATGAGCATGCGTATTTACGGTGCCATGTTGCATCACACAAGACTCAATGTGCCTTGGCCTGCCCCCTCCCCTTATCAATTGAAAAGCGCGTCGACTGAAGCGAAATGGGGGATGTCCAGCAGAAACGTTGACAGAAATAGTACAGATCCGCACACATTACTCGAAACCCATGCAATTCAAACGACGAGAACGCAAACCAAACTAGCACCTCTAGCATCCCTCGCATCGGAACATCAAATCTATTTTGATATGCAAAATCGCATTTGGGAGTTTATATCAGATTCCCTTCCCACCTAGCTTTAAATGGTTGTCATGGTTTGCAAGTTATTTCAAGTCTTTCACATAGCCGTTGTGCAAATATTGCATCACCCTTGCACAAAAGCGGCTCAGCTCACAGAAAAAATGCCATGCTAGCATCTACACTTTGGTGCTCCAAATTCAGTGAAGAAACTACCACACTGAAGTCTCCATCCTGCTCCAATTCCTTACAGGCTCATTTCTGAGCCGAGCGTTTCTGCATCGAATCCATGCTTTCCCGCGGAGTGCTTGCCGTTTCTGTGAGGCGACATTGGAGAATTTCGAACACATTTTCTTGCATTGTGAACATTATGCTGGCGACCGGATGATGTTTCTTGCATTGGCGCGCCACCGGGGTGATGCCAATTTGCAGTGGGACCTATCAGAACTCGTGCCCAAGGCCCTTAAGGCCTTGGTTGGCTTCATGATGCGTTATTGGGGCGCCCAACCCGGGGGCACGCCTTGGGGGCGACGTACTTGACATGCGTTCTTTTGGAAGATCAGATACACTTTCTATTTTCTTCTTGAGTCCATTGGGATTTCTATCTCTTTTTGGGCGGGGGTTCTGGCTGACAAATGCAACACTCTAGCTCTGGAGCACAGTCATCACTCGTTGGCTCTCACTTCTGCACTCCCCCTACTCCCTTGAGGGCCGGGGAGTTGCCCTTGACATTTTCGGGCCCGTGTTTCGCTTTTTTCTTTGGGCGATTTTGTTGCCAGTCTTGGGGACCGTTTGGTGACAGTCGAACACAAACACGGACTGGATTGCATGTTGTTTCCGGGGAACACTGCCCGACATCGCCAGCTTGGTGACAGGGCTTGCTTTGCCATGATTTTGGCAAATATAATTGCAACGGATTTCCACCACACTAAAGCAACTGCCATCATGGTGATTCAAGTGGCATGATGCTATTCACCCAACGCATCGATCATCAAGAATTTCTTGCGCTTCCACTCATCCCCTTTGCATGGCCCAGCCCTTGATCTTTTGTCAAGATTGCTACAAGCAACTGTGAGGTGCCCTTGGAAAAGTTATCAAAATAGGAACTTTCCAGGTGGCAGCCATTGCGGCCATTCGGCGGCGATCGGGCAATACACATAATGTGTGTAATCCTAAAGATGCTGCGCACAAAGCGCTAGTAATGGACTAATCACAAAGCCGACGGGGATATTGGTTCATCCTGAGCTAAGGGGAAACAACCTGCGATAGTCGGTTGGACAATAAAATAACAATACTCCATAATGAAGGAAAATAGGTTTTGCCGTGTTCCTTCATTAACGAAGGCCATTGCCGACGTGTCTGCTGCCTTTCTCAAGATTCCCGAATCGAACGTAATTGCACCACACCGTCTTTAGCAGTAGAACTACAACACTCTCATTTGGTCACAGGATATGCGTTATTCACTGGGGCATTGCGGCTAGCCTCCCAGAGTGCCGATACCGCACAATGTGCAAAGAGTGACATTCAGCGCAGACGTAATTGTGCAGTCTTCTATCCACAGGTTTCCAAAAATATCTTAGGAAGTAAATTCGTTGTCGTTGCGTGGCATGCTTCAACACCACGGCTCTAATGAACGAATGCATCGACGAAGTGCAGAAATTCGGTGAGATCAATTCTTAACCTAACATACCGCTTGCCTTTGACTGTGTTGTGCCCAGCAAGGTCGGCAGTTTAGCGCGTTTTGGAAACAGAGCCGGGCTCGCATCTGGTGCGCAGGTCGCCCATATGGATCGCACATGCCGTTTATGGGGACAAAGCTTCGATTCAGTCTTAGAGCGTGCACTGGAGCTGGAACCAGCCTTGGTATCTGCTTAAAGTGCAAGCCTTGTGGCTGCGCAAGTCGCAAATCACTCGATATACAGAGGGGCAGCCACAGTGTCGGGTACATTACCAATGCAGGAAGGGCGCCGTGGGCCCAGTTACGCCTTTGACACGCCGATGGGGACTCGTGCCATCAAGTGCAACTTCACCCCGATAGCGACGACCATTGGGTCGGTTTTGGCACCCGTCAAGGAGACTGACCGCCACATGGGGCCCATCCACAAATTTGGCAAGCAGCGTGTCCAAAGCTCTGTGCACAAAATCCTATGTTGAATGACACAACGCAAGCAACGCGCAATCCCAATCAGGGCAGGTCCACGCAAGACAACAGCAGTTCCCTGGCGCCATTTTGCGCCCAGCTGCTCCTCCCGTCCTCCGACCCCCGCGATGCCGGGCACACGCAGGCCACCTCCTGCCTCGTGACGTAAAGGCTGGCGAGCGCACTGGACGTTGACAGCACAGCCCCTTGGACCTGCCGCAGCCCAAATCTCCTTTCCAGGGGCGCAAGCCTGGAACGCACAATGCCCGTGCCTCGCAAGTCGAGGAATAAGAGCGTTTCCAAGTCCAGCAGGTACTGGACGCATCGCTCTGTGACCCTGGTCCTGTTCAGGCGCAGCAAGGAGACCTGGCTCGGCGGCCATTCGTCACCCCCGGCGCTGCATACGTCACCGTGGGCACCCGCGCACCAATTGGCCAGCCTCCTGCCGTACGTCAGGCATTCCACCAAGGTGTCGTCGGCGTCGGTGTCCCCAAGGTTGAGGGATTTGAGGAAGGCCAGAGAGGCCAGGGCCCTGCCTGACGTCTGGTCTATGCCGCTCAGCCCCTGCCAGCAGGCGGGTGAATTCTACGTCATTACTAACGCAACGGATTACTAACGTTGGTATTACTAACGTGGCATGAAAAGTCACGGCAATGTTAGGCCAAGGCTGGAAGCCAAGTTGTGGATCAGACGGCATTGCGAGTGCAGGAAGATAGGCACTGATGCTGGGTTGGCCACTGACAACTGGCGACCTCACAAGCAGCCTTTCTGAAGAACGTAGGATTCCTTTACGAACACTATCCACAACGCCTTCACAAAATGCCCCATGCAATCCCGGAACAGCGCATTCGACCTGCGCAGATTACAAACATGAACTCCAAACGCCCCAACTTTGCGATGGACAATTGTTCGGAATTTGTGCATAGCTTACTAGCACTCTGCCTCAAATACATGTGCATTGTTTCACGCCTTTTTCGCAAGACAATTCTTTCATGCAGTTTACGATTGGCAATTTGATACGCAAAGGTGCGAAGACATGTTGAAGAAGAGTCAGAAAGTGCCTGACTGACTCCATTTTGATTTTTGTGGTGTCATATGCGCTCCTCCAATCGACGGGGATCTTGAAATCCGGTGCTGATGAGTTGAAAGGTAGAAATGGCGCACTCGTCAGGTGTGCGAGACAGCGCATGAGAACTGGGGACTGTTTCTCAAATACTGATGCAGGAAACAAAGCTGCTCAAGCACAGCCACTGCTGTTTGGTCCTCTCGTTCCAGGCATTTTGATGTTCAACATGTTTCCACTCGCGCCATGACTACAGCACGAAATCCGAAATGGAAGTCACCGTTGAGTGGACATCCTTAGCAGTAGTGCCCACATCTTTGAACGCGTTGAGGTGGGGCAGGGGGCCGGGGATCTGAGCATGAACATTGCCACTGCTGTGATTCGGATTGGATCGAAAACACACTGCAGTATCCAGCACAAATGGAATGAGTTTGCAACAACGGCAATTACCAGCAAGGCAGCTCTACAGCACAATTGCCGCCCACAGTCATCGACCAAAGTTGAATAAACATACGCCTGACAGCTAAATGATTATCTCAGTTCAGTGCTTCAATGCAATTGCTCTTCCAAGGCTGGCTGCCCTTACACTCCTGGCTGTGCTTCACAGTGGATACTTGCATATCTCGCAGTTCGTTGGCACAACTAGTTCAATTCGATTCACTATGGATTGCACAGCACAGCAGACTGCAATGCTTTGCGGCAACTTACTAGCACAAGATGAACGAGCATCTTTCGGACTCGGACAGCTCTATTTCTCTGATCGATGGAGTAAAATCACAACAGACAAACCATTGCAGTAAAGCCCTGACGCCCATGATCGCATTTGTCGGACGTCCCCTCCTCCCTTCTTGCCAAACACCTCCACAAGTTCTACAAACAAGATTGTTGACCAGAAGAATGGAGAAACAAGGGGGCAACTGCCTATGCTGTGTGCATCAGGCAATTATATGACTTCACAGAATGCAGTGGTGACAGCACCAACCTGCATGTCCAGAGCCTGCAGCGAGCGGAGGTGCGACAGTTTGACAAGCTCAGAGGGAAGGAGGTTTTGGCAACCCCTCAAAGACAGACAGGTCAAATTAGGCACAAAAGCAACCCACGTCAAATCTGACAGTGTCGGAATGGAGGCCTCCATGTGGACCAGGTTGCTCCCAAAGAACCACAACCTGTCCATTCGAGCAATGCGGCCTGGTGGACTAGTCAATTGAAGCCTTGTAAAATGCCTGCGCGCAACACATTCAGTCCAGGAGTCGTGAAATTGCAGGGTAAGAAGCTCGAGGGAGTTCAAAATGGAGGCAAAATCGCCTTCTTGCATATAGGAGTGTCAAAAAGGAAGGAAGTGCCAGCAGTTAGAGCAACTTGAGGATGGCCTTGTTTCAGTCAAAAGCATGCCATGCCATGGCACAGTACTGATGGAATTTCCATGAATCCAAGCTGCTGGGAAGCAAGCTAACAAGGGCAAAAGCTGGTGTTGATCGATAAAACGGGCGTGGAGGATGGTGAACAACCACATGAAAGGCATCAAAATCTGGACTGCAAACGAAGAACCACATTCACAACAACACTCAGATCATTTGACAACACGTGGCTTGCCCGTATTCAAACCATACCATGGGCACTCAACCATGAACGATTGTTTACCAGTGCAGTGCAAATCCTTTCAGTGCCTGCAGGTATGCCTCCCTCTCCCTGGCAGCACCAACACAGTCGTTCTGACTGTGCAGGTGAACGTTCCTGCGTAAAAGGACCAACACCAATGATTATTGTGAATACCCATTGCCCCGACAACTGTGGGCACATGCACCCATGCTGTGACAAAAACAACTGCTGTTTACAACCAGCAATGGCACAGTTTTGTCTTTCAACGCCACATTCGTAAGACAGAACTTGGCAGGCCACCATCAATGTATGAGGTAGCAGGCACAGGTCGAAATAGAACATTACCAAACCCTCTGAGCAACACAAGGGGATCCATTGCACATTGTTCACTCCCCAGCCATTCCTGTGATGCCTGTTTCCTTTGTCCCTCAGTCCAAGAATATCCCAAGAATTGCCATCTCTGCCAGTGACAATTCCTCTGGCCCACGAGCCAAAAGAACGTGAAGATAGGGTCTCGGCCTTGGAGTGAACACCACAATACATGGTTCTGTGCGCTGACCCAATCTTTTGACATCAACACCTCAATCGTAAGTTTGGAACCATTCTCTCTTGTTTGTCCTCAATCGGCATCGTGGTCCTGAGGGTCACGGTGTCCTTTGCCTTTGCAATTGGAGATTCTTTTTCCAAGGAATCAGGGAACCTCTATTCTCAGCATTGCGTCCCCACCTGCGGTTCCGCCGCAACTGTTCCCTCCGCCGATACTCCGTCCAGAGCCTAGTTATGAGAGCATCCTCCACATACCAACCTATGGTGAGTTGCCAAGTGTTCAGTGGACGTGTTGTGTGGAGTCCATGGGTGCCGTGACCGTTTGCATTTTAGCGTGATTTAAACGCTTTAAGATCGCACCAGGGCAAAGCGTGCCGTTCAGAAGGGCGTCCACAACCGCACACAGGGCAATGTCCGTCAGGAATGGGACCCCCATCCGCTCCGGAAAATGCAGTTTTCAGCGGAAGGCGCGCAGCGGCAGGGTACCGAAAGCTGCGCTGTCTCGGCAACACCAACGGGCCGTTTGCCAGCCAGCTTTGCCCAATTCCAGCACAAAACCCCCCTGTGCCAGGGACTCCTTGCGTGGGGGTGTAATGCGTAACTGCCGTACAGCAACGCATTAATGTGCCAATATTGGCGCAACACCCGTGCTGGCGCCATCAGACTTTCCGATGAGCAAAGCATCGCCACGGCTCGTTTGAGGTCCAGAAGCTCTGCAGACTTCGTTTGCAATTGCGTGGGCAGCCCCCCCAAGCACGCGCCGTGGCTCCCGGCCCACCCTTTCGGCGGGTCTTCCTTTAGGTGCCAGCCAGGGCACCCCGAACGGCGCCGGAGGCGCCCACAGGCCGCCAAGATGACGGAGACGCTGCGCAGGAACGCGCCGGGCATGAAGACCGTCAAGGACATGCCCCTCCTCCAGGACGGGCCCCCGCCCGGGGGCTTCCCCTCGGTGCGTTACGCGCGCCGCGTGCCCACCACGGGCCCCACCGGCGTCACGCTTTTCGTCGTCTCCACTGTGGTGATGGCCTACGGCTTCTACCGCGTGGGGGTGGGCAACCACGAACGCCGGGCGTGGCGCGACGACAAGATGGGCGCGCGGCGGGCCGTGGTGCCGTTCCTGCAGGCGGAGGAGGACAGGCGGTGGGTGAAGGCGAAGAGAGAGGCGGTGGAGATCGAGGGGAGGCTGATGAGGAACGTACCAGGCTGGGTGGCCGGGGAGAACGTGTACAAGTCGGGGAGGTGGATGCCGCCGGCCAGGCCGGTTGGCGTCTGGGGCGAGCTGTGAGGGGCGCGGGGCAGGGCCCCGGCGGGAGCCGCACGATGCGCCCGGAGGAGACATCCGATCGGGGGCGATCGTCCGGGAAATGTGGGTGAGGGCGTCGGCCGCTGCGGGGTTGGTGTCCAGCAGGGGGAGGGTTGGTCTGGATCGGGTTTCAAAGAACTCTCGCTTCCGAAGATCAGGCTGTTGTCGGAGTCCGGCGGAGGGAGAGTGAGTCGGGAGAGAGCCGTTCGTGGAACCGCCCTAGTTCTGAAGGAGCCTAAAAATTGGGAAAGCGTGAACGACGTCCCAGCAGTAGCGAGGGTGGACGCCAGTAAGGCAGTTGGTCTCTGTTTCAGTACATTTTGGCTGCATCCCATCTTGGCACAAGCACCGGGAGACCCCAAACTTCCCCTGTTGTATCCGACTCAAAGCACGCTGAATATACCTTCGTCTGCGATTTTGTCCTCGACCTTTGTTGTCGCCTGCGACTGTGTCAGAATTTGCATTGCTACCGGGCCCTTTGGACTGGTGTGCTGATGATGAGACGCTAATTTGACATGCTGCCACCAGAGACTGAACACGACATATGGTGTGTAGCACATAAAGCCCAACCCCTAGTCCTGTGTCCACCCAAGCTGTTAAATATGAGTAAGTCTTGGTTGGAAGTTGAGCATTACACAACAACAGTGAGTGGAAAGCATATACCTGATAAATGGTGTAATGCCTCAGTCTTCAAGGCACAAGCCCCAGCCAAGAAACCACTGAGCTTTGTTGCAAAGCTTTTGGTATTGCAGCATGGGATGGGGCCAATCCCTGCCTCACAAAATGCAGATTCGTGCCCCCGCAAAACGGTGTCCACTGGACACTGTCCAGCGTTTGCCGATTCTGAGGGCAGCACAATTTACCCTCATTGTCTAGCCTGCTGTTCTTTCTGCTGACATCGTAAAGGAGATAGAAAACAGAAGCATGGACAAAGGACAAACAAACATCAAGCACTGCAGGACAATTGAAAGCCAGGCTGGGCATGGGCTGCTTATCTTTTGCAAGATGCTGTTCCACAGTTCCGGCACATGCAGAAGAGTGTCCCAGAGGGCATAGGCAAGGAACTGTGTCCAGTAGTGACAGGATGACTATTGAATTGGAAACCACCTTACTTGACAGCATTCCTTTTGTATGTCGTTTAAGTCGTCTGCCCATTGCATTTAAAGGCATCGCCTCCTAGAATATCATTGTGTTGTCACTGCTCCAATCGATACGGACAACTCATTCAAGCACACATTGTTGGCCATGTGTCGTTTTTATATTGTGAAAAGCAGCACTTTGGATCGACTTACTATGGATTTGTCAGGATTCGCTTGCGAGCGTCCCTCATCACCCCGACTTGCAGGGGCACGTTGTTCCTTCAGGTGACATAGTTTAGCGAAAAACGACTGTCAAGCAGCAAGGATAGTGAATCCAGTTGCCAGCAGGTCGTGTGGCCACAAGTTGTGGTCAGGTAAGGCGCCCAACCGTTCCTGCCTCGATTCTCGTTGTCTTGCTTTTTGTTCCAATAACAACCTTCAGACAGACAGGGGGCAAAATTTGTGGGATGCAAAATCAATTGGGGCTGCTATATCTACTGCTACTACTCAGGGATCTGTAAACCTGCACAACGAAACGTGGGTGCTTGCATGGGCTGGGGCGCCTAGTTAGTACCGACAACACTGACCACCACGGTTCTATTCATAACAATAACCCAATTATCTGTGGTTGGGCCCCTTTGCTTCATGAACATCTTCACGCTGAAACTGAAATATGGGGACTGCGGCACTGGTGTTCCAGAGCGTCCTCTCAGTCGCTGCACTGCACAGCATCCACATGGCCAAAGCCCCTTTTTCATTCCGCTGTCCAAATACAAAAGAACCTTGGGACAAGTCCCACTCGTTCGAAGAGCACCACCGCTGCCCCTGACCACTGCCCAGTAAGTCGCCAGTCAAATGTGTGCCACAAGGCAGGATCAACTTTCCAAGCATTGGCAAAGCACAAGCAGTGGCAGGCCCAGATGCGCCTGGAGGAAGTCAAGCTATGAGCCAGTATCGCAGCCTATCATCCCCAATCCCATTCCCCATCCCAGACCACCTCAGCAATCCTACATGTGTGGAGGCAGAGAATAGCCGTTCTTGCATCCTTGATTCAAAGTGATAGCAGCAGCGTACACGTTTGCATGCCCACAAGTCAAAATTTAAAACAATACAGTACACAGAAGATTTTGGGTCCACCATAGAATCGATGTCACACAACAGAGCATTTGGGCCAGGGATGTGCCCATTGCCCCCACTCTCCCTGTCCCCCCAATCCCCCCTCCACTCAAACCTCAACTAAACTACACTGGGCATACCAGCCCTCCACCCTTGAATCCGTGGCGTACATTCGTATGATACTGAAATAGGAAACAATTCCAAAGGCACGATCCATGCATTGCCCCATGTTGTTCCTATGGGCGATGTTGCGAGAAATGGGCGGGTTCCAATTCCAAGCACTTTCCAGATGTTGTCCAAGCCGCAACATGCCCAGGGGCTTTCTCCCTGGATCTTCCTGGCATAAGGATTGCCCTTGCTATGGTCCAGACATGCCACCTAGCAGCATGGTCCTGACGCCTTTTGGGTTGCAGCAGCCCCAACCTTCACTGTTTGGGAGTTGGGCCCTCCAGCACCATACCCAACCTTGATCCCAAAAGACTGCAAACATAGATGGAAAAGCCAGAATGAAGTACAATTTCAGTCAACAAAGTTGTGAATGTCACAATTGTTATCATTACATTTCCAGCCCCTTTGAATGTGCTTCACATGTGCAGTTTTGAAGCAGGAAAAACCATGAACGAGAATGCCAAGGAGCATACACAGAATACAGACAATTGTTAATACAGGCCCAAAACTATGAGGTGCTGATGGTTGCTGATCTACTCCTAAGGAAGCCAGATACTATGCAGGTGGTTTCATCTACATTGTGCAAATTACAAATGCCACTGGCCTGTTGCCAACACATGTGCAGAAGGCTGTGGTTTACCCCCAGAGGAAGACTAGCCACACATGGTGAGCGTGGGGTGGGGTGGGGCGAGTGGGCTTCGCGAGCAACACAAGGACAATAGGATAGTTTATCCACTTATGGAAGACCCCGGAACTGATTCATGGCCTTGTATTCCATGTGGAAGAATGGGTTGAACAGTGGCATGCAAGCTGTCGTGCTGCTGGCATCTTCAATGCTCGTGACAGTAAAGAATTCTGAGTGTTTTCAGATGGCTTCACTGCAGTGGACTCTTCCAGCATGTGGTGCTTACCTCATTCGAGACATCAAACACGCCCTGCTCAATCTTTTCGTATATGCTCGTGACAGTAAAGAATTCTGAGTGTTTTCAGATGGCTTCACTGCAGTGGACTCTTCCAGCATGTGGTGCTTACCTCATTCGAGACATCAAACACGCCCTGCTCAATCTTTTCGTATATCTTCTTCGCTGTGTTGATGAATGCCTGAAAGAGAGAACAGGCACACACGAGTCGCTCAGCGTAGCAAAGCCGAGCAGAAGGACTGCTTAAGGTGAGGTCGGCTGAAGAGCACTGAGTGGGTGTTGTTGACAACGAGGTTCGTCATACACTGGGCATTCCCCTCCCCGGCACCAGGAACAGCAACCACAGGCAAGCAGGCACTAGAGAACACGGTGCACAGCCTCACATCCTCCACGTTGACAGCCGTCTTGGCAGACGTTTCCAGGAACACCAAGCCATGCTCCTTTGCAAACTGCTGTCCCTCCTCGGTCGACACAGCGCGTCGGGCCTGCCACACGGCATGCCAATTGAACAAGCCAGCGGGAAGACATTGAGCAACAGCAGGGAAGGCCTGGGCATCACACTGCAACAGGCAGCAGTGGGTTGCCAAAAGGTTACCAAGAACGCAAGCCCCACCCTTGCCTATCGCCCCTAGATTAGGTGCCAACCGCAAAGGGGGGGCCTCCTGCCCCCCTCTGTCCCACTACTCCACCCCTGCCCCATCCTGGCCTGGCTTGACGCACGTTGAGGTCGCTCTTGTTGCCAATGAGCATGATGGTCATGTTCTGGTTGGCATGCTGCCGAGCATCCTCCAGCCAGCTGGCGAGATGGTTGAACGTGTCCCGCCTGCGGCGAAGGGCGCAGCCAGGGGGATGAGTGGGGCCGCGGACGACCAGGGACGCGGTGGTAACACCCCTGCGGCAGCGTGGCGCAATCAGCGACCGCACCTGGTGATGTCGTACACCAGTAGGGCACCCGCCGCCCCGCGGTAGTAGGACCTTGTGATGGACCTGAACGACTCCTGGCCAGCCTGTCAGAGAGCCACAAACGCCATCAGCGAAGGCTGCCTGCCGCGCGGGGAAAGGATCAGGACGCGTGGGGGTGCGAGCGGCCAGTCGCACTCACCGTATCCCAGATTTGCAGCTTGATCTGCTTGCTGTTGATGTTCACCATGCGGGCGCCGAATTCGACGCCAATCGTCAAATCGTGCACCGGCTGGAAGCGCTTGTCCGTGAACTGCAGCAACAGGCAGGACTTCCCGACGCCTGCGCACGCAACACGCACCCCACCAGTCAGGCCCACCGCCCAGGAGAGCGCGGCTGGCGGGGCGGAAAGCTGGCATTGGACCCCACGCACCGGTGTCGCCAATGATGATGTACTTGAAGAGGTACCTGGTGCAGCAGCAGGGCAGGCGAGCGAGCGTTAATAGAAGGGTCCAAGGCTGGCGCTGTGGGGTGACGGGATCGGGGCGGGCACTCACGCGTAAGACATGCTCCCCGCCTCTGCAGCCGCGCCCAAACGCCGGGTAAGGGTGGGCGCGGGGGTGGCGCTGGCTGGGGCGCGCGGCAGGGAACGTCCCAGGAACGAATCGATTTGGGGACAAATACGCCCGTGTGGGGCGTGGAGGAGCACGGGAAGTGAGGAGGATGGCGCGGGCCACCTGGACCTAGCCAGGCCCAGCTTCCCCCAAGGAGGACACCCCGCCGAGTTTCCTGACCTAATGTTGGAACCAGATGCGGCAGTAGGTAAGGAAACGCTCCCGTGAGTGTGCCCCAATCACGAGGTTCAAAATGGATAGTTTTGTATTGTTTGGTTGGCGGGGGCATACATGTGCAAATGATGCCGTGCTTGGGCGCCGAGCTGCGTCCTTGTTTGCCCGTGCTGAGACACACCGCAAAGGTGCCAAGGCAGGTGTTTGCTCGTCGCCAAGGGCCGTTACGAAAGATGGGCTGTGTCAGCAACGCATTTCATGCTCTTCAGGGCGATGCAGGGGAGAATCAGTTGCATGCAAGCATGGATGCAACAGTAGTGAAGTCCTCGTTCTGCACACCAGCCACTGGACCAATTTGTCCAGAAGCCGAGCAGCAGACTGTAAAAGGACAAAGCGCACTGCTACTTTCGATTCCAGCTGGTGCTGGACCTGGCGCAGCTTTCCCCAAGGCCGTCACACGCAGTTGGCACTCACTCATTTCCATTTCCATGTCCCTAGCACATGCCTGGCTGATCGTGTCTGCTACATCTTGGCCCCTGCTGATCATGCCCCAGTGTCCCGCACTGGAGTTGGCAGAGTCTGGAATTGTTATGAACTTTGCCGTTTTGTTGGAAACAATATGCAAAGGGTTGCGCCTGTGTCAAAACAAGCCAATCCAACAATCCATTGAATTGCGTATATTGTATCGTGTTCAGTTCAAATGCTGACAGAATTGGCTGCATGGACTGTCCCACCACAAGTGGTGACCAGCATAGCTGCAGGGCCTAGCTGGTGAGGTGGTAGTTCTGCTCCTTTTGGAGTCCTGTTGACAGCAAGGGAAAGCACCAGAAGTGCTTGTCACAACTGAGCTGATTGGACAGAGTTGCGTGGCAGAATAACATCCTTGGCTGCTATGGAATCGCAAACTTTCAACCCTATGGCCAGAAGGTTGCATCGCTCAGGTTGCAGACGTGATGCCACCAAAGCACCACATGGATGGATGCATTAATATGATGCGGATTCCATGTGTGGTGCAACCTTCCACAAGCCATCAGCTATCCCAAAGCAGAACACACATCGTGATGCGCACAGACTGTTCTTCGGAATGCCAGGCCAACGCCACTTGTTCTTGTGACAGCGCGGCTGGTATTTAAAGTAAAGGAGGACAAGTAACTACATCCAAACACATGGCCAACCAAATGCCCATGAGTGCGTTGACCTTCCTGAATACGGAAATGCAGTGATCTTGAGCAATTCCAGCACCTTATGCAAAAGAAAACAGTGTGGTGCCACCCTCATTATGACAACTATGTAGCTGCAACTCCAGTTTACGCTTCCCTCCTGTCTCCAAGATCGCTCGGAGTTGCCAGAACTGAACATAAGCACGTGCATGGCCAGACTATGAGCTTGGTATTTGTCCCATTGTCAGGCTCCTGGTAGATTCCAAGTTGCGAACATCCCGCTTCTCCGGCTTCCACGGCTTGCCGGACGCCCAAAGAGCCACGCGAGCTGGTGCCTTGATGACCCATTCTGTTATGTCCCACATCAGCTGTGCGGCAAACCCTAGTGGGCAGCAAAACAACTTGACAGGCAGCAAAATTATCCACACCAACATGCCCAACACACTCGCAACCACCAAGAAAGGGATGGCAAAGGCAGCAAGCAGCCACCTCCACCAAGCCCCTTCCTGTTTCTCAACAACTGGCTTGCCCTCTTCCACAACATCCACAACATGCTCTGATGACTGCGTGAGATCGAAGCAGGAGAACAAAGAATAATCAATAGAGGGCTCAGGTGGAGGTAAGGAATAATCAATGGCAGAGACAAGCTGCTTTGCCTCAGGAAGCTCTGGCAGAGTGTCCGGCACATTCTGCATGTAGACTGACACATTGTCTTTCTGACACTGTGCCTCAATTTTGGTGACACGGTCGCTAAGATGGAATGCAAAGGTCTGCCTCTGATAATCGGACGCGTTGGGCGGGAGGCCATCATACTCTCTTCCAAGAATCGCTGCCGTTCTCAGGATTTGATCGGCCTCTTGCGACAGACGAACAGCATCGCCACCTTGTGTAGCCTGCATGCGATCCAATGCATGGTATGCAAGCATGCATGACTTGAAACAGGCTGCTTTGTATCTCAGATAGCTGCCAAATTTTCTGCAATATCCTGTCCAGCCCTTGACGCCCATATCCTGCGAGCTGGTCCGCGAATGTGCCCTCCGGTGGGGTGCCGAGTCCTGAAGTGCCTGTACCGTTGGCGCCACTGCCTGTTGAACAGATTCGAAGGCCTGTGCATACAGCTGGGACACATCCAAGGCGAGGCCAGCTATCAAGGAAGACACATTGCCCTTCTCAATGGCCCTGAGGACTGTCAAACTCTGTGGAGAACACACCCGCCAAACATAGTTGCCCTTCAGCAGCCATTCCAAAAGAATTGCACAATGGGTGCACAATCTCTGCATTTGGACTCCCAACTGAGCATGATTGACAACGTTACAGCACTCACAGCTCGAGAAGCACCAGTGTCTAGATAAGGGAAGCATTAATCGAATTGGATGTCCAAGCAACCATCATCGCCCTGTCGATGCTAGAGCACGATTTCACCCCCAGCAAGGCAAATGCAACCTTGACATACTTTTACCAGTGTCTGCATACTGCAAGCAGCATGGAACAGAAGTCGGTGGCCCTGCGAAGAGATGGACATTGCATAACAGCGTTTCTGGCAACTCCAACAACTGCAAACACTACACAGGCCCTTTTGCAAGGCCCCCAGCACCCACCTCGCCGAGCAGAGCAAACTGCATTGGTGTGCAATTCGCTTGCAAGATCTGGCAGATACACCCATTTTGTCACATACGCACCTCTGCAACTGGACTTGCCCACAAAGGGTCTTGCTCACAGAGGTCAGCTCTCAACAGCTGACTGCTTACATGGTAACCATGCCCTGTGCCACCGATATCCACCTACCTCTGCTTCTGCCAGCATGAATTTGTAGAGACCCGCCAGAATATTTTCGTCCAGGTCCCCAGCCTTCTGTGCACCAAGCCCCTCCACATGTTTATCTGAGAGGTGCTGAACGACCCCAGCAGCTTCTCGATACAGCTGGTGTGCCTAAATCCACACACAGCAATGAACTGTTGGTGACTGGAGCTTGTACGCGTGCAAGTGGCACAAATTCTGTTCTGTGCCACCTAGTCAGTACAACATGCACCGCCACACTTAAACCAAACACTCTGTCACTCTTCTGCGCATGAAATATCTCGTGTCCAACTGGAAGAATGGCCTATTCTGACCGCATTTCAGGCTATTGCCAACAGTTGGTCGTTGGCGGTGTCTTGGCTTTCAAGCAGGGCGCATGTTATGCTGGGAGCCCGGTTTGGCTCCTTGCACAGGCTGTGAAATTCATTGCATGCAAGGATAGACGTCAAATGCATGCCGCTTTGCGGACATAGTTGGACTCAACTCGCTGTTGGATTGGGCAAACTGCACAAAACCTGCGTGACAACGACAGGAATGGAGGTCTTTCTCCTGACTCGCGGTAAAAAACCTGGAAATCTGGGACTGTCACAAAGCTGCTCATTACGCCGCCATGAAGCGCGAGACGACTACAGATGCGCACCGCCGCCTTGCGGCCCATCGCCACCCTCCCAAATTCGTCGAAACCCAAATTGTCCACTCCCCACCAACCCTCCCGCACCCCCGCGCGTCCCCCCTTGATCCACCTGCGCCACCAGCGAATTGTCCGCCCCGGTGGCCATCCCGCACACCACCGCCGCCGCCTTGGACGCCTTCCACATCGCCACGCTCAGCAGCACGGACGCCATCTCAAATCTCACGTCGCCCCTCGGCTGCGCTGCGTCCGCCCTCGCCATCCTCGCCTCGGCACCCGCGCCCTCGTTCAGCGCGTGCCGCCACTCTACAGACACGGCGGCCGCAACGCCGGCGTCCGCCCAAGGGGGCCCCGGCTCAGGTGATTGAGTGCCATGGCCCTCAAGGGGCCGGATCAAGTGTTGCAGCTTGGACAGGTAGGCAGCCAGGGACGCGTCCACGGCCTTCGCATCGCTGTCCGTGGTTCTCAACGCGGACAAAAGATTGCGGCGGCATTCGGTGAGGTCCCCCAGAAAAGCCCTGGTCTCCGCGATCTGGGGGTGCCCCTTGACGAGGAGCGGCCCCAGGGCGGCGTGGTAATCGACCAGCGGCGCTCGGGGTTCAGCTGCCTTCAGGACCAGCGCCAGCGCGTGGGCGTTCACGCGGATGGCATCGGCGCTCATCGCGCACGCCGGCCGGGGGGGACTATGGGCGGGCGAGCGCGGGGAGCGGCGGCCGGCGGTGGGCCGCTGCTCGGGGGCGCTGCCCTGCCGGGGCCTGCGCTGTTTCTGGTTCGAGGCCTTGAGCGTCTTTCCTTACAGAGTTCGGGTCATGGACGCCAGTATTGCGGGGCATCACGTCATGCTGAAGCTTCCTGGAAGAGGGTGCACTCCGGCGGTGAGCCCGAGCTGGCCTTGGCTTGCATCCGCCAGCGCGTGGGAGTGACAAGCGCGCAGTGGAACCACTGGAAGAGAGCTTGGGCATTGGCGAGCTTGCCGATGTTCACTCGCGCCCGCTGACGAAGTTGTTTGTTGGGGCCACCAGCACTTGGCCACTGGACTAATTCCGTCGAGTGCCGTAGCTGTTCTATGAGGAAGGCCAAAATAGCTCCCATGCATAGAGGCGCCATCTGCCATCAGCCGTTGGAAAGGCTAAAATACCACTCGTGGAGCTGTTGTCTGCCATGAAGGAAAAGGCAGAGAGGCAGGTAGAAAGAATGCAAGATAGAAAGACTGAGAAAAAGATACATGGACAAAGAACAACAACGAAAAGAATAAAGGATGGGTTAGGAACTGAGCTGTTCTTTCAAGGCCAGAAAATGAATTTTGCTGTGTTCTTTTGACTCGCTTTCTTGAACCTGCTTCGTCGCATGTTTCCTGGTAATTTTACGCGTTTTTATGCGTAAAAACGTGAAAGCTGTTTTAACGCATAAAAGCGTTAAAACTGTTTTTGATGCGTTCAGTTTTTACGGCGTGAAACCAAGCTTGGTCGTAAGGTGGAGTATAGGCAACAGCAAATCTGTTGTCGCGGAGCTGGTGCAATGGGTGCTTTTCACAAGCCATGGGCTGTTGTAATGAATGATTTTCGTGATGGAAACCAGTTATCAGGCCGACGCCCCCTGTCGACGTCGACAGAGGTTGGGCCCCACCTCTGCCGCCTTACAATGTTGTGGAATATAATGAGCGGTCGCGACATGCGATTCTGACGAACTTGAGTCTTGTCCACAGCTGCGATCTTAGGTGGCAACAGAGGCAATCGTTGAACAAACAATTTATACCACCCTCTCCTTGCTACAATGGCACTTGGAACGCTCTGCCCAGTGTGCATTACGCAGCGCACAAGGGCACATCGCCGCCACTTGGCGCACAGCCACGCGGCCCAACGATATCGCAAGACCTGTCCCACCACTGCGCGATCTTGTTCCAGCGCCCGCTCCAATTTTGCGGGTCAAGAGCAACATGAACCTCGATGGGCCTGTTCCCAAGGGAACGGCTCACGGCAGCGAAATGCCCATCAACCGTGAGCTGGATTAGCTTATTTCAGTGGCACCTCTTGCACTGTGAACACAAGGACACATCCCTAAATCGCAGCAAGTAGCGTTCGTTCGCATATCAATGTCAGGAACAACGATTCCATGTTTCATGGAAAGTTCAGGCCAGTATTTGCTCAAACAATGTGGAAGACACAGCAAAGCCAAAATTTTCCATCGATATTTGTATCTCGCAAGGTAAGCAAGATTTATTGCCGTTGGAGGCCGCACCGCTGCCGACCATGGTTTGTGCACGCTTTTGCGACGCCTCGGGACGGGTGCAGAATGACCACGAACCCTAAAAGATACCAGATACATATTGGCGCGTAAGAAGGATGGGATCGAGGGCCCAAAACATACGTGTTTTCCAACTGAATTCGACATTTCAAATCACGTCACTTGTTGAAAACACAGCTGTTGTGATTATTTATTAACGATCAACCATTTTAAATGCTGGACAATGCCTTCATACTCAAAGCTATCGTTATGTTGTAAAGGTGAATTGGCCACCCGACAATCAGTTCCCTGCAGTTAAATATGAACGCTACATTTAATCTCAGGTATGGACAAACAAAATGGGCAGCGTCTGGCGGAGTGTACCAAATCTGCGATATTAAGTCGCTTCTCCCTTGGCATGACAGTGTCTGCCTCCATGCACGGCAGCATGTTTAGATACAAAAGACAACATGCTGCAGAGGTGGCAGTTCAGAAGTGCTCCATCAGAGGCTGCACGTGCCGTTCACCTGAGCACGTTCCCTTCCGAAGGAGGCACGCCTCCCAAGAATATTATGCCCCAGAGTGGGAATCAAGCGCACCCAGCGGGGTGCCGTGGCCCCAGGTCCAACACCACACCGCACTTGGAGAGTGTGTGTGCATTCCAGGCGCCGCCATTTGGTGTGGGAGTCGGGCTGCTCCCCACCGCACCCCCCTCCCCCACCGCTCATTTCCGCCCCATTCCCCATCCATAATTCGATCTCTCGATCTTCCCCCCCACCCAACGGGATCTTGGGCGCCGCTGAACTACGCCCCCGGCCACCCGACGCCACCCGCCACCGCCCCACGCCCCGCCAGCGACCGCCGCACCCTCTCCCCCTCCGCGCGCTTGAGATGGTCGCTGGCGCCGTGATGCAGGCGCGGCCCCTCCAGCAGGCGCGCTTCGCCGGCGGCCTGCAGGGCCTGCCGCTGGCCAGGCGGTGCGCTCTGCCGAGGCCGGCAGCCGCATCGAGGACCGAGGGCGCCTCCGCCCAAGAGCACAAGGAGGTGAATTTCCCCGTTTAGTTTCGCGCGCCCGCATCTGCCTTGGATGCCTCTCGACCGAGACGGTGCTCTTCGCCAACTGCCGGCAACCGTCGTGGACGGGAACTGCGTGTGTGACGCAGTCCCGACGGTGCGACGGTCCAGCGGTGCTGCCGCTTTGTGATCTCGGCGTTGCGCAAATCGACGAGGGCCATAATGGAATGCTGGGGGTGGCGATGAGCTTTTGCGGAGCGCCCTGCGGAGCTTTTTAGTGGGCGGGGTGGAGCGGGCTGGGCGGGCGCTTGACGCGTGGCATGCGCGCGCTGGCGGACCTCCCTCGTGCCGAAATGCGTGGCGTGCAAGCGCGTGGAGGGTGTTCCGGAGGAGGGGTTGTGCGGTCGAGGCGTTTGAGGAAGTGATGGTCTGCCGGCTGATCAGATAATGTGACTTTGATCTGATCGGCATGGCGCGCCCTACGGCCTCAATGCCGCGGAGCACACATGGGCAGGGAGTTTGGCACACATACACACGAGGAGTGTGGCCCACCGGCATGCCGTGTGCACCCTCTCTTGGGCCCCAACCCCGCGCTGAGCACGGAGATGAGTGCTTGCAACGTCGCGTCTCCGCGCTGATTGGCCTGCGTCCTCATCTCTTGACATTTGTTTGACTGCTTGCTGGCTCAGGTCGCCAAGGCCACCGCCCTGAGCGCCGCCGTATCCACCCTCTTCGCCGCGGGCAGCGTGCAGGCCGCCCAAGAGGTGGCGCTGGTGGCCGACAATGACATCCGCCTGGGCAGCGTCTTCCTCATCCTCCTCCCCGCCCTCGGCTGGGTGCTGTTCAACATCCTCGAGCCGGCCCAGAACCAGCTTGATCGCATGCAGGGCGGCAAGCCCAAGGTGGCTGCTCCTAAGCCAAAGCCAAAGAAGGTCGTGAAGAAGAAGGTCATAAAGAGGGCCGTGGTGGCTGGGCTCGGCCTGGCGGCATCTGGGCTTCTCGCCACGCAGAGCGCTGACGCTGCGACCCTGATGGGCCAGGTTGCGGAATCTGACAACCGCCTGGGCGGCCTCCTCCTCCTCCTCCTCCCCGCCGTCGGCTGGGTGCTGTTCAACATCCTCGAGCCGGCCCAGAACCAGTATGACGCCATGGTCAAGGGAAAGAAGTGAATTTGGCATGGGCGATGATTGTTGGAAGCAGGGCGGCGAAGGGACGGTGCCATCTGGGAGGGTGGGCGCCGTGGGCGGACATTGTGCTGATTCTTGGGATTGTGGTCAATAGGTTCGCGCGGAGAAGACAACACGGACACGCGGGCGTTTAGGCTTGTGGCATTGCTGATTTGTAACACCGATTTTCAAAGTCTGGGTTTCAGCCATGGGTGTCTATTGGATGGTTTGGGGGCTTCCTGTGCAAAGCCCTGCCACATTAGAGGATGGTGCTCATGGTCAGAGGGGGAACGGACCTGCAATCAATGGATACTTGCCTTTTGGGCTGCACTATGAATGCCAGAGTCTTGCCCAGTGAGCAAGGCCAGACACAGCGTTGGTTTTCTTCTTTGCTGGATACCAATGACAGCAAGTTTGACCTCAGTGGTCAACTGGCTAGATGGTCATGTTGCTTTCCAAGCATCTTTCTGTCCCTTCACCCCATGAGAAGCTGCACAAGTGAGGTTTGTGGCGCTTTTGTGCAGGCAGAGCGACAGTTCACGACATGCACACCAGATGGGCCACATTTCATTGTGGATATGATTGTGCACTCCACACCTCGTGGATTTCGTTTCGGCGACAGCAGTCACCAAAACGAATTCCATACCTCTGTAGTGCGTGATTGCAAGCCTTGATCATCTCAATAGAAACCACCATTCACGCCGATGGGCAGAGGCCAACAAGGGCCATAGGCGGTGTAAAAGAGCGATTCCTATGGATTTGTTCCGCTGTCCTAATCCTGCTGTCTGGGGCCCAGAAGTGCTGCGGGCTGCATCGCCAGGTCCGTGGACCTAGCCAGAAGCGATGAAGCACTTGAGGAAATGATCGGCTGTGGGCAACTCTCCATGCCTCCGTGCATGAAAGTAGGAAAGAACATCCAAAATGAAGCAGACTGACAAAATGACAAGATAGCCACAGCAACGGCGCAGGTGTGTGTGGGCTGGAGATACCATTTTGGAGGCGTTTG